ATCATGTCGGAGGAGTTTGTCGACGACGGCACCGGAAAGGTGAAGGGCATCAACACGATCCGCGTGGAGTGGACCAAGTCCGCCAGCGGCGGTTGGGACATGAAGAAGATCGAGGGCTCGCAGCAGTTCTTCCCTGCTGATCTTGTCCTGCTGTCCATGGGCTTCCTTGGACCTGAGGCTCGTGTGCTCGGCGATGAGATTGAGAAGGATCCTCGCAAGAACGTCAAGACTCCTCCCGGCAAGTATAGCACCAACGTCGAGGGCGTGTTTGCGGCCGGTGATTGCCGTCGTGGACAGTCGCTCATCGTCTGGGGTATCAACGAAGGTCGCCAGGCTGCTCGTGAGGTCGATCTCTACCTCGAGAAGAGCTCACGCTTGCCCGTTACTGGTGGTATTGTCAAGCACACCGCTGAGGAGGTGTTCGCCGCCGCCGCCGCAGCTTAAATTATGGTGGAAATGTGCATGATTTCGGGAAGACGATACGGTTGGGATCATTACCGTGTTGGATGAGAATGGCGATGGGATTTCCTATGGTTTATTCTGCATCGGGTTCATTCAAGGTTGATACCATGTGTGGAAGAGTTCGTTTCTTGGTTGCGGATTTTGGGTTAGTTTTCGTTTCTTGCATTTTAAAAGCATGCATGCTCATATGGCCCTTTTGGGATTGCGATGTCCTTGCCAGTTTCCTGTTATTATTCATATCTAGCTCGTTTGGTTTTGGGGTGGTCGGGTTGTGTATATACCCTTTTACCATTTTGCGAATACATAGTTTCTTCTAATATTCCTGGACTCGCTACATCAGATGCAACTGACCTGCCCATGGTACAGCATGTGAAATGTGAGGTTATCGTGACATTTGTCTTGGCAGAGGTACGTTGTTGAAAATCTGCGGATGGCGATGGGGGCACGTGTAGCAATGATTGGCCAATTGCAGGCCTGGACACCCCTGTTACGATTGGTGGGCTTCAGTGGAGCAGGCCTCGAACACACCCCGACGCGAGGCGGGTTATATCTACACTACCCCTTCTCCCTATATCTAGACTACTTAACCGCTTCGGGCATAAATTTCAACTTTCCAGCTTATCTTATCTGCCATTAACATCCGAGCTCCAAACTCATGGTAAAGTCTGTTAGCCGATAATCGGTCTTTTGCGAAAATTTCTCTAAGAAAATGGACCTCCTGTTGCGATCAAGATTAAAGCATTGCACTTTCACCAAATGCACTTTCACCAAATGCACTTTTGCCCAATGCACTTTTGCCCAATAAATTCCCTTGGAAGTGCATTCAAATAATATTCCTCAATCAGAATACTTTCCAAAATTGGGCGAACCTAAGGACACGGTATCGCTATCACATAAAGTGTTAACCAAGGTTTAAGGTGTTAATTCATTACTAAGTCGCTAAATAGAAGTTGAGAAGGCACTGCAATCGCTATAGTATTGGTACTTGGACCGCTGATGGGTCAGGAGGCTGGGCTTGCGGGCAGAGGTGAGCAGCTCTGAGTTTATTTTTCTGTACGGCGCCAAAAAGCTGAGAAGTCCTTCCCAAAAAGGTTAAGTAGTCTAGATATAGGAAGAAGGGGTAGTCTAGATATAACCCGCCTCCCCCGACGCAATCCTTGCGACAGTGACGAAGTGATGTGGGGATGTTTCCAATGCATCCACGGAGTCTGGCGTCTCCACGAACCACGAACAACAATCGCTGGCGCAATGACCTTCTCTGCTCAATCTTGTGATCGCATTCTTCCGCCTTCCAGAGAGCTTGAAGTCTCGACTCCCCACCATCGACTACAGTATCGCAACAGTATCATCGCATCACATTTTCTCAACAGCGTCTTCCAGACAAGCCTCAACTAGCAGCAGCAGCAGCAACACGACAACATCACTGCGACCATGCGTTTCGGCAAGACGCTCAAGCAGTCCATTTACGAGCCATGGCGGGACAAGTACATCGAATATGACAAGCTCAAGAGCCTCCTCCGGGAGGATAGACCTGACGATGATGACGAGCCATGGACCGAGGAGGACGAGGTCCGCTTCTGCGACGAGATTTTCAACGTCCAGCTCGAAAAGGTGGCCCAGTTCCAGGAGGAGAAGATGCAGGAGCTGCGTCAACGAGTAGATGCGGCCTTCGAGAAGCTCAGAGATCTGCCACCGGCCGATTCCCAAAACAAGGACAAGCCGACCGACGAAGCCCTCGCCCAACAACTCAAAGAACTCGAGGCCGAGCTGGATGGCATCACGAACGAAGTCAAGGAACTTCAGAAGTACAGCAATATCAACTACACGGGCTTCCTCAAGATCGTCAAGAAACATGATCGGAAGCGTGGTGATCGGTACAAGATTCGTCCCATCATGCAGGTCAGCTTGTCCAAGCGGCCCTTCAACTCGGAGCAAGGGTACTCGCCTCTGCTCAACAAGCTGTCGCTCATGTACTTCGCCATCCGCCAACATCTCGAAGAGAATGCTCCCGCCGAGCCGTACCATCTCGATCCCGTAAGTCAACCCGAGACACACAACGGCGAGAAGTATACGGCCTACAAGTTCTGGGTACACCCCGACAACCTGCTCGAGGTGAAGACGTTTATCCTTCGCCGGCTCCCTACTCTTGTTTACAGCCACCAGTCGGCCAAGGAATGGGATGGAGATGAGGACCCGACCATCACATCGTTGTACTTTGACAATGCCAACTTCCAGATGTACTACCAGAAGGTGGAACGTGAAGCCGAGGCGTCATCGCTCCGGTTGCGTTGGTATGGTCAACTGAGCCAGAAGCCAGAAATTGTTTTTGAGCAAAAGATTATACACGACAACGGCACTAGCGAGGAGCGCAAGTTCCCCATCAAGGAGAAGTACATTAAGCCGTTCTTGGATGGCGAGTACAAGATGGAGAAGTCGATCCAGAAGATGGAACGACAGGGCCAGAGCACCGCAGACGTGGAAGAGTTCCGTTCCACTGCCGAGGCTATTCAGGATTACATTCGCAGCAACAAACTTGAGCCCGTCGTCCGCGCAAACTACGCCCGAACTGCCTTCCAGAATCCCGGAGATGATCGCATTCGCATGTCTATTGACACCAACATTGCCTTCATTCGCGAGGATACCCTCGACCGCGATAGGCCGTGCCGTGATCCGCAGAACTGGCACCGCACCGATATCGACGACAGCAACATGACCTATCCCTTCAAAAACATCAACCAGAGCGAGGTGTCGCGGTTCCCCTATGCAGTGTTGGAAATCAAGCTGAAGGAAGACCAGAACCGCAAGCGACCAGTCTGGGTCACGGACCTGATGGCCTCGCATTTGGTCCACCCTTGCCCTCGCTTTTCCAAGTTCCTGCAAGGCGTCGCCTCTCTTTTCGAGGACTACGTCAACAGGTTGCCCTTCTGGCTGCCCGATCTGGACACCGATATCCGCAAGGATCCCCAGGTGGCCTTCGAGGAGGAGGAAGCGAAGCGAGCCCACCGTGCGCAGAACGAGCAGGTTGTCGGCAGTTTCCTCGGCACCAAACTAGGCAACTCGTTCAAGCCCTCCCGGAGCTCTCCAATGGCCAAGTCATACCTCGCCGAGCGCGTAGCGGCCGAGAGCAGCGGCGCCAAAGCGCAAACTCCCGCCTCCGGGACAGACAGGACCCCTACCGGTGCTACTCCCGCCGGTGAACTCAACGGAAGCACCAGTGGCCAGCAACAGGATGGCGGCCAGCAACAAGGAGGCCGTAGCGATTACGGCACCATGACCCTCTCCTCCGTCTTCCCTGGCTTCTCCCTCTCCAAGTACTCCATAGCCATGCGTCTCAAGCGGGCCCAGCACGAAGGCGGCCGCCGTGGCTCCGTAACCCTGCCGCCCGGCGTCGAGGAGCCGACCGAATGGCTCAAGAACTCGGGCCCCTTGCAGATCGAACCCAAGGTCTGGCTGGCCAACGAGCGGACGTTCCTCAAGTGGCAGCACATTTGCGTGCTGCTCGGCGGCTTGGCCATCAGCTTGTACACAGCCGCGGGCAGGGACACGGTGGCGGAGTATATCGCGGTTGGGTTCATCCTCGTTGCGGCGTTTGCTGGTGGCTGGGGGTATTTCTTGTTGCACTCGAGGAGGAAGATGATCATGGAACGGAGCGGCAAGGACTTTGATAACTTCTTTGGCCCGTTGGTGATTAGTGCTGCACTGATGGTGGCGCTGATTTTGAACTTTAGCTTTGCGGTAAGTCTTCCAGAGGTCTTTTGAGCATTCAGGGTAAAGAGTAACTGCTGACTTGTGTGGCTTTAGTATCGCGACTTCTTGGCTAGAACTCGGGCTGGAACTAAGGTTGAAGCTCTGTTCATCCAAAGCAGCAGCTCCTCGGCGAGTCCCGTCGACCTGAGATAGGAGGGTTTGTAGGGCTTGGTCGGTTAAGTTAAGACTGGATATGAAACTCATGCTTGTTTAACGAAGGGATAACAAAAGATTGGATACGGAAAACAGACTGGGTTATGACTATATGAATCGGGGATATGGCATGTGGGCGGTGGTTGGGTAGAGAGATGTCTCGACGAGGATTGTATTGAAGTAGGCATACATACAGTTTGGCTTTGATTTGGAAGCATCAATTTGGATAAACAAGAGAACTTGACTCGGTAACATGTTGATGGCTGTGGAAAGGGGGCATGTCCCTCTCTCTCTTAATACGCGCACGGGCCACTGTTGCTCTGGAGAAAATGTAAATGGACTGAAGTTCTAAACAAAACAACAATTTCATGCAAACAACATCTCAACAGCGCCGTTCAACAAACCTGCAACAATCATCGTGATCGTTTCCCCCAAACCCCAAACGGTTGTCATATGAAAGGCTCAAGCACTCGACGGCCAGCCATCTAAGATCTTCACTCGCCTCGCTTTGACGAGCCCCTCACCATCAAACCGACCAACTGAAGGGAGAATCACAACACAGGCGGGAATATCATCACAACAACCAACATTATCACCAACAACAGCACATCACAAAAAACCAACCACCGCCCCCAAAAATGTCAACACAAATCCCTCTCCACCCCCGTCCTCTCCAACAACCCCCCTCCTCAACCTCATCAACAGTCACCAACCCACTCCCAACCCTAATCCAAACCCCCTCGGGCCTCGCCCTCCTCGAACTCCAAGGAACCCTCAACATCCGCGACTTCGACCCCTCCTCCTCACAACATGAAATCACTCCAATCCCAGTAGGAAGAATCGATTTCCCCGACTACCAACCCAACTCCCTCACCTTCGACCCCAGCGACAAGAAGTGGATGAAGAGGGTGTATATGTACATTGGCGAGCATCAGCGGTTGCATGGGGAGGTGAAGGCTTTGGGGAAGGCGGTTGGGGTTGTTAGGAAGCGGAATTCTTCTGGGGGGGAAGAGGGAGACAACAAAGAAGAGCTGGAGGTGGTGGAGATATTGAGGTATAAGATTGTTTTTGGGACGAGGCCGGAGCCGGTTACGAGGGGGGAACAGTTTACTGGGAGGGGTTGAACGGGGGTTGAAGGGGTGTTTTGGGGATGGGAGGACTGACGAGGGCAGGGTGGTGGTGGTGGTGAAGTTGGGAATAGGAATAGGGAGAGGAATCTGAAGGAGGTGTGGTGGATAACCCTAACCCTCTACAATTCGACCTCGGATTAGCGATCAGAGGTATAACGACATGCTCGTCATAACGATCAAAAGCTCGGGAACGGTTGCCAAATGTATGGAAATAACGATCAACCTCTGACTTGCGATTTCGATCAGATTTCAAGCGTGAGCCGTACCAAAATCGTTATTCCTAGGGGGTCTGGATAGGTTCTACCTAAAACGTCCAGGTTGTTACAGCTCGTGACGGCCGGTAACAAAGCATTTCACCTGACCACGGCCTTCTGATTGGCCCAAGACCCCGCCCGTACTGGGCACTGGCCTACCTTTGAATAACAAAAAACTTTTCCCTACAAAGATAATACGGGCGTTGGCATAGGTAGCTTCAGGTTGGTTACTTCAATGAATGATAAACTCGGATAAAATTGGTCATATGACCTCGTCGCTTCCCATCCCAAGTTTTTAGCTCTCTCTCCCTTGAGCGTGTTGGTTCCTGACTAATGTTTGAAGGGTCCTCCATGAAAAAGCACGAGGGGTCACGAGGTCCCCTGGATTCCAAGTATAGGGTCTGGATCCAGTCTGTGATACCGTGATAGGTAGGATGAGAGCGGTGAATGATATGTGTAAGAGGTTGCAGTTCGAGACCGATTCGTCGCGAAAAAGAATGCGAACGCGTCTACCGGTGTAGCTCAGCTAGGTTGCTCCCTATCTTTTCCAGCTCGTCTCAAGTCCGCCACAGCTAGTCTGGCAGTTCAGAAGCTGCGATGGGATGATGAGATGTCGACTGTCGGTCAGCCTCAAGCCATGAGCATAGACTCCCGACTCGAAGACATATGGTCAAATCGATCATTCACGTTTCACATGTTGAACGACGAAAAGACCAGCTTTTAAACAATATCCGGAGGTGGTGTCAATGACCATCATGACTGGATTAACAAAAAAGTCAAGATGGTGGGACCCCGCCAACCGGTGTCGTTGGAGCTGTGGGATTGTCCACTGAGAGGTGGGGGATGCTGCAGCAGACGCCACAGCGGGCTCTCACTGGCTGATAGGGCGCGGAGTAATGGAAGTTGTGAGGCGAGGAAAGTTCAGGTTGGTGGTGTTCACGGGCACTTTCAGTGGGAATGCACAATTCCAAGTGACCGCGAGAGTTGATGGGATCACCAAAGTGATGACGCCCGCATGGCCCGCATTCCGTTCCCGCTCCAGTGCCGAATCCCCGGCCACACGTATACTCGACCGCCGGAGACCTAGCGGACGGTAAGGAAGTGACTGTAGTGACAAGAGTACGTATTTCATGACAGCTATGGATCCCTGATTGAGGTGTCCCCTTTTCCAACTCAACTTATCTCCACTTCGTCAATGGCAACGGCTTTGTCCACACTTTTTTGCTGCATATCCACCAGGGTTCTAGACTATACATTACCACAGCGTGTCCTTCTTCGTCTCTTCGTCTCATCAACTGTTTGCTTATTCTGCTTGCTTAGCTGTCACCCCTTCTTAGTGGCTCACATTCGAACCTGTTCGAGACCTTGAACCCCCTTGACCGCCAACAGATCATCTAGTACCGGAGGCTATAATAGGGCCACCACACTCCCTTTTCAGACACACGTCTGCACTCTGCCCATCTTGCTGCCAACATACTCATATCGACTGGAAAACACAGCAACACACCCTACTATGAAGTTTGGCAGAAAGTATGCAAGCCTAAAACCCCTAAAGCTCTTTGCACTACAAGCTAACGGTTCGACAGTCTCCCACGTAACCAGGTCCCCGAGTGGGCAGCCTTCTACATCAACTACAAAGGCCTAAAGAAGCTGATCAACTCTGCGCAAGAAGCGGCCAAGAATGGAGAGCCGGTAGATTTGGCAGAGTTCTTCTTCGCCTTGGACCGAAACCTTGAAGACGTCGACTCTTTCTACAACAAGAAGTATGCCGAGGCCTACCGGCGGCTTAAGGTGCTGCAGGATCGCTATGGCGGGACCCCCGAGATTGTCGCCAACCTCGATGATGACGAGGTTGAGGAGCTAATGGGAGCCCTTCTCGAGCTGCGAAGTCAGTTTCGGAAGCTGCAATGGTTCGGCGAAATCAACCGTCGTGGGTTTGTCAAAATCACAAAGAAGCTGGACAAGAAGGTCCCCAACACAACAAGCACCCAGCACAACTACATTTCCACAAAGGTCGATCTATTACCGTTCGCCAATGATACCGCCATCAGCCGCCTTTTGACCGAGATCAACAAGTGGCTGTCAAAGCTGGGAGATGCGCAGAACATCGATGATGCCAAATCCGAGAGATCGACACTCTCGCTGGGCCGTGCTTCTGCAAAGGCTATGCTTAACGTACCGAGTGCGCTTCTCGACAGGTTGGAGCATGCCATTCGTAAAGACGACGTCGCGGCTTTGGAAAACGGTTTGAAGGAAGGAAATCTAGCGGACTCCGAGGGCCCATCACCGTCACAACAGCCCTTGCTGCTTAACCTACTCCAGCGATCTATTTCCTCCCGTTCCAGAGACTGCATCGTTTTCCTTCTCAAGCAAGTCAAATCACTGGACGAGCCCAACGACATCAACGAGCGCAACTGCATTCACAGACTTGTCATTCACATTGGTCGCACAAAAACGGCTTCACTTATCAGTAGTGAGCCAGAGGCCGAATCGTACCCCTTCCCGCGCACCGGGGTTCACTACGCGCAGCCCTACCTCACCCCAGCTACATCGCCCTTGTCAGCACCGCGTGGGACGACCCTAAAGGAGTCGAAACTCCTCGGCCACGACGATGAAGCGATCCAGCTGCTCAAGTACCTACTAGAAAATCTGAGGCCAGACCAGAGAGTGGCTCTGATTGCCAAAGACGCATTCGGCCGTATACCGCTCCACTATGCCGCCCAGTTCGGCTTCGTCGTCGTCTGCCAGATCATCATGCGCAAGATGCAGGACTGGGGACAGTTCAACGTCGAGAACGGCATCGACGCCCCCGAATGGCAGGACAAGGATGGAAACGCGCCGCTGCACTTGAGCGTCATCGGCGGCCACCCGCTGACCACCAAAGCGCTGCTGCAAGGAGAGAACTGGAAGGGGGTTAATGACCACCAAGCCGAAATGAGGCGTGCCATCTCCAAGTCGAGCGCGGTGCTGGCTCTCGCGACCAAGGCCAACTCCAAGGATATCGTCGAGCTGCTGGTCAATGCGGGAGTCGATATCAACTGGCAGGACAACAGCGGCGAGACGGCCTTGCACGTTGCCGCCAGGTTTGGCCACGACGAGTGCGCCAGGGTGTTGCTCAAGGGTACGGAGCAGCAGAAGGCCAACCTGGAGTTGGCCGAGAAGAATTTTGCGTGGACCCCGCTGCACATTGCGGCTGTTGATGGCCATCTCGGTGTCGCCCAGCTGCTTGTGGATGCCGGTGCGGATGTGGACAAATTGGATTCGTCTGGTTGGACGGCGAAGGAGCATGCGGCGCTGAGAGGCCATTGCGAGATTGCACGGCTCCTGTCTGCTCATAGTCAGGCCCCAGAGGATGTGGGAGGTAGCAGCTCCGACGGCGACGATGAAAAGTCATCAACGACCACACCGTATCCTGAGACCGAGAACGCCCTGGCTGCATCTCTGGGAGATAGACGGTCCAACGCCCCCGGAACGTCGCGTCCTGCTGAGCCTGTCAAGACCTTCGGCCACAGGTACCTCAAGAATGAGAGCCTCGTGCTGGTCAGTCTGGGTTCGATGGATATGCGCAAGGGAATTGAGGCGATTAAGCTGGACAAGGTGCCGCTTGCTGAAGCCCACACGACACAGCTGGATACGGCTCTGTCGGTTGTCGTGTCTGCCCAAGGTGCGCAGGGCGACCCGACCATGATCGACCTGCCTGTTCACGAGAACATCTCTACCGAGCCTATCCTCTTCACCACCAGGGATGCCTCCAATGTTAGACTCTTCTTCGATATCGTGCCGACATACTCGGGCAACGAGAAGAACAAGGTCGGCCGAGGTGTTGCTCTCCTTTCCAGTGTCCGCCCCACCGTCGGCACCAAGAGGATGAACCTGCAAGGTGACATCTCGGTGCCGATTATGGGCAGCAACTTTGAAGTTATCGGGACAGTCAACTTCAACTTTTTGGTCATCACTCCTTTCTCGCACCCCAAGATGGAAGTAACCTCGCAGCAGACATACTGGAAGAAGCTGGACTCTACCATGGTTATTGGCCACCGCGGCCTCGGCAAGAACGTTGTAGCCAACAAGTCCCTCCAGCTCGGCGAGAACACGATCCCATCGTTCATTGCCGCCGCTAACCTCGGCGCTCAATACGTCGAGTTCGACGTGCAACTCACCAAGGACCACGTCCCCGTCATCTACCACGACTTCCTCGTCAGCGAGACAGGTTTCGACGCACCCGTGCACACCCTCACTCTCGAACAATTCCTCCACATCAACCCCGACTCCTACCGCTCGGGTCACCCCCATCACCACGGCCACCACGCACCTGCTGCCCAACAAGCTCAGCATAGGCAGCTGAAGAAGTTCCGCAGCAACAGCCCCGGCCCTCGCCAGCGGTCCATGTCGATGGATTTACTACCCGGAGACGGTAAAGACCTGATGGAAGAGCGGATGAAGCACACGCGCGACTTCAAGGAAAAGGGCTACAAGGGCAACTCCCGGGGGAACTTCATCCAGGCGCCCTTCGCGACGCTCGAGGACCTGTTCCGCAAGCTGCCCGAGAGCGTGGGGTTCAACATCGAGATGAAGTACCCGATGCTGCACGAGAGCGAGGAGCACGAGATGGACACGTATGCGGTCGAGCTCAACTCGTTCTGCGACACGGTCCTGCAGAAGGTGTACGACATGGCGGGGCAGCGGCACATTATCTTTTCGAGCTTCAACCCGGATATTTGTCTCTGTTTGAGCTTCAAGCAGCCCAATATTCCGATTTTGTTCTTGACGGATGCGGGCACGTGTCCTGTCGGTGATATCAGGGCGAGCAGTTTGCAGGAGGCCATCCGGTTTGCGAGCAGGTGGAATCTGCTGGGTATTGTGAGCAACGCCGAGCCGCTGATCAATAGTCCGCGGTTGGTGAGGGTGGTTAAGCAGAGCGGGTTGGTTTGTGTCAGTTATGGGACGCAGAATAATGACCCGAGCTTGGTGCAGGTAAGTTTTATCTCCCCTTCTCCTTTCTTTTTGTTTTATCATCATCATTATCGGAATCAAGCTAATCAACTTTCCTTCTACCTACAGAAACAAGTCAAGGAGGGCATCGACGCCGTCATTGTCGACAGTGTCCTGGCTATTCGTAAGGGATTAACCAGGGACAGAGGCAACGTTAGTGGCGGCGGCGGCAGTAATGGCAAAGAGCTCCAGGAGAGGGTGAGAGAGGTGGAGGAGGCCATCAAGAAGGAGCGAATCGAGGAAGAGGGCTCGTCTGCTGAGGGAAGCGCCAATGGGGATAGTAACGGTACCATGAGCGGGACGAGTACTAAGGAGATCGAGGAGACCTTGCGGGCTTTGAGGACATAGACGGGAGGATACACTTTTACCTAGAATAGCGATGGGCACATTTGAGGAGGGGAAGCGTTGGCTTGGGACATGATACACTTTGCAGAGCTGGACAGATTAGACACATGCTCAACGATGGTTTATGACATTGCAACGGTCAAGCAAGGAGTCGTTCATTGAAATAGTCAGATGTGGCTGTTGTTCACCAGGCAAAGTGGCTTAGTTCTTAGGGATGGGAGGGTGTCGATGGCGGCCTGCAAGTTACCAAGTCACCAACAGCATTCAGTGATCCTGTAGGACAGATCTGTTAGCGTGCCGCTCATACATTCCTAGTGGGCTGCCTCCGATCATGACAAAGACCACGACAGGATAGTTGTGTAGCGAGATGGAAAAAGGCAGCCACGGCACCCACCAACCGGTTGACGAAGTGGCTGAGACGATCTCGTGTGTGTGGGATTGCGTAGATTGCGTAACCTTGAAGAAGATGGAATTGATCCTTGATCAGCTGGGCTCCAGATATTGGCCTCGTGGGCAGTGTACCTCTGGGCTTGATTTGGTGCGTTAAGAGAGGCGGTGGTGTAACAGGACCCTGGATCACCAAAAGTCTTGGTTGGTGCCCCGCTATAATTCTCAAGATCGCCCGCGACTGTCCACCGGGCAAGTAGAATTCTTGCTCTTCCAGAAACAGGAATCAACCTGAAGATACACTGTCTCATATCATACATTACTTTCCTTTGATTCCTTGAGCTTTGACGTAGAAGCTTGAGCTGTGCAGATAAGGACCTGAGTCACCCAGGCACATTGCGTGTAGGCCGGACTTACAAGGAGGTACCGGGCCGACAATCGCACCTGTTAAGGACCACCTGAAGAGGCCTGAAGAGGAGCCCCGCCCAACAGTTCGGCCGATCGATTCACACTCGCTCGTTGCTCGGCTGACAGCAACTCACCATTACGTCCACGTCCACTCCAGTCCAATCGTCTGAGGCCATCGCGCGCCATTTCAGCCACTATTCATTCTTATCCTCCGGCCAAACTCTTCCTGTCTAGCTCTTTATCCTCTTGATCCAATACGAACGCGACCGGAAACGTTTTATCCGACCGAAAGACGGCCAAGGAGCGAACTGACCAAGGCGCTCTCGGCTTGGAACTCGACATCTCACGATTCCATCGAACACCTCGCGACTTGACTCCGAATCTCTTCCCCAAACACCACAAAAAAAAAAGCCCGCTCAACAAACCTACCTCAACCGACACCACAAGGTCGACATCCCAAACAACAGTCAACTCGATGGCAGGCCCTGCGTCTCCCGGCAACGACGGCCCAACCTTTGCGCCCCCGCCGCTCCCAGCCGGCTGGATCGCGCAATGGGATAACGCCTCCAAGAAGTACTACTACGTCCAGCTCTCCACCGGTGTTTCACAATGGGAGACTCCTACAGATCCAGCTCCCGTTGGCGCCACCCCCGGAGCCGCTCATGAACACCCGTACGGCGTGCCCGGTAGCGACGGCGACAGGAAACCCGAGATCATCACTTACCCAGACGGCAGCCAGAGCGCCAAGTACCCTGATGGGAGAGTAGAGCCGGTTGCTCCTCGAGAGGATGGTACGAGGGGAATTGGAGGCCCTGATCAGGACAGAAGTTTGGGTGTATGTTCTTTCTCCCATCCTTGTCTCTCTACTGAACGTTGGTGAAGTGCGCGTGACTAACAGTCTATCTCCTCTATTTTAGTCCTTCATCGGAAACACTCTCATTAGCAACCTCGCCGGCGGAGGCAAGCAGTCCCACGGAAGCAGCAGCGGTGGTGGTGGTGCAGGTGGCCTGGTTGGTTCCCTGCTTCAGGGTGTCACGGGCGGCGGCGGCCACTCCTCTGGCGGACACGGAAACAGCAGTGGAGGTCTCGGTGGTAAGATCGCGTCCCAGCTTGTCTCGGGCATGTTCTCTTCCGGTGGAAACAACAAGCCTTCGTCCTCGTCCTCGTCGTCGCAGCAACACAACTATCACGGAAACCAGTCATCTTCGCATGGCTCTTCGGGCAGCCACGGCGGTGGTCTCGGTGGCGTTATGGGCGGCATCGGTAATCTGTTCGGAAACAAGCCCAGCTCCGTAAGTTGAATGGCTGAACCCTGTTGTAACTTCAAGAAGCAAAGGCTAATCAGAGAACTCCTGATCAGAGCTCCGGCTTCGGCTACTCCAACTCAGGACAAAGCGGTTCCTACAGCGGCCAGACACCTCCCGCGACATACCAGCAAGCCACGTCTGGAGGTGGCTCATCCTCCACCTACCAGACGGCCGGGCCTACATCCCAATCGCACCAGTCACACCACTCGCACAGCGGCAGCAATACCCCTTCCTACGGCGCATCCGGCCAACATGCCCCCTACGGCCAAAACCAGCACGGCCAGCAGCCTTCCTACGGTAGCACCCCCTCCTACACCTCACCTCCGACTGGCCAGCAGCCCCAGTATGCTCCTCCCCCGGCTGGAGGACCGCCAGGACAATATGGACAGCAAGGGCAGTACGGGCAGCCTCCGCAGCAGCAATATGGGTACAACCAGGCCCCGTATGGCCAGCCGCAAGCAGGAGGCTACCACCAGCAGACTCCCTCATACGGACAACCACCGCAGGGAGCTCCCTATGGCCAGCAGCAGCCTCCGTATGGCGGACACCAGGGGCAACAGCAGCAGTACCCACCGCCGCCTAATACCTATGGCCAGCCGCCTAGTGGTCAGTATGGTCAACAGCCTCAGTACGGCGCGCCGCCGCCGACGTCGCAACCCCAGTATGGCGGGCAGCCGCAGGGGCAATACCATTATTAGGAAGGCCAACCTCATGATGATGGACTGCCTTTGATCGTGAAGGTCGCAGGCAGCCGTCAGCACTAGGTCAACCACGTCAGGTTTGGGGGGGAATGGAAGAACCGCCAGCGAAACAAATGAGATATGGAGGTTCAGTTATGAAGATACCAAGGACGTAGAGGGATGATGGTCAGACATGGAGGTACAATGGACGCAGCCGAGCAACAAGGCTTTTTACAACCAAGTTATCGTTTTGAGAGAAGGATATGAAAACGAAACAGGATGAGCTAGGTATTTTGAAGTTGTCGAACATCTGGGCCTGGAGCCGGAATCAGTACGCCAACAACTCTGGGTGACACCAAACATGCCGCAGCAAAATAGGGCAGTGGGGAATCAATTTACGACGAAGCAATGACAGCGTACACTAGCACGTGAACATGATTCTCCCCTTTAGTTTGTACTCCTGGATCGCATACATTGGAAGATGGAATGAGTCGTGGAGCCAAGTGACTCGAGGGAACAAGGGAGCGGTGATATTGAAGATGTGTGGGGATTGTTGTCGGCAGGCTGGCTTAGCACCAAGGCCTGATTGCTCGTGTTTTTGATGTCTGAGCGGCGATGGGGCATATGGATTTCTTTCAAGTCTTGCTGTTCTAAGGGTGTACTATCGATATTGGGGGTTACAGCGTACTTGTACGTACCTTAGTGAAAGGGAGGAGGATTCTGGCTTGTATGTGTGAACGTCAACACAGGATTATGTTTCATCTGCAGCCATTTGGGCATAAGCGAGGTCTTGTACTGAGTAAGGAGAGTGAAATAGGGGAGGAGATAGACAGTGGCGAAGATATGAAAGGCGCGGTGGGAACGGCAGCAATCTCGTTCCTGTCTCGTATGGATATGGCTTTTCTGTAACAAATATACCTTCCACGAGTAGTCAAATATGTTCTCAAAAACATCATGTCTGTCATCTCTATCACAATACCCATCCTGAACAGCCCTCTTAGCCTATCCCTCTTCATTTAGTCTCACCTCTCCTTCTTACTCTCCTCCACACCCTCACTCGCCTCCTCCTCAGCTTCCACTTCGCTCGACACGACCTCTCCAACCAGGAAAGAAACCACCCTCTTCGAAACCGCCCATCCAGCCACAGCAACGACAACGATCCAACCAATCGTCGGCACTAACGACCGAGGAAGCACGTTAAAGAGAAAAGGATCAAGGATGATGTCCACGTCCACCGGCGGTGGGTGCAGCATGAGACTGGCGTTGGAGGTGAAATAATCCGCCGCGGCGGATATGTGAAGGAGGAGCGCTGCCGAGGAGGAGGGTGGTGATGATGAGCCACTGGAGGAGTCCTTCAGTTTTGTGGTGGCATGTTGTGCCTGTGGTGAGACTGCCGGGAAGTATTCCATCAAGGATCCTGCGAGGTGAGGTGTCATGATGACTTCTTTGGCGGTGTAAGTTTCCATGTAGAAGTTGGTTGGTTGCTTTTTTGGTGGGTGTGTGTTAGTGATGGTACTGATACCGCCTCGGGAACAGAACAGAAACATACCGTAGCAGCCCAGCAAACCCTCACTTCATACCTCTGCCCCTCTGTCAAGCCATCCAGAAGAAACCATGCATCTTGTCCACGAGGGTGGTCGGCGGATGGAAACACTCGCTTTAGCCGGGTCCGGAGTGAAGACCGGTCATTCGGGGTTGGTGTGAGGGTGTGGATGTGGTGGAGTTTGTTGTCTAGCCATCGCTGTGCCTGCTGGTCATCTTTTATGATATTTTCCTCCGAGTGAGAGGAGGAGGAGGGGCCGAGGAAGATGGTTTTTTCTACATTGGCGAGGACGACAGAGCAGAGGAGGGATATGATGAGGACGAGGAGTTGTGAGGGAAGGAAGTGAGGCATAGTTGGTGAGTGTTTACTTGGGGGATGGGTTGTTTATGTTGCCCCCTAAAACTGCCCTGCGGATGCTGCAATGGCCAAGGTCGGGTCTCCCCAGATTAACCCCACAGAACGGCTGGGTAAATTTACCCCGGAATAAGTGGAACCCCACCTTAACTAACTGTGGGCCCAAGGATCAGCGTTAGTGACACCATGCTTGACACGCCTAACGGGATGCTTGACGCTGGAACGATCACATGCTTCTTTCTGCCCTTCCTCGCTTTACACCAGCATTTCGAGCCGATCCGAACGGTCCAACGAACGACTGCCCATTCCAGTCAAAGTGCGTGACGCAAGGCCGAGGAAGAGAACCACGCCCATCCGTAGTCGCTTTTTGGCTTTTCCTACTTTCACGACTACGACATCCGAAACTCTGGAGATTACCATGTCCATGTCGACAGGTTGAGTGCGCCATCTGACAACCTCGACCATTGTCTATTATTCGCATTAGAGCATCGCGACTATCAGCTTTACCACCGAACTAAGTGCATTGCTCCAAATCACCAACAAGAGACACTGGTCTGTCGCATGTTGGCGCCTGTGACCCAAAGTTTCAGGTTGATTTCAAGTACCGAAGCCTGAACCTAGCATATCGTCAAACCTCCGATCCCAACTCCATGACCACGAAGACGACGACAACAACACTATAACTATAGTAAGAGTCACCACCATCGACCATGGCGCCCTCACTCTCCAAACCCGTCCTCCCCGTGTTCCGGGACCGCACCGTCAAGGGCATCATCACCCAGCTCACGTCCATGTACCTCGACAACCGCACCCGCATCTCACGCGCCGTCTACATCACCCTCTTCGTCGCCCTCGTCAACCGTGTCCGTCATGCCATCGCCGAGCAAAAGGCCGCCTCTGCCCGCGACGCCGCCAAGCGCGCCGAGCGCCAGGGCACCACGGCCTCGACCTCGGACGATGCCGCGGGCGGCAAGAAGAAGAAGGTGGAGCTGAACCGCGAGTTCTTCCGCTCGCTGCTGCGGTTGCTCAAGATCGTCGTGCCCGGCTGGCGCAGCAAGGAAACGAGGCTGTTGATCAGCCATAGTTTCTTCTTGGTGTTGAGGACGCTGATCTCGCTCAAGGTGGCGGCTATGGATGGTGCGATTGTCAAGGCGCTGGTGAAGGGTAATGGAAGGGAGTTCATTACGAGGATTGTGTATTGGATGTTGATTGCGGTGCCGGCTACGTTTACGAACTCTATGGTGAGTACCGACTGTTTCTGCTGCATGACACGAGATGCTAATGCTCTAAACTACATTACAGCTCTCATACCACCAAGCCGAATTGTCGTTAAAGTATAGGACGAGATTGACGCAGTATATCCACGACAAATACCTTTCGCAGTTGACTTTCTATGGTATTTCTGCGCTAGACGACAGGATCAAGAACCCCGATCAGCTCATTGCGGTTGATGTGGCCAAGTTCTCCAATAGCTTGGCTGAGCTGTACAGCAACCTGGCCAAGCCGATCCTTGATATGGTGCGCAATCCCCTGTCTTTGGCTACTACTAATGGGAGACCCTTGGCTAACCTACAATACCTAGACAATCTACACCTTCTCGCTATCCAAGAGCGTCGGTGGAGAGGGTGTTGTATTCATGTCCCTGCTGGTCCAACTCTCAGCAAACGTCATGCGAGCGCTAACACCGCCTTTCGGCAAATATGTTGCTGAAGAAGCGAGACTAGAGGGCGAATTCCGCTTCCAGCACTCTAGGCTAATAGACCACAGCGAAGAGGTCGCCCTATACGCCGGTCACGAAGCCGAAAAGGACACGCTAGACAAGGGCTACTTCACCTTGATCAAGCACGTCAACTATATCTTGCGCCGGCGCTTCTATCACAGCTTCATGGAGGATTTCGTGATCAAGTACTTCTGGGGTGCGTTGGGCTTGATGCTCTGCAGTGTTCCCGTGTTCGTCAAGCTGCCGGGCCAGCTCCAGATGAACATGGGTGACCGCACCGAGACGTTCGTGACAAACCGGAGAATGCTCCTGTCGGCTTCGGACGCCTTTGGCCGTATCATGTTCTCGTACAGGGAGATCATGGAGCTGGCGGGCTACACATCCCGGGTGTCGTCACTGCTGGAGGTCATGGATGACATTCAGAACGGACACTTTGAGAAGAAGCTGGTGTCTAGCTCGGGTATCGAGGATAACGAGGCCGTGCTCAAAGGCAGAGGCAAAGTGGTGGAGAGCAGGGATATCGAGTTCATTGATGTGTATGTTCCACTTCCCCTTTCCCTCCCTCGTACCAAGTCATTTGCATCGCCATGCTAACCCTTCCACACAAAACAGCCCTATCATCTCCCCCAACGGCGACGTCCTAGTCAAGGCCCTCTCCTTCAAGCTCCGGGCAGGCGACCACCTCCTCGTCGTCGGCCCCAACGGCTGCGGCAAGTCCTCCCTCTTCCGTATCCTCGGCGGTCTCTGGCCCGTCTACGGCGGCACCGTCCACAAGCCTCCCTTCACCGACATCTTCTACATCCCGCAGCGCCCCTACCTCTCTCGGGGGTCCCTGCGCCAGCAAATCATCTACCCGGACGGCCTGCGCACCATGCGCGCTAAGGGCGTCACTGACGCTGACCTGCTCGCTATCCTCAAGGTTCTCAATCTCGAGCACCTGCTCGAGCTCTACCCGGAGCGGTGGGACGCCGAGGCCGAGTGGCGCGACGTTTTGTCAGGTGGCCTCCAGCAGCGCGTCGCTATGGCCAGGCTGTTCTACCATAAGCCCCGCTATGCCATCCTGGACGAGTGCACGAGCAGCGTGACGCTTGATACGGAGAAGGTCATGTATGATAATGCCAAGGCGTTGGGGATCACGCTCATGACGGTGTCGCATCGCCGTAGCTTGTGGAAGTATCATACCCATATTTTGCAGTTTGATGGGCAGGGGAAGTACGTGTTTACGAAGCTGGATGCGGAGAGGAGGCTGGAGCTGGAGGATGAGAAGGAGGATTTGGATGTGTTGTTGAGGCAGGTGCCGGAGTTGGAGAGGAGGATTGCTGAGTTGACTGCTGAGTAAGCTGTGGACTGGATTGGATTGATGATTATGAGGATGAGATGATGGGGGGTTTATTTTGGATATATATCACGGAAAGGAAGGAAGGGTGTAACTGGACCTTCGGAAAATGCCCAAAAGACTACAGTATATCCTGGGCGGCTTTATGAACTTTCTTTTTTGGATAGCAACTTGTTTGGATGTAAGAGAGATAGATACGGACACAGCATGTTCCCGTATATAAGGCGTTTAGTTTGTTGTGATTGGGATTGTCGCGCTCGTGCCTCAGAGGCAGAACTTAGGCAGGTATATAACTCATTCAGCTGACACTCTACAGTCACAGACTTTAACGCATCCCGTTCGTACACCTTGTGATATAGAAGCCGACGTTCGCATGATTCATATCTTCATTCAAAGGCAAGACAAAGAAAGTCTATAATAGCCCCAAGCAAACAGACTAACAGCAGCTAATGGTTCTCTCCCCTCAGGTTTCGTTTTTGTTCAAAAAGTTTTTTGTGATCCAGCTTATAAAAAGAAACGAAAAACGTACAAAACGTACAAGTACAATGTGTGTAATAAGAAGTATATATATCCAACTAACTCAACATCAAACCCCCTATCTTTCCCTTGATGAATCCCTCTCGTCATCTAACATCCACCTATCTAACCACCTTACACTCATCTACAGTAGTGTACAAACCCAACTCCTGACTAAAACTTAGATCTTGTCAAGAAAACGCGCGGCAGTACCAGTAGGCGCCGCCGGAGCCGTGCCGTTACCGGCAGGGAAGGGAACAGCGAGCGTAGCAGAGGCAGCAGCGGTGGAAGTAACAGTGACGGCCTCATCGGTGCAGCTATCATCCTCACCCTCACCCTCACCCTCCTCGCCAGTGGTATCCTCATCAGGGGGGCAGGACTCCTCATCACCGGAGCCATTAGAACCAGAGAGGTCGGTGCCGCTGTTACCAATAGCAGTAGCAGTGACGGCAGCGGCAGCAGAAGTGCCGGTGGCCTCATTGTTGACGACGGAAGGAGCGGTCATGGTTACGTAGACGGTGGAAGCGGGCATGGTGACGGTGGAGGCGGGGACGGTGACGGTCATGGCTGCGGCGCCGGCGGGGCAGTTGGCACCGGCGGCGGTTACGGTGACGGCGGCGGGGCATTGGCAGGCGCCGGAGTCGGGGCTGGAGCCGTTGCCAGAGCCGTTGCCAGAGCCGTTGCCAGAGCCGTTGCCGGAACCGGAACCAGAGCCAGAGCCAGAGCCAGAGCCGGAGCCGGAGCCGGAGCCGGAGCCGGAGCCAGTGCCAGAGCCGGAGCCAGTACCGGAGCCGGAGCCAGTGGTGGGAGAAGCAGGCTGGGTGAAGACCGAGGTGACGGTGGCGCCCATGCCAACAGTAATAGTCCTGGTGCCGATGGTGGTGGTGGTCATGGTGGAGGTGGTATCAACCTCGCCAGCGACAGCAGAAGTAGCGAGGTTGCCGCCACCGACGGCAGCAGCTGCGGAAGTGGAGAGGCCAACGGGGTTGGTCATGGTGATGGTCTGGACGACGGTGTTCTTGATGGTGGACATGATGGTGGTGGTGATGACGTGAGCGTTGCCGTTGCCGTTGCCGTTGCCGTTGCCGTTGCCGCCCCCGCCAAGGGTGATGGTGATGGCCTTGGGGGTGGTGAGGGTCTGGACGGCGGTCGAGGTAACCTTGATGCCGGTGCTGGAGGCATGGGCGAAAACGCTGGAGGAGATGGAGGAGGCCTCGGCTACGGGGCAGACGGTGGTGGTGAGATGAGCGGTGCGGGTGACGACGGTGGTGGCAAGAGCCTCGGTGGGGAGAGCAGACAAGTCCTCGGTCCTGGCGGGGCAGTTGGTGATGGAGGCAGCGCAGGAAGTGATTGTCTCAACCTGGGTAGCAATCACTGTAAGAGTGGTGAGACCGGACGACGCAGCAGCAGCCGGGACAGTGGTAGAGTTGCTGAAGATGGGAGCGGAAGTGGTCGCGGCAGAGGCGGTTACGGCAGCAGCAGAGGATAGCATGGAGCCAGGGATACCAGTGCTCGAAGCCCCAGCAAGAACGCTGGAGGAGATGGACGAAGCATCAGCAACGGGGCAGACGGTGGTGGTGAGATGAGCGGTGCGGGTGACGACAGTAGTGGCGAGAGCCTCGGTGGGAAGGGCAGCAAGGTCCTCACTCCTGGCAGGGCAGTTGGTGATGGTGGCAGCACACGAAGTGATGGTGTCGATCTGAGTGGCGATGACGGTGAGGGTGGTGAGAGACTGAGCTCCGGGGACAGTAGCCGTAGCATTGACGGAATCAGCCACGCCCGTAGAAAGGGGGACTCCAGTCGAAAGAGGAACGCCGGTCGAGAGAGCAACACCAGTAGAGATAGCAGCCCCAGTGGAAAGATCCACGGTCGAAGAAGAGGCAATGGCGGCAGCAGCCTCGGAGGAGCTAGCCACGGCTTCGGCAGAGCTGACAGCGGGAAGAGTGGTGTTGAAGCGGCGGAAGTGCATATGGCGAGGATGAGAGTGGGCGGTTGTGAGGGCGGCAAAGAAGCCGAGGGCAATGGCGGAGGTCTTCATGTTGACTGATGTATGTATCGGTTCGTATTCTGTTGTTTGTTTTCCCCCTTTTCAAAGACGTAGTCTGAAGGTGGTAATGAGTGGTTATTGCGCCCAGGCAATGTAGTTGATGTTGTTTTCCAAAGAGCGAAGATCGACTTCGCAAGACTGGCAGGTTAAAGACACTTGCTCGTAACAGAGAACGTAAAGGTGGGAAGAAAGACAAGTGAAGGCTGCTAGACTGGCTAGACGAGGAGACAAGCAAAAGGAATGATGCTTGACTTGTAAAGAGACAGACCACTCAAGAGAATGAAGCTACGGAGAAAAGAGAACAAGAGGGAGGTGAGACGACGGGAAAAAGAGACTTCTCGGAGGCTTTAAAGGATAAACTCTCACGAAGTCACAAAACTCCCCGCATCCACAGCCAAGAGAAAAGAACCCCTGCCACTGGGAGGACCCTTAACAAACTGACCGGGGCTCTTCCATACGGAGCAGTCTCCCCGCTGTTGTCGAACGGCCAGAGAACTGAAAGGCTGTCAGTATCCATCGTCGTAAAATGTAATGATGGTGAGTACCCCAATGGCACCACGAGAACGAGGGTTCATCTTGTTCGCGAAATCCAGGAGTTCTTGGTTCACAGATTTCTGTAACACGGGCGGGGATGGCACCCTTGTCGTGACAGGGGTACCAGCAGGAGGCAGACGCAGGAACGGATTTCCTGAGACAAGCACAGCAACGGTGGCCGGCCAATGGGGTCAGGATGTCGACCTCCCGAATAAGATTCGGGGCCAGGAAGCGCCGAGCCAACGGCAACAGAAAAGTGCCTGGAAATTCCTAAAAGAAAAATAGCATACATTGATGACATGGAATTCCTCATCCTTGGGGAAGGCGAGGGTGATTTTGGGACTAAGCCAAGGTAAGCCTGGAGTTGTGCATGAGTTGATAGTCGTTGATGTGGTGAATGTCAGGATCCTCAACTAGTTGGTGATCGTAAGATGGACGATCGATTCGGGTTCTAGATGTTGTAAGTGAAGAGCCCCTGAAACAAGTGATCGCCAGCAAAGACTGGTTGATGTAATAGAGCCGCGGGCGCGTTTGGGGCTGAGTCTCGGTTCGCGAGATCTACCGTTTGGATTCAACCGTAGGAGCAAATTTGCAGCGCGCAGGATATCTAAAAGTGGCAGTCAATAGGGAGAATTGAAATCGGGCGATTGAAGGTGAAGAGAAGAGGCCTCGGGCGGGCACGGCGGGGTACCTCGGACTCCCACCGTTTGTCTCGTCTTCCCCCTCGTACCTGAAGCAACAACAACGGGACGAACCATCCATTATACCCTGAAGTTAAATGAGCGAGCGGGCAAGTTGTTGACGCGGCTGACGTGAGTCTTTTGAACATTTCCGTATCCGTGCATTTATATAGAAACCAGGCCAATGGTTGGCATACGCATGGTCATGGCATGGTGACACCGTCCTACCATCCATCGGATGGTCAGTCAGCTATTTTCAGCGCCCTCACGTTTCGTCCGACTCTTGCATCGTGTAGATGCTCTTTGCATAAATGTCCGCGACTCCCGCCTTGGTTCACACTTGTTCGTAGTCGGCTGCGCCACCCTTTCGAGAGGTTATTCTCCATGGTATGTGACGAAGACAGCGAGGATGTCGAGGTTGCCCCTTGACGGTCGGGCCATAGTGGGGGGTTGATAGCGGGAAGGATTGTTGTGATGAAGAGTTCTTCCAGGGGCAGTCGGGTCTCGAAGACAGAGAAGATGGAGGCTGTTTCATCTTATCCAGCTAGCGGTCCGGTCGGCATCACCCGTGATTCGTCCGGACCCGTTAACGGTTGACCAGGACCCCATTGTTCTCCACCATCCCCATCATCACGGAACAATCGAGGCTCAGCATCAAAATTATTTCGCGTCCCCTTTCGACCCTCCACTCACCCAGCTCCCCCCAAGCCTCCGCGGAGGGGCCGGCCATGTGAAGCTTCAAAAGTTCAGACCGGATCAAGATTCCGTTGCAGGCATCGCCATGCTTCTCTTTCCTCGGAGACCACGACCGCGCGGGGGTTAGGCTCGGCTTCTCATGTTCGCGGACAAAAGTCCGAAGGGCATTTGTGTCTCCCTGATGAAGGACGACAGGAGCCCACGGAAGCGCAGGTTCCGGGAATGCTGGATTTTTGGCTTTTGACTGTGGGAAAGGCCGTTGTCCAGGCAAACTCGCAATTCATTCCCTGGTGACAAACCACAGAATCGCCTTCTCGATTTCGAGCTTGGGTTGCCGAACTGCCGGGTAGATACGAAGCGTCGTCGGTGGTTTTGTCGTTGTTTGTGGACCCAGAGGCAAACACGGACGGGCAAGCGGCAGCCAGGTGAGAGAGGTGAGAAGAAAACAAAACGACGAGCTTTAAAGGGTTAGGGTTGGGTATGCCCAGACACGCCAAGTTTACTTCACCTTTCCGAATCCGATCAAGAGGTTCAAAGACATGATGAACCTCAGTCTCTGATTTCTTGAGCCAGAATGGTGGAAAGACTTGCTCGGTCATCTGTCGGTCTGAGGTTTTCTGACCACACAGCCAAACAACATGCACAAGATGTGAACCGCACATTGCATGGAACACCTGCAGGTTGCTGCAGTCGGTGCATTATGTCCGAATCGGGAATGTTCAACCGCAAGTTGTTTTTATTCGAGACGAAATGGTTCACTTGAGGTTGGATTCAACAAGATCCAACTTCTTCCAGGAACTCTCTCGATAGTGTCTCTTCGCCAACCTCGAGGCGGCTTGAGATAAGATCTAACACCTGGGTGACTTTAAATCCTTTTGGGTTAGATTTGGTTGATTATCCAATCCGGCTCACTGTTATGGATCTTGATTTCTCAGCGGGGAAGCGTCAATGACGTGGTATCCGAAAAGGTACCGCATTCCTTATCTCACCCCCCCTCCCTCACAACCGCGCGGTTCAGGAGATCCGACAACTTGGGTTCAATCACGTCGCTTCATCTGACATATTGAAGGCGGCCAGTCATGCGTAAGTTCACTTCCACACATTCATGTCTCAAGTCACTGACACGATAGAACAGCTCATCTATCGCCACTACTATGCGGCCTCGCCGTGCTGGGCCAGCTCGGCTCCGTGGTCACCGGCGCTCCCCTGGAGTTCAAGTACCAAAGGGTGATCCAAAACACCTCTTCCGAAGGTCACCGGGGAGCCGTCGCCAGTGAGAGCGCCATATGCTCCGAGATAGGCACCGACACTCTCCGCAAGGGTGGTTCCGCCGCCGACGCCATGGTAGCCACCACCCTCTGCGTCGGCACCATCGGCATGTACCACTCTGGCATCGGCGGCGGCGGCTTCATGCTGGTGCGCGACCCGGACGGGAACTACGAGACGGTGGACTACCGCGAGACCGCGCCCGCAGCCGCCACCGAGGACATGTACAACGACGACCCCAACGCCAGCGTGCTCGGCGCCCGCTCCGTCGCCATCCCCAGCGAGCTGCGCGGCCTCGAGTACGTGCACAGCAAGTACGGCCGGCTGCCGTGGCACGACCTCGTCATGCCCTCGGTCAAGATCGCCCGGGACGGCTTCAAGGTGACGGAGGACTTGGTCAATTACATGGCCAAAGCCTCAGTATCGGACGATTTTTTGACCCGCGACCCCGTCTGGGCCGAGGACTTTGCTCCCAACGGCACCCTGCTCGGGCTGGGCGACACCATCACGCGCAAACGGTTCGCCAAAACACTGTTGAAAATCGCCCTCTTCGGCGCCGACGCCTTCTACACCGGCCCGATCGCCGACTCCATGATCGCCCTCCTGCAACCTCTCGGCGGCATCCTCACCCACTCAGACCTAGCCAACTACCGCGTATCCATCCAGCCGGCGCTTAACATCACGTACCGGGACTCCTTCCGCATCTTCTCCACCGACGCACCTTCTTCGGGAGCCGTAACCCTCTCCATCCTCAAAACCATGGAACAATTTCCCTCCCCCTCCCTCGCGGCCGACACCTTCCTTACCAACCACCGCTTCGTCGAAGCCATGAAATTCGCCTACGGCGCCCGCCAATCCCTCGGCGACCCATCCTTCATAACCAACATCACCTCCTTTCAGGAAGCCATGCTCTCCCCCCAAACCGCCAAATTTATTTCTTCCAAAATCCTCCCCAACTCCACTTTACCCTTATCAGAATACGACCCAGCAAAGAACTACGCCGTCGAAGCCCACGGCACTTCACACATCGTCACCGCCGACCGCTCTGGCCTGACCCTCTCCTCTACCACCACTATCAACCTCCTCTTCGGTTCCCGTCTGATGACGCCTGACACAGGCATCATCTTGAACGACGAGATGGACGATTTCTCCCAGCCCAACAAGAATAACTCCTTCGGTTTCGTGCCCTCCCCCTCGAACTTCATCCGCGCCGGAAAAAGGCCGCTGTCGAGTATCTGTCCCCTAATGGTCGAGCATGTTAGCAACGGCAGCTTGTGGTTCGCCACGGGCGCGGCGGGCGGGAGCAGGATTATTTCGAGTACCACGCAGGTGGCGTTTAATGTGCTTGAGGGACTTGCTGTGCATCCTAACACTACTTCCCTTTTGGGGACAAAAGGGGTGGGTGGTGAGGGAAGCGTGATGCGGGCGGCGGTGGCGGCGCCGCGGTTGCATGATCAGTTGATGCCCGATGTGTTGCTGGTTGAGCAAGGGTATGGACAGGATGTGTACGAGGATTTGAAGGGACGGGGACATAATGTTACTTGGCAGGCGCCGGGGCTGAGTGCGGTGCAGGCGGTGATGAGGTTTGGGAATGGAACGTTTGTGGCGGCGAGTGAGACTAGGCAGGTTAATAGTGGTGGGTTTGCTGTTTAGATGGGAATGAGATGATGAGGATAATGGGTTGTGGAAGGCTGGTAGGGGGTGATAGGACCTGCTTACTGTTGGATACCCATAACGAACAGCGGATAGACATTAGAAACAGCAATGATTATCATGGTTCAATGATACAATTAATGAGAAGACTTTTGTTCAAGAGGTTTCAACATTATGAAATGGGATATCTCGTACTAACTCGCTCAACTGTTCAACACCAAACCACCTGCCACCAAACCGACCCTCTTTTTAAACCATTCATGCTCATCTCAACCGCCCGCCAACAAGAGAAACGCCGCGCCCGCCAAAATACACATTCATAACAAATTCGTGATCATCTCATCAAAAGCAGCAACAACAACACCGCCCCACAGATATTCTCTCTTCCTCTATTTGCTGGTATCGACGACATATCTGCCGGCAATCTTGCCCTCCTCCATCAGATCGTAGACTTCCTGCAACTTGCTGAGGCCGACCGTCTTGAGGGGAACCTTGATCAAGCCGCGAGCAAAGAAGTCAAGGGCCTCCTGGGTATCCGCCCTGTTACCGACATACGAGCCCTTGATGGTGATCATGCGGATGACGGTATCGAAGACGGGGGCCTTGAAGTACGCGCCAGCGGGGAGACCGATGCAGATGATGGTTCCGCGGGGACGGACGTAATCGACAGCCTGGTGGAACGGCTTCTCGGACACGGCGAGGAGGATGACGGCGTGGGGACCGAGACCCTCGGGGGTGGCGGCCTTGACGTCCGCGACGAGGTCCTTGGAGGTGGTGAAGTCGACGTAGGCCTTGGCGCCCAGCTCGCGGCAGCTCTTGCCCTTCTCCTCACCGCCGTCGATGGCGATGGCGTGCAGGCCCATAGCGTTGGCGTACTGAATGGCCATGCTGCCGAGACCGCCGCCGGCGCCGACGATGGCGACCCACTGGCCGGGACGCGCACCGGACTCCTTGAGGCCCTTGTAGACGGTGATGCCGGCGCAGAGGACGGGCGCGATGGCCTCGAGGTCGCACTCCTTGGGGATCTTGGCGACGTGGGCGGCCTTGGCGATGGCGTACTGCTGGAAGGAACCGTCGACGGTGTAGCCGGACAGGAGGGCGTGGGGGCATAGGGGCTCGTCGGCCTGCATGCAGAAGGAGCAGGCCAGGCAGGAGCCGTTGAGCCACTTGATACCGGCGTAGTCGCCAACCTCAACCTCGGTGACGAGCTCACCCTTGGCTACGACGACACCGGCACCTTCGTGACCGCCGACGAGTGGCAGCTTGGTATCGAGGGGCCAGTCACCCTTCATGGCATGGAGATCGGTATGGCAGACGCCAGAGTACTTGACGTTGATGAGGACCTCATCGGGGCCGGGCTTCTGGACGGGGATCTGCTTGAAGACGACGGCTAGAAGAAAGGAACAAGTTAGGATGTGGTTCAGCGGCTAATGACAAAGGGCATTAGACTTACGACCGCCCTTCTTCTCGACCACCTGGGCCCATTGCTGTTCTGGGATCTCGAACTGGGTCATTGTGAAGGTATGTTGTTGTTGTCTTTGGTGTAGGAAGTTGATGGAAGTGAAGTAAACACAATAGTCTCTTTCTATAAGAGACTGAGGAAGTTCTTTGTATAGGATGGAAGTCTATGAGGTACAACAACTGGTGCAAACCCGGGAATAGCTGCGGCAGCCATAACCTCTTATACTCTTTCAGTTTCCCATCGCCCCTCACTAAGGGATAGCAACAGGCCCGATCGATCGGCAACCATTGGCAAGAGGGGGACAATGGATGACCCAAAGCAAGGCAGGCAGGCATCATGGTGGACAGCGAACCAAACACGAGACTGTAAGGTATGACAACAGGAAGAGGGGAGACCGAGATCTGCACGTCTCTACAGACTGGGCAAGGGTAGTGGTGGCTCGGTGGGAAGACAAATCGGACGTCTGGCGATGCAGGGGCCGAGATTCTCTACTGGAGGGCCTCTTGGAGTTGTAGTCTTGTGTAGATAGACGAGGGAAAACGCATGATTCTGACGGGCGAGGGGTATGTACGTAGAGAGACGTAGAGGATGTGACGGTACAGGAAGCTCCCACTGGCCAATTTCCCATTGTCTGTACTTGCAGAAGGAACGCTGTGATTCTCTTTCCATCAGCCCGGTAGGCACCCCCCTCGAGCCCCCCTCCAGTCGTCAGCATCCTGATCCATGGGAGGCTTCAAGTTGCTGCATACGGCCGGCTCAAGGTTTCCGAATATTGTCCGGTTGGGGGGATTTGGAGAGACATTGAGAAGCCAAGAGAGATCTCCGCTTCTGTCAACTATACAGGTCCGATCTAAATGCGGGGGAGCTTGCACCCTGAACCAACAGTTCGAAGCAGACAAGGTCACAAGCTCTTGTTGGATGAAACTGTTCATGCAAGAAGCTATTACTGTCCTCGACGTCGATGATGTGCAAAAGAGGAGAAAGCTGAGGAGGATTGGGGAAAATTCGGTATTCAAGAACCGCTTTGAACGCTGACGTCCACGGTGGGTTCTCTCATTCCCACGATGTTAGTGTTGGTGGAGTAAACCCGTGCCATCCGGGGAACGCCAGACAGTCTGCCAGGGACATGTCAAGCTATCGTCCCAACTTGTCATGACGAGAAATCGACGAACGAGATGGATGGAGGTTGGGATGAGAGCTTCGTTGCCAAAGTCAAAAGGAGTGACCTCAAGTGATGACGGATGTTTGTGGGGGCAAAGAACAGCGCTAGCTTCTTAGGGCAGCCCTAGCCAGCCTCAGCGGAGCCAGGACAGTGTCTGCCCACCTTCGTTTATTATCATGAAGCGCCACATTGAAACGGCCCTTTTCCCGCTCATCATGTCAACAATGTCGTGGTGAAGCACCTGAGGTTCTGATCCCATCTCGTGGTTTGTGAGAAGCTTTTTCCAGTTATTATGGAGCGGCCGAAATCTCACCGTCTCTTCTTATCTAAGAGAACACATCTCCATGAAATATCTGCCTTCTCATCATCAACTTCAACCTAGGTACTTCGCTCATGTCAGGTCTCAGTACGCCCGCCCGGCACCTTAAGCCGAGTACAGTCTCGAATACGGTGTTTGAAGTCGTTGACAGCGCGCGGGCCCGACCCGAGACCCCGCCGTGGTGTTCCACCCCCAGACTTTCCGTTCTATAAACGACTTTCCGCTCCACCGAAGCCACTGCAGGTGTCTCAAACCAACCACCACACGCTAAAACCTGTGCTACTTCTCCTCCTCGAAGCTCTCATGGGAGTCGTGGATCTCCTCTTCCCCCGCGTCTTTGTTAACAATGGTTGGGTTGGGTTGGGGTAAAGCTGAGACGAATCAGTTATAGTGCTTGCTGTTGGTTTGGTCCCAACAGACATTGAAGAAGCAGAAAAAGCAAAAGCCAACTTCCGTTCGAGCGAAGAAGCATCAAAACGGCAAGCCGGTGCAGTGACTACGAGGCTTGTAAGCCACCAAAGGAGGGTCTGGAACCCCTTTGACGCAAGGACTAAAATGCCTTTGGGATTGGCGTTCCAGTGATGAAGCTTCTTCCCCGCATTCTTGTCCTACCTGACCCACACCTATACCTTTATAGAAAGGCATACAGAAAGTTGCATAGCTCTTGCTCCTTGTCCGGCGCAAAGCAATCTAACTACTGAATCATCCGAACTGTGTTATGTTATGGATACTGGCGTGAAAAGCGCTGGGAATATGGTCCGTGTCCTTTGAGGCGAGCCCCGAGCTTTCTTGAGATATCTTTCGACATTACGATCAAGCCCAGACCTCACTACCATCTAATCAATGGGCTGATGAAGATTCGGCAGGTTGTGAGATTGATACGATCAGACCACCCGGCGCGGACCGTGGTCGTGGTGCTGACATCCTTGCTCACGGAGAGTTACAGTGAATCGTAGAGCGAGTTCGCCCGAGCCGTGAATTTCTTGGCACGCCGCCTCCGGAACCAACCGACCGGTATTATAAGCCCCCTTTTCAAGGGGACCGTTGCTCTGCGCAACGGCAATCCTGAACATCAACACAACAAACGCATTGGCCATTCATGCGCTAGCATTAGTTTCTCTTTTCTATTCACCGCCATTATATAAACATCGGCGCCCGCTGCCTGCCAAATAAGATGCGGACTCGCTCCTGTACACAAAATATTACGCTTAAGATCCACCAGGTCCTCCGAGCAGAGCGAACCGGCGCACAATGCTGGGTCCATATTCTTGGTACTGTAGAGGCCCGTCAGCAACCAGATTGACAATGAAACAAGGGACAGCAAGCATACCTCCGCCTTGGTGTGGCAGTACGACCGGAACTCGGGCGTCTGGCCGAGCAAGCTACCACCGAACCACGGGCCGTGCCGTTGCCTCTTGTGGGTAATAACCTGGACATCAAGACCACCGCTCTTGGCTCCACCGCTGCGCACCTCGCTGGCCTTGATTCTCGTATCGACAAGCTGCTTGATATCGCGCTGTAGCCTGCGGCCAAAGTCCTTGTAGAGCGTGCTGCCACCCGAAAGAACAATGTTCTTGTAGAGACCACGACGGACATCGATGGGCGAAGACTGAATGACACCATCGACAACCACTGGCAGGGGGGTAAGGAAGTCGGACGAGTAAATCTCGGGGTTGAAGAAGATCTCGGGGGCCATGAAACGCTCGTAACCAACATCAACCGTAACTTGGCGACCTCCGGGCTGGGTAATGGTGTGCTTAAGGAATCGGCTGCGATCGCGGTCGTACTTGGCAAACTCCTTGACAATGTCCGGGCAGACATAGCAGTACTCTTCCTTGATCTCCTGGGCGGTTTTGAGGGACGAGTCGGGCTCGCCGCGGTCACGGAGAAGCGACTGGACGAAGTAGGTGATGTCGCGACCGGCAATAGGAATCGACTTGATGGACGAGCCGATAACGTAACCTTCGGCGACCGGGATAACGTGTGTCACACCATCACCAGAATCAATGACAGTACCGGTCAAGGATCTGTCTTGGACCTTGGATGACGTCCAGGAAGCCGCAAGGGCCAGGACGGCCTGGACGGCAATGTAGAGACCGGCGCAGTTGAAGGACTCGAAGAAGATTTCGGCCGTGTTTTCGCGGTTCTCGGGAGGGTTGAGAGGCTATTTCGACGTGTCAATGCTGCGAACGTACGTACTCTTGTGGTTGGAAAGTGTAGTCTTACCGGCTCAGTGAGGAGGAAATGGTGGTCCTCAGGCTCTACCCTCAGATACTTGAAGATGGAGTTGGACCAGAACCTTTCCATGTGATCCTAAGCTCTAGTTAGCTCTAGGCATTAATGGCATGCCATCTAGTAGCCTGAACGCACCCAGTTCTCAATCTGTCCGTGTCTGATGGGATAGTGCAACCCGTAGCCTAACACCGTCAGCACCGATTTCCATTTAGGCGGTGTAGACCAACGTACCAGGCCCATTAGCGGCCGCTACGGCCTCGTCGCCGATAAAGAAGTCGAGGTCTTCGGTTCCGCGCTTTGCTGAGAGATGGCCACCTGGACCAGCGCCGCCGGTGAGGAAGGATGGCTTGTTGGCTACGGCAGGGCGGCCAGAGCCCGAGCCGCCGGTGCCTGCCGAGGGGCTTTTGGTCGCGATGGCTGTCGGGAATACGAACGAGGGGGAATCATTGCCGGCGAAACCTGCAAAGGGAGAGCTTGGTCAATCGATGGTCATTGGAAATCTCGGGGAGTCGGGAGTCGCGAACCTAGCTTGGAGAACCCCGTGCCGCTGGTTAGGGGATGTTAGCGATGGCGGCCCCGGAGCTGTTTAAGGAGCGGGCGGGGTGGAGACGGGACACTTGGATGCACGTACTTGTCCATGACAACGGCGGGGGTTGTGTTGGCCATTGTTGCGGTGGTTTGCTGCTACGCGCAGCTCGTGATGATTGCGGTTCGGTGAGGGCGCAAAGCAACGACGGGCGACTTGTATAGTTGGTGATGGATGAAGTGACGGGGCGGGAGCGTGGATAGTGGATAGGAAATGGAGGTTGATGTCCAAGATTACGTGCCTGGCCGAGCTAGCTCTCCTTACGGCTGGCTGACAGCGCTGCGTAGTACTGTGGAGGTACCTGTGCGGCTGTGCGCCAAGACCTCGAGTCCCAGTAAGGTACGGCGGTCCATTTTGTCAGTCGTGCATTCCACTTCCCAACGACGGAACCAAACAACTGCCAAACTTTCCACCATACAACACTGGCTGTCTGGCTCATCCATCAGTGACGGTTATCAACACGTTTGAGTTTGCGTGTTAGTCTTCATCACTCTCGCTTGATTATCATGAGCTGAGGCTTCCGGACACCATGCCTAACCTGCGCGCCATCCGAGCCCCCCGAAATCAACCGATTCCCCGATCCCAGGCACCGGAGCTCAAAGCACACGGCAGGCATCTCCGGGCCCGGACGGTGATGGCTGGGAAAAGTGGGGCCGGTCGGGATCAAGCTGTAGCGGAAAGGCCGACCGGACAGAACATCTCCCGTCGAAAAGGAAGGAGATACTGAATGGAAATCACCTCCAACCAGATTTACACCTGCCATTTCTGTCAGACTCATCTCAACCTCATCTCGAAGCAAGTCCACTTTGTGAATCATCAACCTGTCCAGTGTCCACACTCCGTCCTCTCTGTCTCTCGCGTATTCTGCACTTTGCACCTTTGCCTTCACACATCTTCATCCCGCCCACCTACTGTATCCAAAGGGACTCTTCACCCACCCGGCCAACCTGAGTGCATTATCCAGCTCAACGGGGATCGTTTCAAATACCACCCAAGACAATATCTCTACCGAGCATCATTTGCAATCATTGTTTTATCAGGTTGCTTCTACAAGGGAAACCAAGTCCGACCACCCTTTTCATCCCATCCACCCAGTGCTGGCACTGCTTTGGGTATCGCGAATTAAGTTGTCCTGCTATATTCTTCCGTTCACCACGAGATCAACATCCGAAATCTCATGCTTCGCCCAAAGCAATAGCCATCTTCTCAAGGCCTCGCCCTCGAATGCTGTCTTCTCCGGACCTCCGACCAAAAGTCGATTAGATTTTTCGCCCTGCTTTGTCTGGTAATTACCGACACCACACCAAAGTTGAGGACTCCACACGCCCTCAGAATACAGACTCACTTGAAAGACAAATGCTCGATCACTAGACAACTCAACCTCGCCAGACACCTCGCTACTTCGACGATCTCCTCGAGTCGCCATACCACAACCGCGACCGCAATGAGCAACCAAAATGCCGGACCGGACCATGGGTCACCCGAATCAAATATTGACATGTCAGCCAGTTCCTCCGACTCAGACTGGCCTGACGATCATGAACATGGATTTGATGGGAGTGTCGAAAGGATATGGAAGCGTACCACGAAGCCAGTTGCGGCAATCTTCGTCCATGCAGGTGCAGGGTACCATAGCGTTACGAATGAAAAGGTTCACTTGGAAGCATGCAGCGAGTAAGTTGAGTCAAGAGTCACCAGATGGCACATTGCTGATGGGGTTGAAACTAGAGCCTCCCGCGTCGCCATGAGGTTCTTGAAAGCCGGCGCTTCTGCTCCCGAGGCCGTCGAAGCCGCTATCAGGCATTTGGAGGACAAAGAGATAACGAATGCCGGCTTCGGAAGTAATCTCAACATGGATGGGGTTGTCGAATGTGACGCAACCGTAGTCGACCATCTGGGGAGAAGTGGTGCTTGTGGCGCTGTTCCTGGTACGCCCCAACCGATGATCCCACATATGAATTAAACGCTGACACTTGTTGACATATGTAGGTATCAAAAACCCCATCTCGCTTGCCAAGTTGATTCTGGACAGAAGTAGCCAGCCTCTTTCTCTCCGCAGAGTACCGCCAAATATTCTCGTGGGCCTAGGAGCTAGGGACTTTGCCGAAGAACACGGGATGGCCACCGTACCGAACGAGTACCTTATTTCCAAGAACGCAAAGGATCGTTTTCTTCGCTGGAAAGAGGACCTGAAAAAGGCGGAAGCGAGACAGATCACCCCAAGTAGTAGCTCCTCTCATATTACACAAGCTTCTCTGAGAAACCTAGAGACGCATCGCCCGTCGCCAACGCCGAGTGATTACGAAAAAGCCGCGGAATCCCTAAACGCCTCGAGTTTACGCCGGGACCACTCAAGTGCGATTCTGACTGGGATCTGGAACGAGGGCCAACCCGACTCGCCGTATGGTAGAGGGTCCCCTTTACTGGGTGAAAATGGATCACTTGGAAGTGTTCCTTCAGCAACACCTCGCCCGCCTCAGAGAAGTCTTACAAACGGAAGCAAGCCAGTCGATCGAGCTGCCATGAACTACGTGTCAGCTACATTTCAGTCACGCGCCACTACTGGCAGCCCAGCCGCTACAAAGAGGACAGTGGTACGAAACAGTCACAGTGAAGATATTGGCTATTTCCCGGCTACTGGGAAAACCCCGAGGAGATCTCCGTCATTGTCAACTCGTGATGGGTTTGTGAGCGAAAAGGAAGAACACGATCAGAGTCTAAACACTATGGGAATCCAATCGGAGGAACAGTTACTTGCGACCGCCCAGATCAGTGGCCCGATACCTTCGAATGTACCGGAGCAAAAGGAGGACGAAGATCTAATAACTGACACCGTCGGCGCAATTGCCATTGACCTAAAGGGGCGCATCGCCGCAGGTTCCTCTTCCGGCGGCATCGGCATGAAGCACCGTGGTCGCATAGGTCCTGCTGCTCTCGTTGGAATCGGAACGGCCGTGATCCCTGAGGATCCCGACGACCACACGGGCACCTCGGTAGCCGCCGTCACCAGTGGAACAGGCGAGCACATGGCTACATCGATCGCCTCAGCGAAATGTGCAGAGCGGCTGTTTGAGAGCAGCCGCCGCGGCCTTGGAGGACACAGCATATCGGAATTAGATGAGCATGCGCTGCTAGAGGCTTTTATTCTGGACGATTTCATGGGCCATCCGGGCGTCAAGAACCAACCGTCGGCGGGTGCAATCGGAGTCATGACTGTCAAGAAGGATCGGACAGGGTACTACTTTTATTTTGCGCACAACACCGATTCTTTTGCACTAGCTAGTATGGCATCAACGGAACGAGAGCCGAGTGTTGTGATGTCGAGGCTGGGAGAGATTGGGCCGGTGGCTCAGGGTGGACGCAGGATTCGGATTGATTGAGCCAAGTCCCTTCCTGGTGGTTATTTCTCCTGAAATGTCTCGCTTTCTGGCTTCACTCCTGACTAAAGCGTTGGTGTTTTGGCTAGGGATTGCTTTTCACGGGTTCAGAGTTCGGCATAGAAGGCGTGGGCCGGAGATGTCAACTCGATGGCATTGATAGACAGGCTTAGAGGGAACGGCGTTCATGAGCTGATGATACCCTACGTAATACCCACCCTTTATCACCGCGGGACTAAGTGGAAGAACCTCACCTCAACGTTGCTGAACCTTAGTTTACCTAATCGATCCCCTTGAACTTCTTCAATAATACTATCATACCCACATCAATCATGATTCGCGGCGCGGCATGAATTTTGCTGACCCATTAAGTGCTCGTCCAATAGTCGTTTTTGCAGTCGTTGAACTTCACTTTTCTTTGCCCAGCACATATGATTGCAAACTCTACTAAACCGGTGCAATTTTGACTTGTCATCAATAAAGGCTTCGCTAATAATACTAGAATAAGAAAGGGATATCTCTCAGCACCAAACAGACTCCATCACATCTAGTTTCGAGCACCGCCCTTACGAGCTACAACTGCACTGCATAGCCTTCTTCTGCTGCGGCACATCCCCCGTCCACCTCTCCTCCTCCGCCTTATCGCCTTGATAAACACCCTTCCCAGTCGGTCCATCCTCAAACTCCTTACCAGTCCAGGCATCCTCAAACGGATGTGTAGCCATGTGCAACACCCTCTTGAGCACGTCCCGCTCGCCCTCCTTCTCCACGCGGCGAATCACCTCGTCCAGAATCCACCCCCGCGGGATAAAGCTAGGGTTGACCTTTTTCATCGCGGCCACACGCTCCTCCGAGTCAGCTGCGGACGACCAATCCTCCTCGATCCGCTGCCGCCACTTATCCAACCACTCGCCCACGCGCTTGCGCGCCTTTTCTTGGTCGGTTCCATGTCCGGGCACGCCGTCAACCTGAGAGAAGAAGACCTCGGCAGCAGCCTTTTGGCGGGTTTCTTCGGTTTGTAGGTCAGCGGTTTTAAGTGTGCTGAGCCGCCGGAAGAAGAGGTTGTAATCGAGCTCGAGGGCTTCCATGGTGTTGAGGAGGGAGTCGAAGAGGGCGTCAAAGTCGGATTCCTTGTAGGTCTTTAGCCCGAGGCGCGCCGTAAACAGCCGCTTGAACTCGGCCATGAACACGGCCTTGAACTCCTCGCCCGCCTGGGTGATGAGCTTGTGGGCACGCTCCTCGATGGGTTTCGAAGCGGCGTCGTCGTCGAAGTTGAGTCCGTTTGTGATGAAAGACTCCGAATCGACGTCGGGACCGGCGCCGATTAGTTCGCCCAGGGCTTCGCCTAGTCGGACCAGGTTCCACCAGATGATGGTCGCTTGGTTGCGATAGCTGTAGCGTAAAGCAAAGTCGTCGTGGTTGGGCGTGTAGTTGGGGTCGAAGTTGTCCATGAAGGCGAAGGGGCCGAAGTCGATGGAAAGCCCAAAAATGGAGGTGTTGTCCGTGTTGAGCACGCCGTTCATGAAGCCGTAGATTTGCCACTTGGCGACAGTCAGGGCGTTGCGCCGGATGATTTCGCGGTAGAGTCGGTGGAACCGGTTTTCTTCGGCTCCGGGAGGGCCTTCAATGGTTTCTTTGGGAATTCCCCGGGGAGGTTCGTCGCCGGGCGCACCTTCCGGATCAGCCAGCCGCCCGGGAAGCTTGTCCCACCCGCCGAATACCTCCTCGCCGATGTAGGTGGCTAGTTGACGGACGAGCTTGCGGTCGCCGCGCGCGCGGAGGATGTCGAAGTTGCCGAAGCGCAGCCAGCTCTGGGCCATGCGAACCACGATGGCGCCGGGCTCCATGGTCTCACGCCGCACGCGCGAGTGCGGGAGCAGGCTGATGGCTAGCGCGCGGGTGCTGGGAATCCCGAGGGCATGGAGAGCTTCGCTGACGACAAACTCGCGGATGCTAGAACGGAGAACGGCCTTGCCGTCTGCAAAGCGGCTGTAAGGCGTCATGCCGGCCCCCTTGAGCTGAATCTCATACCGGACACCTGTGGACGGGTTGGTTCCTTCGAACAAGGAGATGGCGCGCCCGTCACCGAGTTGACCTGCCCATTGACCGAACTGGAAGCCTCCGTAACATTGAGCCCAGGGGTAACCGGGGCCGGAAAGCATCTCTTCATCCCAGCCGATGATCTTGTTGCCTACTGCTACTTCGCGAAATTCTTCCGTGTCTGCTTCCGACAGTGCGAGACCGAGATCGCGCATGGCAGCTGGAGAGACGGCGAGAAGCTCGGGGTCTTGTTGCTTCTCGGGACGAACCCATGTGAAGATGGCATTCTTCACCTGGCGAGGACCGAGGTCATCGCGATCAGCCTTGTGGCTGTCAGCTGGTGTAGGGAAGGCGGCATCTGGTGGGAGAGAGGCAGTGAAGTGCCATGATTTGGGGAGGGCGGATAATGTTGTGCCTTCGGATGAGAGGGGGTGTGTCCCGTTCTCGGTGGGGGTGCCGTTTAAGGCCATGATGTTGTTGGTGGTGCTGAAGAAAGCCGAGAAGGGTTGGTTTGCGTATGGGATGCTTTTCAGATGTTGAGCGACAGCAAGACAGCGGGCTGCGGGTTTCAATGAGCGCATCAAGGGCAATAGTTGGAGTAGGAAGTGGTTGCTTCTCGACACTTGACTATACCGGTATACATACGAGGTTAACCTGGAGGTGGTTACAGTGGCAACGTTGTATGTGTATTCTTCGTTGTCCGAGGTTTGGGTAGTCCAGCCCAGGGGAATTAGTCAGACAAGGTCTACCTAGGTTATAGTAGGGATGGGAAAGTCAATGATTCCGAATGGGTTTCAACTGCCAATTGTATGTTCCGCGGATATGCTAATATCTGTATCTGAATGCTGTTCCTGACGACATGAACATGAGATGAGCAAAAGCTCCGGGTGGCGGAAACCGTTCAATTAAGCATCAGGAGAGAAAGAACTCTTCAGCGTCCGCTGTTAAGGATCCTGGATGCTTATGCAATCGACACCTGCCAAGACTACACCTAGAAAATCCTCTTCTCACCTTTGCCTCTTGTCAATTCGTTTGTCCCTTCATCAGCTCTTCAAATGATACTTAGGGCTGATTCCTTTATTTGATCACAGACTCATAGCGTTCGGCCTCGTTCGTCTCGCCCCCTACGAATACATCCTTCCCGGCGCTCTGGGTATGGCGTCATAGCCGTGACGAATCGTGCCCCGCACCCGTAATTGTTAGTGCGGGGTGGAGCTTTGTACCGGTACCTCGTCAGCTTATGTTTACTTTCTGCCCCTGAATCTCGGACTTGCAAACAACTCGGGTAACACGAACAACCACAATTAGAAAAACGAAGCTATTCCCAAGTATAGCAAAGTTCCTCAAAATCTATTTGATCAAGAAACTCCCCGTACACAGCTGAGTTCATTACGAGATGAAGGACTGGTGGTCCAAGACCCCAGTGGGTCCCTACTATTTCGATTTACCGTGTAGGAACAGGTACCTTGCTGAATAATTAATGTTCTATGTATACAGCTCTGTTGTTATTCCCGCTGTCGCAACGACAAGATAGAGGATTAACTTTATCCCCACGGCACTTGCTCTCTCATACCTATTCATACTTATATACTCCCATCTTTGACCGCACCTGAACAGCTCTACTGCTCACCCAACACCAACAACTCTATCTAAAATGAACTCTGCCACGTCCAACTTCGAGGTAGACGCCACCGGCGTCTCACCCAAGCAACTTGACGGCCTCATCCCGTCTCTCAAGCTCGCCGACGGCAATGAAGTCCCCATGGTTCGTTTCGTCCCTTGCTTCTTCCTTACACTCACCCACGCCCCTTCCCCTCCCACAAAACCACTTTCTAACACCACCTCGTACCCAAAAACAGCTCGGCTACGGCCTCGGCACCGCCAACTACAAATCCGGCTCCGCCGGCGACGCCATCTCCGAGCCCATCGTCACCGCCACCCTAACCGCTCTCAAGGCCGGCTACACGCACCTGGACGGCGCCGAAGTCTACGGCAACGAAGTGGAGCTAGGCAAGGCCATCGAGCAATCCAGGCTTCCTCGCTCCTCTTTGTTCATCACCACCAAAACTATCGTCCACGCCGGCGACACGGTCACCCAGTCCTTCAACCGCTCTCTCGAGAAGCTCGGGCTCGACTACGTCGACCTGTACCTTTTGCACTCTCCCTTTTTCGCCAAGACCCCCGAGGAGCTCCATCAAGCCTGGCGGGAGATGGAGAAGATCAAGGACAGCGGGATGGCCAAGTCGATTGGTGTTTCGAACTTTTTGATCTCGCATCTGCAGACACTGTTTGAGATTCCTGGTGGATTTGTGTACCCGCCGGTTGTTAACCAGATTGAGTATCACCCTTACCTGCAACATGTGGTAGAGGGTGAGGATTTGATCGCCTACTGCCGGGAGAAGAACATTGCTATTCAGGCTTACTCTCCGCTGACGGCCATCACGAATGCCAGCCCGGGCCCTGTGGATCCGATTTATACGAAGCTGGCCAAGAAGTACGGTGTCAGTGAGGCCGAGGTTGCCCTGAGATGGTGTCTGGATCAGGGTATTGTGACGCTTACGACGAGTAGCAATGAGGAGAGGCTGAAGGGCTACCTGAAGAAGTTGCCCAGCTTCAAGTTGACACCAAAGGAGGTGGAGGATATCGCGGCAGCGGGTAAGGAGAAGCATCATAGGGTGTGGTGGACTGAGAACTTCGATGCAAACGACAGGCGTTAAGCCATGTAAGCTGCCCACGAATTACGGGTTTGGTCGGTAGTTAAATGAATAATGAGCTATATTCGAGGTTAAATCGTTGGATGATCCATTCGTCACTCTTGCGAATGTATGAGTTATGTGGCGGCAGGAAAGAACTGTGGATGCGTTCTGGGTTCGGAGCAAGTTGGCACTGAGTTAATTCATTCAACCACTACGTATAATTATATAAGACTCTTTTATTCAGTGGTGCGTAAGCTAAGCGAGCGACTATGAGACTCAATAACTATCATTGATACATGCCCAAGGCCGAGTAATCCATTGCAGGCCATGCATTTAACTTCCATCCATGCTTCCGGTCGTTTCGTTTCCATTTTCAATCTAACACAAAAAAAGAACTAGACAATCTTACTTCGGCCTCCCCTCGTTGAACTCTTCATCGCACCATTTCTCCATTATTCGAGTCAACCTCCTTCAGCAGAGCTAGCCGCCAAAAGATGAAGTCCCCACATTAGGGGAAAAAAGGTCCGTTAGAGAGACGAACAACTAGAAAAGGTTGTGTGACTGCTCGTCATCACTAGATCGGGACAAGACAGATTCATACTTCCTCCATTATGAGCCGCGTACCGGGTCGTCTTGATATTGCAAAATCCATAGTGATGTTGTTTCCAAAGCGCTCGAAGGGGCAGTAGCCTCCCGAGCGTAGGATGTCGGGTGATTTGTTAAATTAGCTGCTGACGAAGATGTTGTGAAAACGGAATCTCATATGGTATAGGTAAACTTCCAACTGAGAACCGATTGCGAAAATCCAGCGCATGTTTGAACGAAGGACGTGCTTTATACTCAAACAATGTTGGAACAACAGGTGGTGTGTGCTTGAAGAAAAGGGGTCGAGCTTTGATGCTCATGGGTGAGAGGTTAACCGCGGTGTGGCCTACCTTCAACGGTGGTAAGCTCCATTGAAGCGAGGGCCAGGGGCGATGCGGCCTCCCATGGCAGGGCCAGCACCGGGGCCAGGACGAGTAGCAACAGCATGGTTGGTGCATAGCATGCCGACGCGGGAGCCGAACTTCGATCCGCGAAGGGAGACCATGTGCTTCCGGATATGAGCCGCAACGATCTCGCGGTGCTGAGGGTTGGCATGGGTCAGGATGTACTGGATGAGGTAGTTGCCATACTGGTCGCTGGCGATATCGATCAAGGGGATACGTGGACGGTCATGTCTGCCCTCGCAGACGCGATCCAGATAGCGACCCAAGAATTCGGGGCCTCCAATCTTGAGGCACTTCTCAACAACCTTTGAGGCGAACTGGTCCATGCTGTACTTAGCTGCATAGCGAATAACATGATCGATAGCACGGCTGCGGTCTGCGGGAGCACCATGCTCACAGATATGCTGTATGCACCAGTTTCCAAATTGGCCATGGGCGACGATGTCAATGTTGGCAAGGACTTCCTCAATGCAGGGACGCTGCGCATACATCGTCAGCAAACATAGTGTGGAGAGGTTGGGTACAAAGTTAATAGATGACATACCTTGTCTTCTTCTAAACAGTTCTCAAAGATGTTCTGGACAACAAGACTACCAGTCTCGCCCAATGCAACTTCGTGCCACATACCATGAAGAGCATCGTTGACGTACTTCATGATCTGCGGAGGAGATTCGGTCCATCTCAGCTCGAACAGCTTCTGCCACACGTGGCATGCGTAACGGTGAATAACCGTCTCCGGAATCCTGCGCAGAAGCTCGTGGACCATGATAGCCTTGTAATCTTCAGGGACAGAGTCGAATGCCTTCTGAACGACGTGGCAACCAAAAGGGTCCATAGAAAGGTTGAGAGTATTGCCGCGGATGGCCTCAGCAATCTTGATGACTTGCTCGGGAGTGCCATGTTCAAAGCAGCGCTGAACGAGAAAGTTGCCGAACCGATTGACCATCAATGGATAGGCTTGCGCGACAATGGCTTCAACAATGTCGTACTTTTGCTCGGGGGTTCCAACCTTGAGCTTCTGCTGAAGGAAGATAGAAGCCTGTTGGTCATTGTTGCAGACAATCTTGTCGACGATATACTTCCAATCGCAAGTGACGTTACGGTCCAACAGCCGCCGATAGTTGAGAGGCTCCGTAGCCGGCAAATACGTTTGTCCTTCGGAAGTCACAGTCTGCAAGGAGAGTTTGTCAGTCCAATCAGTGATGGAATCCATCCCGAGTGGACTCACCTCTGTCTTCCAAGGTGCTCCCGCAGCAGTGAATTCAGTGGCATGCGGAGAGAGTGGAGATACAACCGGCGGCTGCTGGTAGGCCGAATACATGTTCATGCCTACGCCCCCCGTCATGGTGTTGGGCGGGCCTCCTGGATAAGCAGGAGCAGGAGCTTCGTAGTGGCCAGGCCCCATGTTGTACGCGCTGTAACCACCGTAGGCACTGGAGGAGCCGAAGCGGTTATCGTATCTGTTGCCTCGACGTCCCATGGGGCGGCTCATGTCGTGATCATTGTTGATACGCTCAGGCCGGTAGGTCTCCATTGCCGAAGGCATATAAGAAGGCTCGTAAGCCTGGTTCGAGCCACGCATGTTCTGCCACGGTGTGGCCTGGGGACCGTCGACAACAGCAATAGGTCCAGGCGCAAAAGCCGGAGAATAGGAAGATTTGCTGTTGTTCCAAATTGCGCGAGAACGATTGAGGCCTGCAGCCGACATGTCTGACAAAGTATCGCCAGTATCGGGGCGCGCATTGTCGTGAGCCGCCCAGTTGTTGTCACGGCCGAATGGCATTTTGGCATGATGTCCAAACGCTCCGTTCATGGAGGGTCGCGAGCCCGAGGGAGATACCGTCGCAACACTGGCAGCCTGAAAGTCGGGATCAACACTCAGGCCTGGCGTCGCGCATACACCGTCCTGGGTGACATAGCGAGTCTGAGCCAGCTCTTGATCCAGTCGTGAGATCTTGGTCTGAGCCTGCGCAAGCTCTTGCTTCAGACGCAAAACCTCATCGTTGGTGGGCTGACCGTCGCTAAGCGTGGCACTAGCAGGTCTAGTCGTAGATGCAGTTGTAGGGAACCCATCCGTAGCAGGCGTAATGGGAAGAGAGCTGCATGACGACTGGTGGTCCAGGGCACGAGGGAATCTGACTTCTTCGTCCGACGGCTTGAAAGACTCGACGCTGCGTTGCTGCGGTAACATGGCTTGTTGCTCGGAGATGGTGGCGTACAACTTGTCCATGGAGTAGGCGTCAACGGCGGCCATGGCCTCGTTCATCTTGACCTATGCTATGTGGTTAACGGATGTAGGCGCTGCTTCAGCGAGTGTGGTTACCTACCTTTGTGTAGTTCTGGTTCGCCAACTTGGACGTCTTGAGGGCGATGATGGACTGTTTTTGTGACGACGACTCGACTTCCTAGCAGAGATCGGGTCAGTGATATATGTCTGTAGATATGTATGGGTTTAAATACGAAACATCCGCGGGATAGGTAGAGACAGTATGAAAGGGGTGACTGGATTCAAATACGGGTCAAGTAGTTAGGTTGGAGAAAAAAAGATTTGCGATCCGGAAGTTGCTGAATCAATGCTGATATGGGAGTGAGCGGGGCAGGTATTTGGCGGTCTTGGTATCAAAGGTTTGGTACCGACAGCTGGCAATCCGCTGTAGTGGTTTTCGTCCCAAGTGTGTCGCAGTTCGTTGACGTCTGGGGGCCGGCAAGGCTCCGGCGACCCGGCGGTAGGTGAAGACAGCAACTTCCCAAGACCAAAAAAAGAACCTGAAACATGAACAAAGATACGTACCTGTTGCAAGTCTGGAGACATCATCTCATCGGGAAGCTTCGTGTTCTCATCCTGAGACTGCGAGAAACTCCTGGAAGCCGAAGCACGGCGCTCGTTGGGAGAGCCGGTGGATGCTGCGACGGCAGACATAGTCATCTGCCTAGGGCTGGATGTTGAATGGCCTAGCCTGGGGGGGATTGGAGGAATGCTTTGGGTGGGGGTGTTTTCACAAAGGGAGGAGATGCTCAAGATGGTGATAGAGAAAAGCAGTAGATTGGGTTCCAATGGCGACGAAAGACACAGATAAATAGAAGCTTGGGGATGAGAGATGACCACGAACCGCTGCTCGGAGAACACGGTTGGAGATGGCACCGACAAGGAGAGGGAGAAAGGCGGAAATGGAAGAAGCCTTATGTGTTAATATAATGGGGAAGAAAGAAAGAGCTCCAAGAGCTGGCCTGGGAAGAAAGGTTTCGATTGTGCCCGAGATACCCGTACTTTCAGCTACTGTTGCCCTGAATTTGGATCGTTTTGCAAGGCAACAGCAACAAACATCTTGGCAATGGACGCACTGGTCAGAGTAGGGTGACGGTATGTGCCCGAGATGACCGAGACGGGACCAAGTCGGACGAAATGGTGGGCCCTTGGGTTTTCTCTTGAAAAGGAAGGCACGAACTGTGACCGGGACTGTGACTGGACACTCTAAGGGGTTCAGGATGCCGGTGAGGCAATCTGAGTGCAATCTCCATGGTCGGAGCTCCCTCAGCCATCAGACTATGCTCTTAAGAGTGAACTTGCACGCATATCTCGTGCTCGTCCTGGGTCCGAAAGTCGGAAACGAATCGGATGGGTCGCTGGGGAAGTTGTGACCGGTCTTCCAGCTTGGAAGGCGCGATCGATCATGGGGGGTCGGCGTCGTGCCTCCTTGGACCTAGACTCTTATTGCCAAGCGGAACTAATGGTCACGATGCCGGGCATGACGGTCAAACTGAGCCATCGTTGGGCATCCTCCCGCGTTAAGGACCTTACTGTCCGGCTGCCACTTCCCCCACGATCGTGGGTTTCTGGGTTAGGGGTCCGAGAACTCCAAAAACAAATGTAGACGGGATTCATGTTCAGTGAAATGTCACCTGCCAGCCCGTGTGTGCCTACCATTCTTTATCAGAATGAAATAGCAGAGTAGGAAAGCATCCAATTTCTGGAAGCTTCAACAACAAGACATCATCATCGGCATCAACAGATGGGAGTGGCGGGCTGGCTTTTCTCGTTCCGTAGGGCTGGGATGCCAAGGTCTTTGCAGGCAAATCATGGCAGGTGTATTCAGTGTTAGCTTCCTTTCCTGTCCAGCTTTCTTTTCGAAAAGGCGACGGAACAGGAAGCCCTAACGCACCTTAACACACCCATGGCGTCTTTGATATAGACACCTCAGGTTTGGAAAGCTCTTTTGTGATCCGACACTGCCTTGTTTTCGCCCAAATGATGAAGCCTGTTGGTAAAGAGGGATAATAGTGAAGACTCCTATCCTACCTCTAACCAATCCGCGTCTGGGAAACAAGATACGACAATTCCAGCCTCTCAACAGGTCCTCTCTTGTTCGAGGCATAACAGGACCTCTTTGGACGGATGAGAGGACTGTCGGGAGTAGACCTTTGTCAAAGCTGATAATCGCACAGCTGCCTCCCAAGCAGCGCAATAAAACCAAAACAATCCGGAAAGCCAGGTGTAGGGGGTGTCGCTAACCATGGGAAGTCATGGACAACACTTCGCCAGATGGAAGATGTTATGTCACCGGGTACCGAACGAATGAATCGGAAAGGAAATGGACCAACTGCCAGAGGAACGCCAAGTATTGGGGTATATGATTCTAATCCGCCCACTATATAATACATGTATAAGTCGTGTAGTTCTGTTTTCGGGACGTCGTATCTTATTTCTTCTTCTTCGAATCTGTCGCAGGAGAAAACGTTAGAGATATTTGAACCGTGAGCAAGGGGTACAGACGAAACCTACCGGCCGCAGAGGGTGCTGTCCTCTTCTTCTTGGGCGCTCCCTTGTCGCGGGCTCTCAGACTGTAGGGTGTTGTTAGGTTGTGATATTGGCAAGTAAACACTAACAGGACTTGGGGAGACGAACGCTGCCAAGTGCTCCAAGCGATCATCATCGATCTCATCGTCCACCTCAAGACCAAGAGGAGCGAATTCCTTCTGGAGCTCGCGGATACCGACGTTCTTGCGGGGATAGTAGGCTGCAAGTGCCGGGCCCTTGAGTCGCTGGCGCAGGATCTTGTTACCGGTCCGGACGCCTTCGGGATTGAAAGTCGTCGAGAAGAGCTCACAACGAGCCTAGGTTCACCTCATTAGCGGGCTGGTGCTTCCTCTCGTTCGGAGCTGTTCCATACCTTCACAAGTTGCAGTAACCGCGCCCGTGGGACCGACATCTTGTTGTTACATGGAATTGCGGATTCGCGAAATTCAGAAACCACGACAACAAATTGTCCGACGTCGTTCAGAGATCTCCCGCGTCCAGTCCGTCAAGCAATGCGCCACCAATCACATCTTCCCATTGGTCCAGCAAGTGGAGCATGGATTGCAACCGTTGTTTTTGAGCCGCACTGTCCGTCAGGCGCAAAGCCCGCTGATGAAGCTGAGGGCGGGGCGTTCCAGGGCTGACAGGCGCTAAACAGGACAGCTACGGGCCAGCAGCAGTGATGTGGATATGGGGTCGGACAGGGGGTTAGGGTTTCCACTACCTGTATGGATGGGATTCTTCATCTCGAATCCTTTTTCGATTCTGCCTCTTTTCAACTTCATCCTTCCAACAAGCCGCATCAACACGCGATCTGAGGTATCCGGATTGCTTCTAGGAAAGCAAAAGGTCATCATGCCGAAACACGGACTCAACCCGGAGGAGGTATCAGAACCGCCTTTCAAGCGTGCCAAGTCAGACTTTGCCTCATCAGCATCACAAGGCCTTGCATTGGAGTCTGCAACCTCCATCCAAATTCCTTCGTTGCATGCCAACACCAAATGGACACTCGCTACCATCGAAAGAACGCGGCCACCGCTCCCCGACATCCTGGACCCGGCACTCAAGAAGGCGGCACTCACACACCCTGGTAAAGCTAACAACGACCCTGTTGCAAGTTACGAGAGGCTGGAGTGGATTGGCGACGCTTATCTTGAGCTCATCGCCTCCTCCTTCATATACCAAACCTTCCCAACCTTGCCGGCTGGCAAAAGCGCACAACGTCGCGAGATGCTTATCCGCAATACCACACTAGGCGAATTCTCGGTCTACTACGGTTTGGACAAAATGGCCGATATTCCCGAAGAATTCAACATGGAAGGCAGAGTGGGTGGCACAAATGCAAGTCAAAAAGTCAGAGTTAAGATTCTCGGAGACCTTTTCGAAGCCTATGTGGGAGGCGTGATTCTCTCCGATCCTGCCAATGGTATTCAGCGTGCTTCAGACTGGCTCAAGGCTTTATGGGGCCCCCTTATGGCGGAGTACATTCGCGAGGAAGAGAAGAAAGCCAGAAAGCCGGAGCAAAAGCAGTCCGCAAGCGGCCAAACACTCGACCCAAAGACAATACTCGAAGCTACCATCGGAGCCAGGGGTGTCAAGATTGAGTATAAAGATCTCCCTTCCAAAAACCTCAAGGACAGGGGAACCAAGCTGCCTCTTTTCGCTGTTGGCTGCTTTATGACAGGCTGGGGAGAGACCAACCTGCAACTTGGCCATGGAAGCGCTTTGAGCAAGAAGGAAGCTGGTCAAAAAGCGGCTCAGGTGGCCCTGGATAACAAGAAACTGCTCAAGAAGTTTGCGGACAAGAAGGCGGAGATGAAGGCCGCGCGGGAAGCCCAGCTGCAGCAGGCAGGAGTGACGTTCCCCTTGAAGGATAAGCCTTCGGCACCGGAAACCACTGGCGGCGTGTTGTAGCGGCCAAGTACTGTTGTTGGGTCTTATACGATGTTTAATACTTCGACACACCAAACAGCACATGCCCACAGTCCCTGGGCTCAGAGCTTGGGCATCGGTCAAGAGAAAGACGCACATCGAATGAACTATGGTCATTCATTACTACGGGCAAACGACCCCGGGCTCATGGGAGGACCAGGGACAGTTTCGTTTGCGCATGTGAAGAGAACCCACAGCGAACATGAGATGGACAAGCTTGATGATAGGCTATTTTGTCCATGTACAGGTCAGCACCTCATTTCATAGTCAGCAGAGATATCCATCAGGCATCTTCGGAATGTTATACCCCTAGTGTTCGTTGCTTTCATATACCTATCTGGTGGCTTATTTTGGTTCCAGGTCTCCCATGCCACTCACGAGCCACTGTGTGTTGACAACAAAGACTCTGTGAGGACTAAGAAAGATGTTGAAAATGAGGTCCCACGAGTTGTTGTACGGTGATCACGAAGCGCTCGACCAATCATAGACACCTTCTCGGTGCATTCCAGTGCGCTTACTGCGGCCGAGCTTCCAAGCCGGCTCCGTCCAGGGGAGACCCGATCCCACCTCGCCCACTCCGGGGCGCGCCGAAAAGATGGGGAAGTGGAAACCCGATCAGGCCTTAACGAGTCGCGTGCCGAGGCATCCCAAATTAGCGGAGAGCTGCACCACGGCACCTGCCCGACGAAACATCGCCCAATCGACATCAATGACAAGCATTTGCGCCCGCACAACAGCAGAAACTCCCACTTACAACTACGCGATGTAATCCATCCAAGTTCAACCGCCACTTTCTCCCACCCGAACGACCTTCAACTCTGGTGTCGGCATCCTTCTCCCTGAGGCATACATCATATTGCTCCGATCTTCAACAGTTCAGCTCGCCCTCGGAGTTTCAGCGGCCCACCGATTGCGATTCCCGACCGGTGTGAGCCAGTCTCCAAAGATCATCCACCAACAGAACCCCTTTGTTACGCTTTACGAATCAACGTTTTATACCCCCAACGACCCAACTGACGCGCTTTACGACCACAATTCGCTTTGCCACTGCAATTTCCAGCCATATACCCATCGATAGACACATCGTACCAAGCGCGATCGTAGTAGCATTTGTCACCACATACTATTGTTATCATACCTATACCAGCTATACAAATAATAATTTGATTTATCGGCGACGCTACATACACCATAAAGATGGCAGACTCAATAGGTACGCTCGTTTTTGCGCCAGGCTATACCCACCCTTCGTAACTTCTTTTTCATCTTCGAGGCAAACATTCAGCTGACGTTTCCCCCTTTTCCTTCAGACCGGGTGTTTGTTCATGCCCTCAACACCGTAAAAAAGATACCCAAAACTGGCGCCGCCCGCCCGCCTCCCGGCGACCGCATGCGACTCTATGGTCTCTACAAGCAAGCCATGGAGGGCGACGTCGACGGGGTGATGGAGCGGCCCAGCGCCGCGACGGCCTACGGGGCCGCACCCGAAGACATTGCGCGCGAGCAGGACAAGTGGGACGCGTGGAACTCGCAAAAGGGGCTGTCGCGCACCGAGGCCAAGCGGCGCTACGTCGAGGCGCTGATCGAGACGATGCATCGATATGCCAACAACACGCCCAACGCGCTCGAATTGGTTGCTGAGCTCGAGTTTGTGTGGAATCAGGTCAAGAATAATAGCCCCAGCGAGCAGTCGCTTGCTGGTGGCGGGCTTCAGCAGCAGCAGCAACATCCACAGTATAATAATGGAGGGAACGGAGGTAATTATGGGTATGGCAGTGTTGGTCCATACGGCCAAAGCCCAGGAACGGGTGTGAGAAGGTTCCAGCACCCGCTGAGCGGGGCGGAAGGAGGGCTGAGAGTGTTGAGTCCAATGAGCGAGGAGGACGAGTCGGAAAGGAGGGTGAGGGAGGAGGCGGAGCAGGAACTCTTGGGTGGCGATGAGTTTCCGGGCGAGTATGCGAAGCGCAACGACAAACGAACTAAGAGGATGGAGAGAGTGATCGTGAGGCTGTCGGCCGAGATCGCGGCGCTGAGGGAGCAAATCTCCTCGGGAAGGGAGTGGAAGACGCGCAAGGAAAAGAGCTTCACCAACTGGCTTGGATGGTGGTTTTGGGTGCTCGTGAAGCACTTTGTCATTGACCTGTTCATCCTGGTGGTGCTGCTGATCTGGATGCGCAAGAGAAAGGATAGAAGGTTGGAGGATTATGTGAGGGGAACATTGAAGCTGGCGAGGGAATATGCAAGAATGATCTTGCCATCCCGGTGAGGTCTACAAAGCAGTAAAAGAGCGGGAACTTGAGCAGTATCCGCCGTGGAAACGAAGAAGATACTAAAGACGGGACGTATGGTTGCACATTGTTTGGTTAGCACACCAACCCGCACATATACATGTGACATTGGATAAAAACATGTCCAAGTCGTTGACGCATTATCACTGGCGCATTGTTGCGCCGTTGGCGTTTGGATGAGCAAGCTTGAAGGTGGCACAAGTTGAGGTTGTATTTTGAAAATTTCACTTTCGTATTCAAATTTAAGATTTCACCAAAATATCTGATAACTTCAAAGGTGATGTGGTCCAAGTTGTATGTTGACGTTAAAATTCAATAATGTGGGCTATGGCCTGCACCTAAGTACGCCAATAGTCTCCTTCAGATAAATTTGCCAGGATATTGAGGTTATTATTGGCCATCTCAAACCGTAAAATATTTCGACGACACTCATCTCATCATCACAAACCAGCCAGAGGATCCGGTGACTACCACAAGGTGTGAATTCTCTATATCAGCCAACATCGGCAGGCCAATGCACAGACCATATCAACTCTGGTATAGCTTTGATCTCATCGTATGTTTTTGACGAGTGTCGAACGCAATTCTCTTTCTGAACTACAATAGCAGTTGCTAACGACATTCTCGCCATCAGGAAATTCGTCAACTATATTTGAACAGAACCAAAGCCGTCTTTGCTGAATCAAACCCAGCCAAAGAAGTTACCGCGAAAGACACATCACTCCTTTGTCCCGCTCCATATATCAAGCTGTCACAATGTCCTCACATTCGAATCGTCGACCGGGTGCCCATCCCACCGGCGGCGGACAGCATCAACCTCAACCCCCGACACTCCGACCCTCTCAGCAAATTCCGCATCTCGTCAACGTGGCACCCAGCATGTTTGTTCCCCTCAGAAAGGAGGACGTCGAACCACCATCCGAAGACGATGAGCCAAGCCAGCGGATCGCACGTTTGAAGCGCATCATCGAGACCATTGACTACCACACCGCCGCCGTCAAGGAGAACTACATGTGGATGTTTGAGCGGGAGATGCGCCGGTACTCGCTTGACGCCGCCGAGCGTGAAGAGGAGTTCAAGCTTCGCGATCTGCACCCACCGGGCCCAGCAGAGGCGGAAATCGACGCCGTGTTCGCCAGCATGGAGAGGCCGGCCCCCGAGGGATTTGACTACAACGATCCCAACAATCCGTTCAACGTCAAACATCTGCCGGAGCTCAACCCGCAGGAGGTCATGCCGCGCGATGTCTCGGTGAGGGAGAAGGCCATGATGGATATCCTGACGGTGGTGGACTCGGGCAAGAACGAAATCGATGGGTACCAGAATCACATGAAGAACTTGAGGAGCACCTACGTCGAATTGCTGGGGAGGGAGCAGGAAAGGCTCAGACAGGCGGCGTTGAGGCCGGAGGAACGGACTCGGGTTCAAGATGCGCCCATGGGTTGATATCTTAGGTATCACCACATGCTGCCTGCCATCATGTAGAGGTTCGACATGGATACGAGCCCGTGGAGGAGATGAGCAGCAGCTGTGAGAAGCTGGAATCGGGCCCCAAATAGTCGCCAAATGAACATAGAGCAGACCATCTACTATTTTGCTTGCAGCCTGCTTAAGCAAGGCCATTTTTGTCGTGACGAGATGTGGCAACCGGCGGTAAGAATCACTGCTCAAAGAGGCCCCCGAAGGGACATCTAGCGTGTATCCATAAACGGAGCCAAAGAATATCTATCTAGGACACATGATAGAGGGGAACACTCGTAGAGCTTGCAAAATCCATACCCGAAAGCGTGGACGATGCGAACCAATATCCCCCTACAATAAGTGGCCATGGTACAATAATGAGAGAAAAAGATCAAAAAAAGAGGAAGCGCGGCAGCTGGCCGAGCTTTTAAAGGAGTTTGAAAATCTCAAAAGTGGGCTTACAAATTGAGCATTCTGATTGGTCGAAGCTCTGTACAACGGGCAGCTGGTGGCGTCAGCTCCTCACTTCTTGCCGGGACGGCAGGGCGGAACCCACTGCACCGACCACTCGACTGGCAGAGTGGCAGGTCCGTCGTCCCAACTCACAGCACAGACCAGACGACTGTCATTGCCGACCCGACATAACGTACAAGCAGGCGCTTGCTGGCTGCAGGCATATTGCGATACACTCAACCTACCTATACTATCTCGACCTCCAACTCTCCCTCCGACCGCCGTCGAGACGACGACACACGATGTTGAGGTCGACATTGTCCCGTTCGGCTTGGCGGACTGGCAGGCATCAGGCGGCCAGGAATGCCAGCCGTGCCTTTTCGGCCACAGCTCAGAGACCCGCAGAGGTCGAGCTCACAATTGGTATGTCTCCATCCAGACCTCCACCACATGACTAGCATACACCGTGTATGATCCCCGTACCCGTCGGCGCCGATACTGACTCGTGTCTCCCGTATCTTACAGATGGAAAGAAGGTCTCTATCGAGGGTGAGCACTCACAATGCGCTGCGTCGCAAGTCCTGGCTACGGAAATGGGGAGGAGGGGGTCGCTAATACTCGAGGAAACCAACAGCCGGATCGGCCTTGATCCAGGCTTGCGAAAAGGCCGGCGTTACCATTCCCAGGTATGCGGAAAACGGACCCTGAATCACGGATACTGCCCGTAGAGGTTCTTGCTGACTGTCTTGCAGATACTGTTATCATGAGTACGTCACATACGGTTTCGCCCCGCTCTCCCAAACTTATTGCAGCTCCAGTCACTCCAGCAGGCGTCAGCCCTACGAAGACCGACTGACAAATGTGTAACTTCCTAGGAAGCTCATGATTGCGGGCAACTGCCGCATGTGCTTGGTCGAAGTCGAAAAGGTCCCGAAGCCCGTCGCGTCGTGCGCATGGCCCGTCCAACCCGGCATGGTCGTCAAGACCAACTCGCCCCTGACACACAAGGCGCGTGAGGGTGTGATGGAATTCCTGCTCGCAAACCACCCCTTGGACTGCCCTATTTGCGACCAGGGTGGTGAGTGCGATCTCCAGGACCAGTCGATGCGCTACGGCGGCGACCGCGGTCGGTTCCACGAAATCGGCGGGAAGCGAGCGGTGGAGGACAAGAACATGGGTCCCCTTATCAAGACCTCCATGAACAGGTGTATCCAGTGCACGAGATGTGTGCGGTTCGCGAACGATATTGCCGGCGCCCCGGAACTGGGTTCGACGGGCCGTGGCAACGACCTACAGATTGGTACCTACCTGGAGAAGAACCTCGACTCTGAGCTTTCTGGTAACGTCATCGATCTCTGCCCTGTCGGTGCTTTGACCTCGAAGCCGTATGCTTTCCGTGCACGCCCCTGGGAGCTGAAGAAGACGGAATCGATCGACGTTCTGGACGGCCTAGGCTCTAACATTCGCGTCGACACTCGTGGCTTGGAGGTGATGCGCATTCTTCCTCGCCTCAACGACGAGGTTAACGAGGAGTGGATCAACGACAAGACTCGCTTTGCCTGCGATGGTCTCAAGACCCAGCGTCTTACCATTCCCCTGGTCCGAAGAGAAGGAAAGTTCGAGCCGGCGTCATGGGACCAGGCTCTGACTGAAATTGCCCACGCTTACCAAACGTTGAACCCCCAGGGCAATGAGTTCAAGGCTATCGCTGGTCAGCTCACCGAGGTTGAGTCGTTGGTTGCCATGAAGGACCTTGCCAACAGGCTCGGATCGGAGAACCTTGCGCTGGATATGCCCTCGGGCAACAAGCCTCTCGCCCATGGTGTTGATGTCCGCTCTAACTATACCTTCAACTCCAGCATCGTTGGTATCGAGTCTGCTGATGTTATCCTCCTAGTTGGTACTAACCCGAGACATGAGGCCGCTGTACTCAATGCTAGGATCCGTAAGCAATGGCTGCGCTCTGACCTTGAGATTGGCGTTGTTGGCCAGACCTGGGATTCGACTTTCGAGTTTGAGCACCTTGGCACCGACCATGCTGCCCTCCAGAAGGCGCTTGAGGGCGACTTTGGCAAGAAGCTCAAGTCGGCCAAGAACCCCATGATCATTGTGGGCTCTGGCGTCACCGACCACGGCGATGCCAATGCCTTCTATGAGACCGTCGGGAAGTTTGTCGACAGCAACGCTTCCAACTTCCTCACTGAGGAGTGGAACGGCTACAACGTTCTCCAGCGCGCTGCCTCCAGAGTCGGCGCCTTCGAGGTCGGCTTCACTGTTCCCTCCGCCGAGGTTGCCGAGACAAAGCCCAAGTTCGTCTGGCTCCTCGGCGCCGATGAGTTCAACGAAGCCGACATCCCCAAGGACGCCTTCATTGTCTACCAGGGCCACCACGGTGACAGAGGCGCCCAGATCGCCGATATTGTCCTCCCTGGTGCTGCCTACACCGAGAAGGCTGGCACCTATGTCAACACCGAGGGCCGTGTGCAGATGACCCGCGCTGCTACCGGCCTTCCCGGTGCCGCCCGCACGGACTGGAAGATTCTTCGCGCTGTGAGCGAATACCTTGGCGTCCGCCTTCCCTATGACGATGTCGCTCAGCTTCGGGATCGCATGGTCGAGATTAGCCCTGCTTTGTCGTCTTATGATATCATCGAGTCTCCCTCGTTGCAGCAGCTCAGCAAGGTGCAGCTGGTTGAGCAGAACCAGGGCGCCACCGCAAGCAACGAGCCCCTCAAGAAGGTCATCGACAACTTTTACTTTACCGACGCCATTTCCAGAAGGTTCGTTTTTTTTTTCCTGTCTTCTTTCATCAGATGTAACGCAGTATCCGCTAACCACCTATCATCTCACAGCTCCCCAACCATGGCCCGCTGCTCAGCCGCCAAGGAGACAGGCGATCCCCGAACCAACTTCATGGCTCCGGGCATGGAGGAGGATAGACCCATGGGTCAGATCGCCTATGGTGCATAGATAGACATTGGAAAGGCGGAGGGAAAGGCAAGGTAAAGGGGGCTTATAATGAAGACGACAGACAGACACAGTCGAACCAACAGACACTGGACCACAGTACAGGACATATATAAGACACATCAAAAAGGAGAGGAGGGAGGGAGTTTGTTCTCTATTCGCTTTCTTCCTCTCGTTTTTGGTTGTTCTTACCGCACGCATTCCAGCTGCTGCAAGTTGTTTTTAGAAGAATGATGAGAGACATACAGAGTTTTGTTCTTGCTGTTTGAATTGTCTGTCTCCTACCCAGTTGCTTCGCTTTTTATGTGCTTGTGTATATTGAAGGAATGAGGTTGTTTTGGTTGTGGGTAGAGGTGTGCACGTTAAGAGCCAGCTCGGGAATATCAAGGCTGCAGTGAGTGAAGTGGGAGATGCTCTCTAATGATCATCGTTCGCAATGTGATTTGTACTACTCCTTTATCCAGTTGTCTTTGACCGATTTCAATCTAAATCCAACCAAAAACTACCCACACATAGGTACACTACCAATATCTTCGAAGTCTTTTCATTACAACTGAAGTCTTCCAAGCCCTTGAAACAAATCTCTATCCAATGCTCAGATAGTTTTCTTCTACCTGGCCCCTTTCCCCAGGGCCTATATACCCCCCAAGTTCAGTTCTTCCAACAACTTCCAGTAGCCAACGTGGTTGGTAGGTGTGCTGGGAGCCAGAAAACGCGTGGTGAGTGTTTTCGTAGGTCTGCAGCTGGCCTCGAGTTCGACTCCAGGCTTGGGCAGCTGAGCTTTTTGTCTTTTTCCTTTTTCCTACTGCTTCTTCAGCTTTCATTTTCTCTACTTTGACCAACCAACGTTGATCGTGTTCATCTTTTATGCTCCGGACGCCTACTTATTATTCAACGGAGATTGCAAAATTGGTGCCCTTGAGCGACTGAAGCCCTCATCAGGCTCTGTGTCAGACCGCTGGCTGAGAATTGACTGTTTCGTTTCGGCGCGGTAGCTAAGGTAAGGTAGGTTAGTACGTAAATTGAGTACGAGTGAGCGAACTGGAGAGGCATTGACTCATTCGGAGCCGTTGTGGACAATTTTCTTGCAAATTAACACTGCCAATGCAATCACGGGCGTCACTCGAAAGGTTGAGGCACCTATTTGTTGTAGTAAAATGAACCAAAAGATGAGGGATGAATAGAACGAACAGGTAAACGTGCTTCTACTAAGTTCCGGATAGTTTACAGGTTTGGCGGACACTTTGATTGCCTCGAGATTGCGGGCACTATGTGGCTGTAAAGAGGTGTATGTGTGGGTAAGTCTCTTCGCAGTCACACGTGAAGGGGAGAAGTCACAGCCTAAGATAAAATGAATTTCAACACAATGCGCAATGCCTCAATTAATTTCAAGGACTCAAATCTATATGCGCCAGAACGTGATGCATGTCTTCCCACAAAGCCATGTATAAACAACGCCAGTGAGCTGAGCATTGCCATCTGCTCATTATTATCCCTCTGCCAATGGACTGCCACATCCACTCAAGAACCTCCCATGTCTTTTGATTTGCCAGATCATGATAAAGGGTCTTCTATCAGGGAAAACGTGCAGAATTCCCATAGCGAGCATTGCCATCTGCCCCTTTATATATACGCAAATAGTAAAGCTTCTGCCGAAAACTCCCTCTATACAATGCTATGCACTCCTTGCTCACTGTGCAGCAACATCATCTTCTTGCCCGTGATGGGACGAGAGCTCATCATCTGGTTGGGATACTTCACTTGGTTTGACAACAGGAAATGACGTCTAATCATGAAAATACGATCAGTCATGATATGCGCCGCGCTCTTGGAGTTGGTCAAGCCGTCAGGGATGGAGACTGACTAGGCTTCCATCTTCTGCGGCTGCTCTTGCTGTTGGTCTGCCTCCTCCTCCTCCTCAGGTGGGAGGGGAGGGAATTCACGATCGATCAGGACCTCGGTAGTGACGGGGTTCGCGGCAGCAGCGCCGGAAGAAGCCTGCTGCTGCTGCTTCTTCTCCCAAGGCTTCTGAGGAGCTTGCATCTTTCCGATGGGGGAGATACCCTAGAGGAGAGTAAGAGGCAGAGTTAGTGTCCTTTCAACGTTTCGTTCCTTTCCGTCAGGTTTGAAGTCTTCCTTTTACTTCCAGCTACACATTGTTCCACCGAAAACGGGGCAGTTGTATCTGAAGGCAAATACAAGATAAAAGAAGTAGATAGAGACTCACAGGCTGCCTAACAACCGTATTGGGAATATCCTTAATGCCAGGGACCGGCGTCCCATTCGTGATGAGCTCGATGATGGTATTGAAACGCTCCGGGTAGGGAGCGTTGCCATCAGCACCTCTTTCCGCGCCATCGGCGTCACCATCATCGGCCTTTTTGAGCAGATCCACCTTGGGAGCCTGGACTTGCCAAGCGGGTAGGTCGTCATCTGATGCTGAAGCAGGGGTGGTGCCCATGAGCTGCTGGATCTCGGCGAGCCTGTCAACTAGCTGGGCGTCGACGGGTGAGTTGGGAATCTGTGAGTGCGAGGGCGCTGAAGAAGGTGACGAAGAAAGAAGATAGTTCTCGTAGGCGGACCGGTCGATATCGATGTTGAAACGGGACTTGTACCACCAGACGCGGGCTTGGAGAGAGATGCCGAGAGCCTTTTGGCGCTCGAAACCGTTTGAGAGAGGGCCCAGCATGGCTACCAGTCCTTGCTGTGATGATGACGGTAGCGGTCAGTCTTTGGGCTTGAAAGCCGTTATATGGTGAGCGGTACTGAGTGAGGACGGTTTGTGATGTGAGTTCACAGGTGAGGCCTGGGTGAGGCGTCTCACATGGTGACCGCGAATTGACTTACAAGAAAGGAACGGTCCTTGATCCAAGGATAGGCATCGAACTTCTTGAAGGCGGCAACATCATTACCGCCCGTTGACGGTTGTTGTGTGGGAGTCTCCATGTCGTGGTTGTAAAAAGGGAAGGGGTGTCGTCGAGATCCTGCGCGGCCGTCCGCTGAAGCCTCCGCTCCAGGAAGGATGATGGTACCTCTACTGAGAGGAGAGACTACGACGTGACGTCTCGAAGCTGGAAAGGAAGCTTATGCAGCAGACCAGCAGCTGCAATAGCTACAAATGTAACTGTCGTAAAAATTGAGAATAGTACTCCTCAGTGTATCATAAGTGAGTTTCCGGGGTGGGATGACGGAATGAGGTTCAAGTTGTCCGGGATGTCGATGTGGTGGTTTGGGGTCCGGTCCGGGTAGGCAAGTGAGGTCCACTAAAGAACCCCTGTCCCGGCCTGCGCCTGCCTGCTGGAGCTGACCCGTACCCGAGGATGGGCCAGGTGAGCGGAAGTCCAGGCTCACCGGGCAACGAGCACACACCCGATTCTGAGATCCCGTTCCTGCCTCCACACTCCAGGAAGGCACGTTGGGCAACTGACACTGTGCACCCACTGAGCTGCAGCTGTGATACAGCGGGAAATCCACTGAAACTAATCTCAGGAGTCAGGGACGAACGTGCACTGCATTGCCCTGAGCGCCTGCCCTGCCAAAACCGTCCAAAGATTGATGGACACACATTGCTCCGCTTTCATGTTGCTTCCCTTCATTCTCCCGTACAAACGTACTTCCGACCTTTTCAAGTCAAAGCGCTCTTTGCCCCAAGGGAAGATGGGCGATTCAAGACCTGACGAGTAGAACGATATAATAGACCATACCGGCTTTAATATTCTCTCCTCACCATCAGCATCGACCATCTTCGCTCCTTCCACTCAGGACCCCCACCGACCCAGACTGGGCACTGCGAGGGACCTGGACCGTCACCACATCCTCGCTGATAGCGTACCGTATCTCGCACTGGCTTAACCCCGGCGGACGAATCCATCAACACCCACATTCATCACAGTCGCCAAAGACACATCGACCCTTCCATCACTTTTATCTTCTGCTATCCCTCCGTCTTTGGGAAGGAGTAGTATTCAGCCTCAACAGCCATGCGTCGTGCTGCCGTCAAAGCTCTGCGGACGAGCTACCAGTGCACCTTCCGGGGCCTACGAGCTAGCCGTAGGGGATCACCTCTCCCCCTGCTGCAGTCCTCAAAGGCAGCCAGTTCCGGTTCCCCCACAGCTCATTACAATCCCCGTCTCGGCACGGCTACAGCAAGATACCTGTCGTCTACCGGCGCGCGCGACTCGTCAGGTACGCATCACTCGAATGCGAATCCCGAGCCCCTTCGTTCGTCCATGTACGTCCGCGGCGCTTTCGTCACCCTGCTTTCAGGGCTTGTCGCCTACGGTGCCTGGTATAATTCCGGCGACAGCAATAACGACTCTCCGATAGCCTCGACGACTAGCGTCACCACCACCGCTACGGGCGCTGTCCCGACCCGGTCGGTCCTGGTGATCGGAGCCGACGAGTTACACACGGGCACCTTTGTGGGAGACGGCCCTATTTCCAAGACCACGAGCGATAACGAAAGGGTAGTCGAAATGCTGTCCCCCGAGCAAGCGACCCGGAAGCTACGCCAGTACGAGCAGTCGGTCTACGTCAACCGCGGTCAGGGCGTGGTTCGCTATGATGTGTCCCAGTTGCCCAGTAACGATCCGATCGAGGATGATCACGCCGAGAAGATTGTCGAGGTACCCAACAAGGCTCAGAGCAGTGATCCGAGCGATTGGATGTTTTGGGGTGTTTACGATGGCCATTCGTAAGTCACTCTCTTAAGCGGACTACAGTATATAAATGCAGTACGTAGTGAGCGACGGCTAACAAATTGTGTGCAGAGGGTGGACTACATCGGCCAAACTACGCCAGGCACTGATCAGCTTCGTTGCTCGCGAACTCAACGAGACCTACAAGTCTTCTCCGGATCTTATCCCGTCTGCCGCTGCGGTTGAGTCTGCCATCAAAACCGGGTTTACGCGACTGGACGACGAGATTGTGCATCAGAGCGTACAAAGGGTTCTGAAGTCCAACAACCGGCTCGTCGCTGCCGAACATCTGGCCCCAGCCCTATCAGGCTCATGTGCTCTGCTCTCTTTTTACGACAGCAAGGCTAAGCTTCTGCGGGTTGCTTGCACTGGTGATTCGCGCGCAGTGTTGGGCCGCAGATCCGAGTCTGGAAAGTGGACGGCAACTGCCTTGTCAACCGACCAGACGGGTAGCAACCCCGACGAGGCTGCTCGCTTGCGTAGAGAACACCCGGGTGAAGAGCATGTGGTTCGTCACGGTCGCGTACTTGGCGGCCTTGAGCCGACACGCGCATTCGGCGATGCGAGCTACAAATGGAGCCGGGAACTTTCAGAGAAGCTTCGGGAAAAGTTCTTTGGTAGGTCTGTCTCTCCCCTTCTCAAGACACCCCCATATGTCACTGCCGAGCCAGTCGTCACAACGACCAAGATCGAGCCTGAAAAGGGTGACTTTGTGGTCATGGCCACGGATGGTCTGTGGGAGATGTTGACCAACGAGGAGGTCGTTGGGCTGGTGGGCAAGTGGATCGAGAGCCAAGCTGGTAGCAGCTCCAAGTCGTCGGGATACTTCTCCTTCTTGCAAAAGGGTAGCAAGACAGCCCTGCCTGTCGAATCCAGCGAGTCGGAGAAGAATAGCGGCAATAAGACGCCCATTCGTCAGAGACAGTGGGGCGCTACCGGTACGGACCCGATGGAACGGTTTGTGGTTCAGGACAAGAACGTTGCTACACATCTTGTCCGCAACGCCCTCGGTGGAAAGAACCAGGAGCAGGTGTCGGCGCTGTTGACGCTCCCTTCGCCATTTTCGAGGAGGTACCGTGATGATTTGACGGTCCAGGTCATCTTCTTTGGATACGACGGCCCGAAGACTGGCGAGATTGTTGTCAACAAGGAGGCGACGGCTGCGGCTCTGGCTGCCGCGGCCGCTGATGGCAACAAGACGGGACCTGTGAAGCCTAAGCTGTAGGGCGACGATGGCATTTTCAGCTTTGTTGACCTGGTATTGTTTTCCCTCTGATTCGAGCCTACCGAGTGGATTATGGGCTCTGATGGGTAGTTCTCGGCCTGGGCTTGTGATTAGGTACTTTGGCGCATGTCGGATACTGTTTCTATTTGGGCGAGCAAAAGGGAGAGGGGGTGTTCAGGGTAACAGCGATCTCATGACGTTCAACAGATGTATTAGGCATGGCTTTTACGGCAGCGAAGCCATTGGGTATGAATTCACAGCAGCTTAATCCCCAATTCCCATATCTTCAAGCAAGTCCCCATCTTTCTTTCTTTGCCATCCTTCATACGAGCTTAGCCAGCTCAGCCGGAGATTATCTCCAGTTGGGCTGTCATACTCTGATGCAGCCGCAGTGCAGATGGGCCACATGTATGGCTGCACAGAACATACAACTAACAGCCCTATGAATCTTCGTAATACCCAACCCAACCTACGACGCAGAATCTTGGGATGCCACACATTCGAGCAAGAAATGATGTACAACTCATATCCAGTTAATTTTCATATCTCCATGCTCAGGACCCTTTCTGTTATGCAACCTACATGGCGTTTGTTGCACAGCTATGAGGCTATCTGTGAAGGTAACACAGCAGCAGTAAGCCACAAGTTGGGGGGTTCGACCGTCGTCAAATGAAAACCCCTGACCTAGGATGAGCTAAAGTGGAACTTGTTATCTCATCTTGGATGCAGCTGGCCAACAGAAGTTCAAGAGTCTCCAAAACTCCAAAGCCAACTCACAGACGTTGCTTCGTGGTGGATCTGATCTGTTCGGGCCTTTCTTCCCCTCCTGTTCGGGCATGAATGCGTGGGTACGAATATCCTCTTCACATCGACATGAGTAATGAGACAGGTTGGTGGCGAAAGAGTTGCCAGAATCTTGACAAGTTGACAGCATCGAGCTTTGACAGGCAATCTGAATCAGGACCGTTGGGTATCTCATCTCGATGTCTTTTACTAATCCTGTCTTGGCAAACCAGCCATATCTCTGGATCTTGATTGCGGCTCAGCTTGTTTCGCCCAGCCTCCAACCTTTGCTGCTCTTTTTCTGAATCGTGAATGGTTCTAGAACCGATCGCCGGCAAGGGCAAGAACGGCACACACACCCAAAGATAAGTTGAAATAGAAACAAACGTTCACCTCTTTTTCGGGAGTCCGGGAGCTGCGAAACTCGAGAAATCCTACTGAACTCAATGGAGTAGATACGCTAGAGTAGCTTGATGACGTCACAGATTAGCTCCTCCGCTAGCTCCTTTTCAGCTCAAGAAACAACCGCCAAGGAACAAAATGGTGGTCTGTCTCTGGACATGTCAAGCTGTCTGCTGTACATATGTAAAAAGCAATGGAGGACAATGGTGGGGTGAACAACATTCAACAATCAACGGGACGGGATGGACGGGGATAAGACCCAATGCAATGTCAGAATGTCTCTGCAAATCAAATGAATGCGGTGTGTGTGCCCCTCACTTCTCGAGTCTTGTTCCTGTCTTGTCCTCCCCATCGCTCGGTTGCAGATGCCCCTCCATCGGCAGTAGAGGTAGACAGGTAGTACCTAGCAGAGCTACACGCCGACGCAGTACCGGTGGTGGCTCCCGATTACATCATTGACCTTGATCCCGTCTGGCCGTTCATTAACAGCAGGTCCGGCCGACGTGGTCCCGATACCGGGATTTAGGTATGCCCAAGTCCTGCTTCTCGTAGCATTGCCAATACCGCCGTGCATGTCGATAGTGGCAGGTACGTTGTGCCCGCAGCGCAGAAATACCTGCTTCTCCATGACAGCTGTTAGTGCCAGCCTAACAAGTGGATAGCCTCAGCGTTAGTCTCCTGTCTACCACCGCGCTCACACGTTTCAAAGGTCCCGCCCGCCCCTCGTCACCGATCCTTTGCCGCTTGACTTGCTCTCTTTTTTTTCCGATTCTCGGCTACCCTATGATGTCCAGACCAGGACCCATCTCTTCTTGGATTTCTTGATTTCCTGATTCTTCCCAGTTTCCCTAGATTTTTCTCGTTTTTTATCCAACTGTGTGTGGTTGCGCCCCTTCCAGATCCCGAGTCCCGCTTGAGAGATCGACTGCGACTCGAAGCTCCCCCTCCCTCCACGCACCAACAAAAAGAACCAGAGGCCCAGAACCTCTTGTGTGTGCTGTACACGCCCTGTCGATCAGTCACTTTCAACGTCCCCTCTTCCCAATCGTTTCTTTTTCCTGGACCGACGCCTGAGGTGGTTTCCGTTGCTGCCCAAGAACAACTCGCTCCCCGACGAGTCTTCCCCTTGATATACCTTCTGCGAGAGCTTCCGCGCACTCGATAACTGCTTTGAACGTCGCCCCCTGAACCTCTGAAAGCAACACTGGCAAAGACGAGGTCGACAACATGCCCGTCTTCGACAACCATGAATACCTCACAGAGGAGGAGAAGAGGCTGAAGGAGGACCGTAACCGGACCAAGTACTGGAAGAAATGGGGTCCCTATGTGGCTGAAAGACAATGGGCGACTGGCAAGTCTTCACACGCCCGTCCACGCTGGAGCTCAACGCGGCCCGGCCATGTCAAATGTCGTCTCGTCTGAACTAACACCTGTGCCTTGCTACAGTCCGAGAGGATTACAGCGCCGACGGTGATGCGTGGAGTCGTAAGTCTTTCATCCCATGGTTAGCCATGAACCCTGATGACCAGACCCGCTGACATGCTGGCTGCGCTCCACTGTAGACTTCCCGCACGAACACGCCCGATCCCGAACATACAGATGGGGAGAGGACGGTATTGCCGGCGTTTGCGACACACATGGCTTCCAGAACATTGCCTTCTCTTTCTGGAACGAAAAAGAGTAGGAAAATTGTCTTTGGATATGAAGAAAAGAGTCTTGTTCGCTAACTAGCGCTTAGTGCCTTCCTCAAGGAACGCCTCTTTGGTTTGTCCAACCCACAGGGTAACCATGGAGAAAGTATCAAGGAGGCTCACTTCCACGTTGACAACACACCTGTAAGTTTCACACTCTTCCCGGATCATCATTGCCAACGGACTCTTTGCTAACCGATTCTTCTCAAACAGACGGTAAGATTTCCCCATCAGCGGGGACAACACGGAAACTTACAATCTTGACTATAGCACTCGTACATGAAATATCTTTACAAGTATCCGCAAGCAGAGTTCCCCTACGAGGACCTGATCAAGGAGAACGCTCGACGAGGAAGGACGGACAAGGAATACCAGATTCTTGACACCGGCGTCTTCGAAGACAACCGTTACTGGGATATCTTCATCGAGACCGCCAAGGAGGATGACGATCCGGATGAGCTCCTGTTCCGTGTTACTGCCTGGAACAGGGGTCCGGACCCGGCTCCTCTACACATCATCCCTCAAATGTGGTTCCGCAACACCTGGGCTTGGGGCCGTGAGCCGGAAAGCAACAAGCCCTCGCTCCAGGCCGTCGGTGAAAACCTGGTCAAGTCTCAACACCACAAGCTGGGAGAGCGCTATCTCCTGCTCTCTCCTTCGCCCGGTGTAGGTCCTAGCGGCGAAGATGTACACCCCAAGCTGATCTTCACCGAGAACGATACGAACACCGAGCTTCTCTACAAGGTCCCGAACGAACAGCCATACGTCAAGGATGCTTTCCACAGACACATCGTCGATGGCGAGAAGGAGGCCGTCAACCCTGCTCAGACCGGTACCAAAAGCGCAGCGTGGTTCACCTTTAACGAGGATGGCGGTGTTGCTCCTGGCGAGTGTGCTGGTGAGTAGTTCGAACGAGACTTGGTTACTGACAGCCACTGACACTCTCGATAGTTGTTCGTTTCCGTCTCTCCAAGAAGAATACCGACTACCTCGACGAAGAAGAGTTCGATGACCTCATGGACAAGAAGAAGGAGGAAGCCGACGATTTCTACTACCGCATCAGTCCCTTGCCGATGGCCGACGACCTTCGTAACATTCAGCGACAGGCCTTCGCGGGCATGATGTGGTGCAAGCAGCATTATCTCTTTATCTGGGATGAGTGGGCCAATGGTGACCCTGCTCAACCACCTCCGCCTCCTGAACGAAAGAACATCCGCAACCAGACCTGGAAACATTTGCACTGCGACGATATTCTTTCAATGCCAGACTCGTGGGAGTATCCCTTCTTCGCTGCTTGGGACACCAGTTTCCACTGCATTACCCTGGCCATGATCGATCCAGAGTTCGCCAAGAAACAACTGGATCTCTTCACCAGGGAGTGGTACTGCCACCCCAACGGACAACTTCCTGCGTAAGTGGACATATGAGAACGTTGCAGGGGATATTGAAGCTAACAGAAATTAGTTATGAATGGAACTTCAGTGATGTCAACCCCCCGGTGCACGCCTGGGCGACATTCCGTGTGTTCAAGATTGAGCGCAAGTTGTACGGAAGGCAGGATCTGGACTTCCTTGAAAGGGTCTTCCAGAAGCTGCTCATCAACTTCACCTGGTGGGTGAACAGGAAGGACGTTGACGGCAAGAATGTGTTCGAGGGTGGTTTCCTGGGTCTCGACAACATCGGCTTGTTCAACCGGTCCGAGCCCCTGCCCACTGGTGGTACTCTTGAGCAAGCGGACAGCACAGGCTGGATGGCCTTCTACTGCCTCAACATGCTCAATATGGCCCTTGAGTTGGCCAAGCACAGGCGCATCTACGAGGATATTGCAAGCAAGTTCTTCGAGCACTTCATTCTCATCAGCGACGCCATGACCTTCCGCATGGGTCAAAAGGATGAGAAGTCGCTTTGGAACGACGAAGATGGCTTCTACTATGATGCCATCTCTTGGGGCGGTCCCTGGATCCAGCAACTGCCTGTTCGCTCGCTTGTCGGATTGATCCCCCTTTACGCTACCCTTACCCTGGAGCCCGAGCTTATCAACAGGCTTCCGTCCTTCAAGAAGCGCGTTGAGTGGTTCATGCAAAACCGCGAGGATGTCGCCGAGCGAACCATGTTCAGCATCCGCAAGCGTGGTAAGGGCAACAGAATTCTGTTGTCTCTTGTCAACGAGGAGCGCCTGACCAAGATCCTTCAGCGTATGCTTGACGAAGACGAGTTCCTCAGTGAACATGGCATTCGGTCCTTGAGCAAGTACCACAAAGAGCACCCCTTCTCGATGGACGTTAACGGCCAGACATTCAAGGTCGGCTACGTCCCGGGTGACTCGGACACTGGTCTCTTTGGAGGCAACAGTAACTGGCGTGGGCCCATCTGGCTCTGCGTCAACTTCTTGCTCGTTGAGTCGCTGCAAAGGTTCTACCTGTTCTTCGGACAGAGTCTACAAGTTGAGTGCCCCGTTGGATCAGGCGAATACATGCATCTAGGTCATGTGGCCGAGGAGATCCAGCACCGCCTGCAGCATCTCTTTGCCCGCGACGATAATGGTCGCCGCAGCATCAATGGTGGTAATGATGTGCTTGACTTCGACGAGAACTGGCGCGATTACCTTTGGTTCTACGAGTTCTTCGATGGAGATTCAGGACGTGGACTTGGTGCCACGCATCAGTGCGGTTGGACTGGCTTGATTGCCAGGATGATTCACGACACTGGTGTCTCCTGCCGTCTCCCACACACTCCTCGTACACCACGCATCGGCATGGCGCACTACTTCGACGACATCTTCCACCGCCACGCTGGTGGAGCGCAAACACCCAAGACTCCCCGGTCTCCCCATCACCTTCGTCGCAACTCAACCACCCGCTCTATCGCCGCCCGCAGCGACTTTGAATTCAACGGCATGGATGATGATAAGGAACTCACCGACGACGAAGCCGCCTCGCCAGAGGATCGCCGCCGGTCTGTGTCCAACTCTGTGGTTGGACTTTCGAACGGCAGCGCACGCGAGAGAGAAGAAACTGATCAGCGCCTGCAGAACTATATCAGCTCTCAGTTGGAGAGGTTGAAGCAGGAGAGGAGTGAAGGAGAGGCGGATGGGTATGTGGTCCCTGGGGGTGAGGAGTTTGAGGCTTCTGCGACTCCTTGAGCGGGTTGAGTGTAGTATGGCACTTTGTGCATTCGGTCGACAGACAAATTGGGAGGGAGGCAAGCTGCGAGTTTTCTGGTTACTTTTTATAGCCATAGATGCGATTCGTTTTGGTTCTTTCTTGGAATTAGAGACCTATAGAGTCTGTACAGAATGAGTCGGTGGGAGGAAGCTTTATGAATTCACGACGTTTTATATCGTAACTTGGTCATGGCGGTGCTCAATTCGTGAATGTGAAATTCTTTTGTCATTTGCCCTTGAATTAAGACCTCATCGCATTAGATCATCATACCTCTCGATTTCTGCTCGGATATAATAGCTCACCGGCGATGACAGCGGGTGTCACACATTGTCTTACCCAGGTTTTTGGGATCTCCTTCAATTTAAGCTTGTAATAATGAAGAAGAAAGATGAATTGATAACTTATGCATGCGTGCAATATATGCGATATAATTATTCCTGTCCATATAAATCCTACATACGAACAAACCAGCGTTGAGAACGGTAATCAACCATTACCATTCATCATAAAATATCCTATATATCCTATGTGCTATTTGCTGTTTATTTTTTCGAGTGTACTACCGGTTGCTAATCATCCAAAAGCATCTCATCGACCTTCCACAAAAGAACCACATAAAAAGCGAGCAAAGACCATGAAGATCGAGAACATGTAAGACGTCAATCAGCTTATACAAACGACCTGATTAAAATCCAGCCCATTCGTCCCTGTCAACCAACAATCAGGATATCGATATCTACATTCCATAGAAAGTCCGACTGTTCCCATTTCATCATTACGGCATGGATGGTACGCACTTATACCCCCCATTGTAATCCCTTCCGATCCATTCAATCCATTCATTCCATCATTGTCATATAAACAGTAAGCTTCAATCTCCTCCCCCTTTCACCTCATACACCCACTTAAGTATATACCACCACCTCTTTCTCTCTCTCTCTCTCCCTGTCTGTATCCCATCTATTGCAACTCATGCATCTGCCCCCTATGATTCGCATTCAACTCCTGCGGTCCACCCACCGCATTACTCGCCGCCTCATAAACCGGCTGTCCGCCCGGGCCATACATCGGCCCTTGCCCCCCACCAACTGGTACACCCGTAAAGCTCTGCCCGGACATGTGATGCGGGTGAGCACTTGGGTTGCTAACGCTGCTGGGTTGATACCCGCCTCCGGACATTAAGGTAGAAGCAGGGCTGGAGGGGGGCATGTAGCCTGATGTTGGGCTGCCGTTGGGGTTGTTGTTGTTGTTGTTCCATTGTTGGTTGTTGTTGTGGTAATCGGCGGGAGGAGGGGGCGAGGCAGGAGCAGGGTAGTGTTGTGTCATGACGGGGACCTTGTTAGGATCCGGTTGGCCGCCGCCGCCGGCGTAGTAGTAACTGTTGTGGGAGTTGTTGTTGAGCGCTGGGTCGAGGTTACCCGGGCTGGGTGCTGGTGGTGGAGGGGAGTTGGCTAGGCCTGGGTGGCCGCCGCCGGGAGCTGCTGCTGCTGCGGAGGTTGCGGGAGTGTCGGGGGTGTTGTTATTGTGACGCTTGTTTCGGCGCACCATCCAGACGATGCCGAGGATGACGAGACCGATGACGGCTAGACCGCCGACGGCTCCGCCGACGATGGCGCCGATGTTGCTTCCTCCTTTTTCCTTCTTCGGTTCCGGTTGGTCGGGGTCGGCGGGATCGGTGGACGATCCTCCCAGGCCGACGGTGCCGGAGGAGCTCGAGGAGGCGGTTGAGCTTGCGCGACCGGTGCTACTGGACTCGACAGTTGGAACGGCAAGGGTGGAGCTGCTGCCGGTGTTTGTCCATGTTAAAAAGGTGCGGCCGTCGGTCTCGCCGTCCCAGGTCGTCTTGGCCGACTGTACACGCGAGCCGCTGAGAGTATCGCAGAAGTAATCGGTGATGCCACCGGGGAAGGCAATGGTTCCGCAATAGGGGTAGTCGGTTCCCGTGCTGTTGGGACGTTAGCGGGCTGTTAGGAAAGGTTATCCATGTTCGGGAGAAGACTGACCACTTCGCGGTGTAAGTGTCTGCCATGCAACCATCATCGCATTTGCTCTGGACGAGGACCTCGCTATAGTCCATGCAAGCAACACGGAAGCCGCAAACTTTGGTGTTGCAGCATCCTGCAGCACCCGGTATCGAGCCAGAGGAAGGAATGAAGACGCAAGAATTGGCCGGGTTGACGCAGGTAAAAGCGGCGCCTATGAAGATACCAGGATGGTTAGTATGATGAGAACTTGGGAAGAACGAGAAATTGCCAGTCCTAATCATCACTTACCTGGTAATCCGCTCACATAACCACAAGTATTGTCTGGAGCAATGAGGATAGTGTCGCCATAGGAGCCAGAGCCGCTTGCGCTCCCGGAAACTTGACGTTTGAAAAGCTCATGATGAAGAGTCGGGGGAAGTGTTGGCCTAGGAGTCTGCGCGTCTGAAGGAATGATAACCCGATCTGTCGCCTGTGGCCCGGGATATGCTAAGGCGTGAACAGAAGCTCCAAAGAGAGCAACACGGTATAATCTGGAGACACCCATGGTTGTGGATGGCTTGAACGGACTCTGATTCAAACCACAACAACAAGAGAGATGAAGAGAAGACTGTGTAGGAAAAAGATCATTTCAATGGGATGATAAACTAGTTCAGCCCTCGGAGAAAAGCAGCCAGTGCCACTTTTTTGTCCAAGAGACCAGCCAACCCATGGGATAGCTACTCGATCCATCTTGCAGACCACTTGTGTGGCTCGGTATGACGGCGAGCCTAGAATAGTAAGGACCCTCGTTACGGTTCTCCTTCTCGTCAAGCCTCCCACATTCCCATGTTTCTGCACAATATTTTCTCTCAGCCTGGGCTACAAGTCGGGTAAACCGGGAAGACCTCATGCTGAAGAAGGCCACAGGGGACCAGTCACAGCCATGGCGAGAGACCCGCGGGTGGCTGGCAAGTGTGCCTGACCTTGACGCTCTTTTCTCCTCTTCTCGTGAACCCTATCTCTTCCTCCTCTTCATCCATGCTGGTGGTAACCTTGGGGGGACGTCCAGGGGTCAAGGGTCCATTGCAGATGCTCGTGGCTTGCTTTGGGCCAATTCGAGAGCGGGCAACAAACGTGGCTTGCAGTAGCTGAAGGAACAGCATGTCTCTGATTGGGACAAGGCAGGGAAACGGCACACACAGCTGAGGCTCAACGTCTCATGGTGAGGTCCCAAATTGGGATCCATTGCGATTCTGCTCTCCACTTGGAAGGAACACTGCATGGGGCAAGAGTGAGCTGATTGGGCCATCTCTCGCTTGATGAGTTGGGGGGAGGAAGTGATAAACCAAGATTTGGGAAACACAGGGTAAGGGGTGATATTTTCCGTCGGTGATTGTCAACCCGGTCATCTGAAATGAGAAGGACCAGAGTGCTACGGTGAGAACTGTCGTTGTTCTACCGCCTCGTAGAGCATGTCCATGTCCATAATGTTGCGATGGCCGATGGGTGGGAAGACGGCACGAAGGAGCGAGTCTTCGTCCTCATTTCCGAAGAAACATGAGGCTGCCAACATGTCCAAGGTGTGGGCGTGTGGCACAGCACCCATAAACGACCCCAGACTATCGATTCAAGCTTCTGTGAGTGTAACCCCATCCAAACCCTTTGGGGTCTTCTCCGAAAGATAGGGTCGTGATGAGCGGGGCAATCGGCGTTTCGTTGGCTGATATGGGGGTGGTTTGTTGTTGATCAGGCCAAGCTTTGCTTCGGTCGCCCAAAACATGGAAGATCTGAAGTTGTCAAGTGGAAGCCTGGAAGAGAACCAGCAAACGGCCCCACAAACAGGGCACCGAACAGCGGGCCCGGCGGGCAGCGGCACACCCACACGGGACTTTTAGTGGACCGCCCCCGACGCCGATCGTCTCGCAGGCGGAGGAGACCCACATCAACAACCCAAAACAGACGTCGCCAACAGCTTCACTCACTCACAATCTCCTGTCAGTGTCACCTCGCCGACGACCGTACACCACGTCGTGTAAACAAATGACCGACCTCCATGACCCATGACCGATCTTCTCCGCGTCCTGCCGCACTTCCCAGTCGGCCAGTATGCAAATCTGATATCCGCCCTTGAGAAGGTCGGCCTCACCACCAGCGACCTCTTGACGCTCGAAGCAGCCGACATTGGAAAACGCACGCAACTTCCCCTGCTCGATATCAAGCGCCTATGTGCCGCCGTCCTCGCTGCTCTTCACGATGACCTAGGTGTTTTCGCCACATCCCGCCGTCATCAACACAGCAATCAGGGCCAGGGTCAACAACATGGCCAGACCAGCACGGTTCCTGCTGCGCCGCCTCCAGCTCTGCAGACCCTGAAGAACACACCCGCCTCCCTCGCCGCACAATGGCAGACCATCAGCACCCTAGATCCGGACCTCGACCGCGCTCTCGGCGGCGGTGGCATCCCCGCCGGCTACGTGACCGAGATCACGGGCGAGTCTGGCGCCGGCAAGACGCAGTTCCTGCTCACGTTGCTCCTCTCAGTCCAGCTGCCGCCTCCCCATGGGCTCGGCAGGCCGGCCTTGTACATCAGCACCGAGGCGCCGCTCTCTACCCGGCGGTTAGCCCAGATGCTCACCACCAATACCTTCTTTAAGGGCATCGAGGCAGACGGCCGAGAGAGACCTTCACTCGACAACATCATCAGCACCGTCACGCCCGACCTGGAAAGCCAAGATCACATCCTCACTTACCAAGTGCCCGTGGAGATTGAGCGGCGCAACATCGGCTTGCTCGTGCTCGACAGCGTGGCAGCCAACTACCGCGCCGAGTTTGAGCGTTCTTCTAAAGAAGCAGCTACGTCGTCGATACCGGGCGCCGGCGCCGGCGCAGCACGATCCTCTAACATGGGAGCGCGCACCGCCGAGTTAGTCCGACTAGGTATGCAACTTCGCGACCTAGCGCAAAAGTACAACCTAGCCGTGGTGGTGTCCAACCAAGTAGCCGATCGGTTTGGGTCTAAGATGCCTGAGCCCATCACTTCTTCCATCCCCCGGTCCAGCGCCGCCGTCCTTCCCACCCCATCAGTTACTCCTTACCCTCACCCCGACGAAAACCCTCCTCAATCCCACCACCCCGCCCTCCACCTCGACAACCAACAGCGTTTCTTCACCGGCTGGGGCGACGACCCCTACGCCTCTTTCCCCCTAAAAACTCCCTCCTTGGGTCTTGTCTGGTCTACACAGATCTCTGCGCGGATAGCGCTGTTTAAAAGGCCGGCTTATGGAAGGAGTAAGTACCAAGCTGATGATGAAGACCAGAACGGCAATGAAAAAGGGATGCCAATGCTGAAGAGCTGGAGGAGGTGGATGAAGGTTGTTTTTGCGGGGTGGACGGCTGAGAGCGGGACGGGGTTGGATGGAGGGGGAAGTGTGGAGTTTGAGGTTTGGATGGGGGGGTTGAGGGGGGTGGTGAAGAAGGATAGGAAAGGGAAGAAGGGGGAAGGGGAGAGGGACTTGGGGAATGGGAAGGGGGGAGGGTAAAGAGAAGGGGGAAGAGCGTTGAGGTGTCAGGTGTGAAGAGGGTCATGAGAGAACGCGCGGGGGGGGGGGGGAAGTAATGAATGGATCGAGGTGGTTTGCGAAGCATTATTCGTGGTATTGTATATGTGTTAGGGTTTGGGAAGACAAGAAGGGATAATATGTGATACCCCCCCAATCTTGATGTCTAGACTACAGCTATTTAGAATACAAGTGTCAAAGTCAATGGTTAGTGACGCCTATCAGCTACTACCGAAAAGAAAAAGAAGGCATTTCACTGTTCACAACACATTTAGTTAAGAATAGCCAAATCACTCTCCAGAAATGTAAGGATATCTTGATTATCTTCGATGAGAACCAATCGCAGAGTGAATGTTCTCAATACTTGCTGAATGTAGAAATTCTATGGGCAGGGGTGATATATTGCATGCATGCATGCCCGTCGGGTATGTTATCAATTCCTCTTCCTTCGTTATCATAGCAAACCAAAAATTGGAACAAATCCCGAGAGCCTGGGTAAGACAATGTGAATGCGTTACACTTGACATGGCGGGTAGCTATGACATCCATGCAGAAATAAAGAGATATGATAGTGTGATGCTAACCTGTGAAGATGACCCTGACTGTTTTTGAAAATTGGTATATCATTTCAGATATATGTTGTCTTTGTATGTAAGTCCCATTACAGTCTAACCATTTGTCTACCCTCGCCGCGCTTCTCTGAAAATGCTAAAGAGTAAGAGAACCACACGCGCCCGAACACCCATCATGTAAACTATTTGCAAGCAATTCAAACATCAACCAACCTCCAACAGAAATCCCGTTTTCAACGAAACCCGTGCTCATTCATCCATGGGTTTAAATTCTTACACGACACGACACAACATCAACTCCGCCATCATCTTATGGAGTACTGAACTACCTCGGGTGAGGGAACTCATCCTCCAACTTAAGCTTCACACCAACATTCATACTAATCAGCTCCTGCACCAACAGCTTGCAAGCATACGGCATCGTCATCTGGGTAACGTTCCTCGTGCTCTTGCAAGCGTTGCAGTAGCCCTTGTAGCCGAACAGGCCGCACTCCTGGCAGACGTCGAGCTCGGTGCCATCCGAAGAAATCATGAGACGCTCCAACAACAGCTGCGAGGCGCCGTACGCGATCAAGCAATCGCGCTCCATCTCTCCGAGACGGAGACCGCCGTCGCGTGAACGACCCTCGGTGGGCTGGCGCGTGAGGATGGCGCGCGGGCCGCGCGAGCGCGAGTGCATCTTGTCCTGCACCATGTGCTTGAGGCGCTGGTAGAAGATGGGGCCGTTGTAGATGTAGGCTTCCATCGGCTCGCCCGTGATGCCGGACGTGAAGTAGTCTTTACCTTCCCACGAGAAGCCGTGGTCGATGAGGGCCTGGCCCATGGACTCGACCGGGTGCGAGCGGAAGGCGTCGCCGAAGCCGTAGTCTTTCTCGCCGGCGATGACCGAGGCTTTGCCGGTCAAGCACTCGAAGAGCTTGCCGACTGTCATTCGAGAGGGGAAACCGTGGGGGTTCATGATAATGTCGGGGCGGAGGCCCTTGTCGGAGAAGGGCATGTCCTCTTCGTTAACGATGATACCGACGACACCCTTCTGACCGTGACGGGACGAGAACTTGTCACCAAGTTCCGGCCTACGGGTCTGGCGGGTTTGGACCTTGATAAGCTTGTTCTCGCGCTCGTTGACCGAGATCATGACCTTGTCAATGATGGCCGGGTCGGAAATGCGGTAGTTGGTTGATGCATCACGGTAGTCGTCTGACCCACGATCGCCAGCGATTCCAGTAGAGATCTGGTCCAACGGGGTCTCCTTCTTGATCATCGTTTGTCCGGATTCAACCTTTGAGCCGACCTGGGCCAAGCCATCGGCATCGAGGACGGCGTGCTTGGCAATGGGCTTTTCGTCTTCGTCCTTCATGATACCACCGACCCTGTCGCGGCGACCATTGGTATAGCCTTGCAACTCGGCAGTATACTTGCGGAACACTTGGCAGCGGCCGAAACCACGATCTAGAGAAGCCTTGTTCAGAACAAGCGCATCTTCGATATCGTAGCCAGAGTAAGACATAACGACGACGGTGGCGTTCTGTCCTGCTGGAAGTTTGTCGTAGTGGATAAGCTGAATGGTCTTTGTAATGACCATTGGTCGTTGGGGATAAACAAGGGTATAAAGAAGGGTGTCGATTCTGTTGAACTGATTGTAGGCAATAGCACCAATGGCTTGTTTACCCATAGCGCACTGATAAGTATTACGGGGAGACTGGTTGTGATGGGGGAAGGGGATAAGACCGGCGACCGCTCCGAGAATCGTGAACGGCTCAATTTCCATGTGCGTAGTGCTGTTGGTAATCTGATCCTCTTGAAGCGCCACGAGCGTATCGTTCTCTTCGTTGACGTCGAGGTACTCAACCACGCCGCTTGTCAGGAAGGTATCGAATGTCGCCTGACCGAGTTGAAGCATCTTGAGATGCTCTGCCTTCAACATGGATTTGCCATTCTTGACGATGATGTACGGGCGGCAGATACGTCCTTCATCGGTGGCAATGTGAACTGCCGAGAAGTGCTCGTTGATATGGATGCTCACAAAAGGAGAAACCCAGCCACGGCGACGCAAAGTTCTGAACCTGGCGGCAAACCGCTTCGGCTCCCTGGTCACGGCAAAAGGTGTACCATTCAGATGGATGATATACGAGCCTTTGCTGTGCATCTCTGTGCCGGTGTATTCTCGAATCGGTCCCACGCTCTCATCAGCAGCGAAAATCATCTTCTTCACAGGCTCTTCCGGCACATTCGTGGTAATATGTGTCATGAGCGCCAAGTTCTTTACCAGACCACAGGCTTCACCTTCGGGTGTATCAGAGGTACAGAGCATACCCCACTGCGAAGGCTGTAGGGCTCTGGGGCCGGAAACCTTTCTCGTCTTTTCGAATTGCGAGCTGATGCGCGTCATCATACCCAGCGCAGCGATATAACTGAGTCGACTGAGTACGTGGGTAATACCCGCTCTGTTCATGTTGAAACGCTTGACCGTCCAGTTGCCGCTTTGAATAGCGCGGTTGAGACCGTGAGAGATATAATGGCCATTAGCCATGATCGCACCGTGGGGATCATACGTAGAGGTACGGTTGGGCTTCTTGAAAAAGTTGTCAATGTTGTACTTGACGTCTGAAATGAACTTTTTGAACAAATCTTCGAACAGGAGGGAGATCAGCTGTCCAGCCAATTCCAATCTCTTGTTACCGACGAAATCTCTGTCGTCAACGAGCTTGGAATTCTGAGCTGCCATCAGCACGCGGCGAACCATCATGGCGATGTAGACGGCTTTGGGGTAAAAGTCGAGGCCCTCAACGGTAACGTGCGCAATGATCAGGTTCGCAAGAGCGTCGAGACCTTCTTCGGCATGGTTTCTTCGGGGGGCGGCACCGAACCTGGGTCTGTTGCCGCCCATCTTGACTCTAGCACCAACGTATTCCAACGCTTGTTGTTGTGTGTAGACACCAGCTCTTCCGGCTTCGTCGAAGTTGATGAGGAAATCGTCCTGATAGCGCGCATCGCCACCGCAAACAAGCTCGATGATGTCGTTGTCGGAGAGGCCACCGAAGGCCTTGAGAACGATGACAATCGGAATGGGCTCGGAGAGGGTGTTATGCTGCAGGACAATTCGGTCCTTCTTGAGTACGACGTAGGTCTTTGACTTTCTCTCGTGTGTGGAACTGGTAACCGAAGCCATGACGCCGCCGGTCTTCTCGTCGGCTTCAACGATGATACGGTTCTTGCTGAGCTGTTCCTGAATCAAAATGACCTTCTCGGTTCCGCCAATAACGAAATAGCCACCGGGATCGAGAGGGCACTCGTTAAAGACCTCCATCTGGGCATTGGTGGCGCCGTTGAGGTAGCACTTTGCGCTCTTGAGCATGACGGGGATGCGGCATAGCGGAATGTTCTTGCGGACGATGACGCTCTTGTCGCGGGTGTAGGCAATATCGACTTCGACGGGGGCGGCATAGGTAAGGTCGCGGAGACGGCACTCCATGGGCGTAACAGGGTTTCGAAGATGGGCTTGTTCGCCATCTTCGGTGCGGGTGGGCATGCCGACGCGGATGTCTCTGAACTCGAGCCAGAAGTTGGGGTCCTGGTCGCTGCGGACGACGCGGTTGGCCTTGACGATATCCTTGATCTCCTCATTGACGAAGTAATTGTACGAATCGATGTGCTGCTTGACGAGACCCTTGACCTTGAGGAAGGCCGGGACGAGATGGAACTTGTCCGCCGTGGTCGAGATGGGATCGGTCAGCTTCTTGCCATTGTAGAACGGCTCCAGCAGGGCCTCGAAGCCATCGTCGAGAGCCGCCATCCTTGCATGTGCTGACTGTGGGTGACGGTTCTTGGTATCGACGGAATTGGAGATGGCGATGTAGACGTGAGACGATGTGCCTTCAGTTGTGTTTTGATGATTTTTGGCCCCGCGGCAAATGAATCGATAAGGAATTGCGATAAACTTTTTCTATGGGCTGGCCGCTGCCGTATTCAGTAAGCTGCGGCCGGGGCGGTGGGGGACGACGGGGAAGGGGGTGGTCAGTGCTCAGGTGTTAGTGGTGACTAATGACTGGTACGCCGAGGCCCAGAATTGTTAGCGCCCACGTTTTGGACCCCTGATTGACAGTTCCTGTTCCACTTGGGCGTGTCACCTCTGAAACCTTTTTGCTTTGACTCCCGTCACTCCAAGAAAGTTGATATGCCAATCTCTGTAATTTCGACGCATGGTTTGCCTTTACCTTTCCGTGGTCAAGTTTACCTATCTAACTACAACTAGGATTTTGATATTTGTCGCTCATCCAGTTTGTAGCAGGGTCAGGCCAGCGATGTAGCCGGTCTACTGGCTCTGCCTGTGCCAAGCCAAGCGGAAGCTGGGCCTTTGATCGACAACACCAGTCAACAGGGGAGCTTCTGGTTGAGTCATGGGCGTCAAGTCTGCAACTCATGAAATCACCTGCCTGATTATCTTACATCTCTCCTTCTGTTCAGTCTATATTAACTGTAGCTGTGGCCTGGGAGTTGCACAACTCACAAGGTGAAACTTGAGGCTGTCTCGGTGCGTTATACAAGCATGCTGGACTGAGTCCAGTACTCGTTGTTCTCAAGTCCTGCGCCTGTTACATACCACCTACCTACTCAGTGTCCCTGGCGTGCCTGGCTTTGAGGGGAGGGGGAGGACCGGACCTTCGCTAAAACAAAATGTGGGGTTGAGGCTGACATAGTTTAGCGAGACCCCTCTTCTCGAGCACCGCTCAGGATGGATCGCTTAGAACTCGATGACCTGCTTCAAGATGGCAACTGCCAAAGATGATGCGGAGGCGGCGAGAGGGTGTTGCAGCTAAGGTGACCGCTCGCAGGACTGTTGGGAGGCTCCTTTGATACGCATTGTGCGGTGGTGGTTGCCCCCGATGATGGATGTGTGCTTGATGGTTCTGCTAACTGCCAGCCAACAAGGGCGCCCCGTGTAGTCGGATGCGTTCTAGCCGCGCAACCTGGGGTTGATGCTCTTGGTTGGTTACACAAACGTCCAAGAGTCAAAGTCTGGGATGCTGTACCCTTCTCCCCTCCTTCCATTTGACGTTGGAGGCAGCCTCTACTGTGGAGACGATTCTTGATCAGACCTATGCAGACTTGAACTCATCGGCAAAGGATTCAGATGGTGAAATGCGGCCTTGGATCTCACATCACCGTTGGCCATCTTTTCCCAGCCAGTTAAGCCAGCTCCACCAAAGGGTTTCCGCCTCGAGTTTCCCCAACAGCAGGGTGCTACCTTGCTCGAATCGGCCTGGGAACCGAACCCAGCAGTGGGGAAGAAAAGAGGAGCAAAGCTTGGAATTGAAAAGGCCTCGAGGTCAGACCTCTTGTGACTGAACCTTGAACCACAACACTGAATCTTCCACAGGGCAGAAGTGAGGGTCAGAGTGTCCAGCCTTGAACAATGATGGGTGCCTATCACTGTTTTACATCCCCTCTTGTCATGGCTACCCTTTACCATGCCTTGTCAAGCAACCCCTCTGAGACGATGACACTCGGTTCTGGCGTAAACCAATCATTGCCTAGTCGTAACATAGCGCAGGGGCAGCTGCAGACTGGACGCAAGGGCGCGGGTGAGAGAACCTGGGGCAGCTTGGCAGCCTCTTCCTGTATTGCCTCTCTGCAGGCCGTATAACGGCGCCGCCTATACACCGCTAATTCCTCAGGACTTGCTGTCTCTGATGGCCCGATGTAAATCATGGAGATTCCTCGTAAGGCTTGAATCCCTGACGAGTATCTGGGACGAAGAGTAAAGGCAGCAAGAAGCTGTATCTCCAGTCTACAAATACCCCCCTGGACAGAGTAAGGGTACCGTAGGCTTGGATCCCGAATCGCGTCCACCCATTGTCATCCGTCTCGGTTGTAAAGCACATTGTCTGTCCAATGCATATAGATTGTGTTTGGACCTATAGAGAGGTAACAAAGACTATCGGTGCCGGATCTGATATCCTCGCCCAAGAGCAACCGGGAGGAGACCAAAGGCACTTGCATGTTCAAGGGATTTGGTAGCAACTTGGGGCTGTTTCGTAAGGTCTGGTGTCAACTTGCAAAGAAACCAGTACTTCCTCCATAGGGTGCAAAGCGGGGACCTCTTAGCGCAGTCGCCCTTGGGCAGCAGATCCAATGATTGGGCTTCTATCGTCCATCCACTACGGAATTGACACTAGCCTCTGGCTGTCAGGGGTTTCTCGGACCCATCATGCAGCATGTCCTCTTGTAGAGGTACGTACATCCACAAGTGACATGGACCACAGCGGCAGCTCCAGCGGCAGGCTGGGCTGGGGGTGAGGTCCAGTGCGAGAGAGGAGCGGGTGGCATCGTCTTCGCGCATCCCCATCCGTTGCGACCGTGACCGTCAGTCTTCCTCCATACAACCCGTAACCCGTCGTCAGGCTTACCATCCCATCTCCTCTTCGCTCTTTTTGCTGTATTACTACTGCTTCCGACCTTGCTGCCCGCTCCTGGCTTCCCGGGGCGCAGCGTATAGAGTTACGAGACACTTGTTTCCTTTGGTACCTCTACGACTAGGTAGGTGACCTTGACGTCGTTCCTTCAATCGCATCCCGTCCATCACATACCTCAGGTCCCGGGCCACTCATACGCCTTCTTCCATCCCCTCTCGGGCCTGCGCGACCTCGGACGCTTGAGCCCACGAGAGCTACGGCCTCGTCCTCACCATTGCTGGCCCATCTCGGCAATGCCAGACAGTCTCGGAATTGGCGCCATAGAGGTACTCAAGGTGTTCTACCTAGTCTTGAGGACACACCCGACTACAAGCGCGGTCCCATGCCTGCCCACAGCTTGGACGGCCTTCGCACCAGCTGTCAGCATCCTGAGGAGCTTCCGGAATTCGACACATTAGCCTAGCCGAACCCGAGGGAACTACTCCGATTGCGACTCGCCGAGGGGTCAGCCATTCATCATTACAACTGCCCTTCATGTGGCCGTACCTGGCATACTATCGCCCTCATGTGTTGCTTCTCACGGTGCTCGTTTTGGTATTCGCTCAAACAGATGTTGACTAACGCTAGTGTATGGCATTAGATTATAGGAGGGAGCAGCCGCCGACGAACCCATCGCCCTGTACAACAAAAGTGTATCGATTAGCAACTGTAAAGCCGAGATAATCATGGACGAGTTCTACCGCCCCCAGCCCCAGCGAGGCGAATCGCAAATGGCGCCCTCCTTCGTCAACAGGGCCAGCACCTCCCTACCGCGCCGATTCACTGCAGAGTCGGGCCATGTACCAACACTATCCTCCTTTATACCTGGTTCCCAGCGCCCATCCGAGCCCACCGAGTTTGCTGCTACTCCTGCTGCGGTACGTTCTTCCAGCCCCGGCCGCCTCTGCTCTTGGTGCAGACGCGACCGTGATCTCACATGTTTGTTGGATATGGAAGATCATGCTGATCATGCTTGGTAGACTCTCCACAAGGTTCAGCTGGTACGTCGCAACTTGTTCGCAACGACGGCCCCAGGTGCCCGCTAACCTCACGGCCCATGCAACAACAGTTAGAAAAGAAGAGACAGGAATACGAACGAATCCGAGAGAGCAAGCGGCGGTTCGAAGCCGAGCTCTCCAAACTGGACGCTCAGCAGCGTCAGGAAGAGCGCGAACTTGCACAGATGGCAGAGGATTTGCAGATAGGCAGATTCGCCGGCCACCAGTCCGAGCCGACCACACCCCCCGAGTATCGCGATGCCTCGAGAGGCTTTCCCTCCATGTTTTCCCGCCCGAACCGGCACTCGACCGGGCTCGTTAACCGTGGAACCCGCTCTTTGCTTACATCTCCGCCATCGGGGATGCTGCCAATGCGGTTAGCCTTTGATGACCAACTGCCGTCACGCTCAGGGCCAGGCTCACGAAGGAACAGTGACGAAGACGAGAAAGAAGAGGCTGTACGCCAGGATCCCACCAGCCATCGTTCCACCAAAGCGTAAGTACCTCCTCCTCTTGAAGCGCTTGATATGTTTTGCGTTGCTCCCAGTCTGCGAAGGCGCTGCTATCCGATGTGAAGCCGTTACGGTTCCTATGATGGGGCTGAAGAAGAGATTACAAACCCCTCAAATTTGACTGTGAAGGGTATCGAAGTTTCGGCCCATCTTTTTGCCTAGAATTGCTCTTGCCCGGCCTCCTCTTTTGCTGGGTCCCAGGCATCTCTTTTTCATCCCATCTTCTTCACTATTCTGGAGAGGAGAATGGAGAACAATAGCAAACTATATTATCCACCCAAGTGGGAATTCATCTATAAAGGTCGCTATTGTCTGAATGGTGACTCTCTTCTGGGGATGAGTCTTCGTCTATAAAAGCACACGCCTGCGCCTTTCTCTCCTTCATCACAATTTGACTCCTGTACCATTCAACACACTCGTCTTTCAATATCATTTGCGCAAGCAATCTCGATCCAAAAGCTTGATGTTAACGAGAGATCTTCCTGCTAGTACAAATCGCTACTCTATGCCTGTGACCCGATCTCGCACCTCGTACGATATCGGTCTCGAAGACAGCAACAACACGGCCGGATTCCTTTTCGACGACGAAGAAGATAACTCGGGAGAAGGTAGAGCGACTCCCACCGGGCAAGTAAGCAACGCAGACGCTTTCCCTACATTGTTTAGGCAGCAGGGATATTCCAATAGGGTGAGTTAGGCTTTTTTCCGTTTGCTATGGGGAGTTGCGGCCAGTGGTTGCGTGACGGAAAGTGGTGTTTAGACCGGTCCTGTCACTCAGCTCCGGCTCATATTCATTTCACCTGGCAGGCAACTGAACCTTCAGGACTTGCGAAAAGTCCACTCTTTGAGGTGCTCAGATGCCGGTGAATGTATTATGCTGGTTTGGTGCACCAGGCAGTTGCGGGTTTGAAAGCCACACCCACACCCTCTCCCCCCACACCTCACACAGCACGAGCATCTGTTCCTGCTTCCTCTTCCCTTCGCGCATCTTTCTTGCCCTCATTTGCACCATCACTGTCAACAAAACACCCCGCAAATTGTCGTGTACGATAACTGCAGTGGAAGTTTTGTTTATTTTGTTTGTTCCCCCCTCATACCGATCTTTCATCCTCTTTCACCACTCCCCCAAGTTTTGTTTTTTAAGTGATTTGTGTTGACTCAATATCCCACCCAAAGCTGTCTGCTTCTTCAGCATTAGACGTTGTTTTGGGCCAGTCTTTTGGTCTTGATAGTATTGGCGCAAGCGGCTGGAACAGCATTAACAAGCATCGTTCACAGCATAGCATGTCTGCTATCGGTTCTGGACAGGCAAGCGGAACAGGCTCAGTGGCCTCGCCTGAGCTGACTCCCATCGGCACTCAGCCCGCAAACGTTCGTCATTCTCTGGACGGCACGAAGCTCTTCCAGGAGAGCGCACCCGGCTCTGCTGACGCGACGCCGAGTTCGGTCATGTCGCCCGCTATCAGCAACATCTTGGCCAGCCCCCCGAAACTCCAGCAGTCGTTTTCCGCCAACGACGTCCCGACCCTCAAGTCTACGAACGGTCAGTCCAACAACAACCACGCCCAGCAGCACTTTCATAACCACAACGCCGGCCTTGGCCGTATCCCCGCTGGTGCCATGGCCGCGCGCCATACACGTGAGCTCTCTGGTGATACCGGTTTGACGAACGGACGTGATAACGGCGGCTACCCTTCAATCACCTCGACTTTACACGCCAATGCTGCACCCTTCGGACCTGTTGCCCCTCAGCTGCAGACCTCTGCTGCAGTCAACACGGGCTTGACCTCGACGGCACCAGCGATGCCCTATCCTTACTACCCGCCGGGCCCCAACTATACCCCTCCTGGCAACAACGCTGGATACGGAAACCTCCCCATGATGATGCAGAACATGTCCGTTGGCAACAACAACCCGGCAGCCATGTATGCCCCTCAAAACTATACGGGATACGGCGCGTTGTACAACGCCGGTGGCAGCCCCAGGCAGCCCCAGGATAGCCAGGCCCGTGTTATTCAGAGCCGGCGCGCCATGGACGGTGAAGGTGAGCACATCGCAACCTCCAGATCTTACCAGACTGCTAACTTTTCTATGGAAGCCATGTCTCGTTTTAACAACCTGCCTCTGGAGCAGGTTGTCGGCACCATTTACACGCTTTGCAAGGACCAGCATGGCTGCCGCTATCTACAGAAGAAGCTGGACGATCGTAACGAGGAACAGATCCACATGATTTGGCTCGAGACCAACCAACATGTGATCGAGCTGATGACCGATCCTTTCGGCAACTATCTTTGCCAGAAGCTGCTCGAGCTCTGCAGCGAAGATGAGCGCACTGTTCTCATTCGAAATGCAACATCGGATATGGTCCGCATCGCCTTGAATGCTCACGGCACTCGAGCGCTGCAGAAAATGATCGATTCCGTCAGCTCGCCGGTTCAGATTAACCTCATCATTGAGGCTCTTCGCAACCGAGTCGTTGAGCTCATTCAAGATCTCAACGGAAACCACGTCATTCAGAAATGTCTGAACAAGCTTAATGCCACCGATGCCAGCTTCATCTTCGATGCTGTTGGACAGAACTGCGTTGAGGTTGGCACTCATCGCCACGGCTGCTGCGTTCTTCAACGCTGCATCGATCACGCCGATGGAGCCAAGAAGACTTGGCTTATTGAGCGTATCACGGCCAACGCCGTTACCCTTGTCCAAGACCCCTTTGGCAACTACGTGGTTCAGTACATCATTGATCTGAACGAGCCGAGCTTTACCGAGCCCCTCGTAGGCCAGTTCCTCGGCCGCATTCCGCAGCTGTCGAAGCACAAGTTCAGCTCCAATGTGGTTGAGAAGTGCCTGCGTTGTTCTTCTCCTAACTCCAAGGACAGGATCGTGAATGAGATTATGGCGCAGAATGAGATCAAGCAGCTCATGCAAGACTCGTATGGCAACTACGTTGTCCAGACAGCACTGGACTATGCCACTCCGGCCATGAAGCACCAGCTGGTTGAGGCTATCCGTCCCCATCTGCCTGCTGTCCGCACGACACCTTACGGCCGACGCATCCAGGCCAAGGTTCAAACTTACGACAACCAGACCCAGAGCGGCACGAGCACCAGTGGTCAAGCGACTCCTGCGGATCCGGCAAGCGGCCAGATTCCTCTCCGCCCTGCGCAGCACAACCGTGCCATGTCCAACAACACATCAATTCTCACTAGTGGTGGACTAGGAAATGGCGCGAACGGCATCAACGGCGGCAACGGACGTCCCTTGGGCACCGTTTTCCCCGCAAGCAACATAATCACAGTTCCGCCTCCTGCGTCGCAGCAGTCTCTCCAGGCCATTCGCCCTCCTCAGAACTCGAACCAGCAACAGCAGTTTCCTCCCGCCGGCACTCCGGCCGAAAATGGCCAGAACTGGGTCTAAGCAGCGATGCGATGCGATGCGTCTTGGCAAGAAAGACGGCAAAAAGGTGTGCATTGTATGATGAGAGATGAGATACATTTCGAATGGCTTGGCTTTCACTTATCCACCGGTAGGCTTGGGGAGTTTTCTTCCACGGAGTCACGGACCTCGTTTGTCTCTTAATATCTGCCTTAAACGGGGCGAGGTTCCAACAAACAAATAATTTGCCAAGATAAAGAGACGAGAGAGATGTTTTTCCTTCTTTTCTGATCTGATCTGGTATTATCGGTAAAGATACGGGCTGGGAACAACGGATTTTTATCAGCGAAATGTGTTTCGGGCGACGATGGCGAACTAAAATGAGAGGGAGAGAAAGAGAGAGTGATTCTTCGAGCTTTAAGCAGGGGCTGCCTGATCTACAAGGGACCTTTTCTTGCTTTGTTGTACACTACGTATCGCGCTCGATAGGAAGGGAAGGTACGATAGGTAGCGGTTAGGTTGCCGTAGCATAGAGCTTTTCAAGGTTAATACTCTAAACTTCCGTTCTGTTGGTTCCTTAACTTTCTTGTGTTGTCGCTTTTACCTTCCAAGTTCTCTACTACATTGTGTTTTGCACTTTTTAGGGATTTACTTGGTGTTGCCATTCCTTTAGGCGTACTAGGTATCATATCAAGTGAAAGGTTCCAGGGTGGTATTTAGATTGATTGCCTCGAGCAGGGCAGGCTTGAAATTGACTGGTTAATGGATCTGAGTTCTATCGATGTTGTGTCCATACCGCCACCCTCCTTTTGATTAAGACGGTCATATGAAGCACCCAGGCTGGAAGTCTCGATATCAACTTGTGAACTCGAGACCAATTATAACGAGTCATCCACCAGCGTTGTTGCAGAAACTAACTGCATGGCTGCATTCTTACTCCTGAAGATGGCAGAGACACACACAAACGAACGAACTAGTAAATGGGAACTGATGTTAGAGCCTTACAGTCTCCACTCGTTGCCCATATGCTTGCTTCTCTTTACCCCTACCTGTATCGTGAACATCACCGCAGGCATATTTGATGATGAATAACTGACTGCACCAAGCAGAGAGAGAGCTTGACGCACAACGGTGGGGATATCAGTTAAATCACGGTTTGTAAATCCTGACTGATTGACTGGCTGTCTGTCCTATGATAATAGCCCCGAGGCCAGTAAGAACGAATGAGAAAAGGATCAATGGGGGAAAAATATAAAGCGCAATCAGCAAGTAAACCAGGAAAGAGATACGTCAGAACGCAGCAACTCCTTTCCTGTTTTCCCTCGCCCTCGGACATCAATCATATCGTGACAATGAGCAAGAAGAGGCAAGGTGGGAAAGAAGAGGAAAATAAGGATTCTTGGGCGGAGGAGACAAGGCCAGGAGAGAGAGAGTAGGGGAGTGAGTGATTGACTCGAGTTGAAGTGTTGGACACATCAAAGGGGATACGATACGATACGATACATTTATTTATGCTGATTCTACCCAACTTTGACAATGGTGCCTGGTTAGAACAAACCATGAATGACCTTCTCGCACTAACACATGAGAAGATATCGAAGACTCACCTTGGATTCTCATAGCAGTGTATCCTGTTGGTTATGGTATCCATTGACCCCTTTGGTTGCCACTCGTTGAGGCTGACGGAAAACGGGTCTAGACCATGCAGGAAGAATTTGACGACGGAAAGTTGTCGACGAAAGGGGTTGATCACCAGAATCCGGAAACCGTGAATTTAGGAGGCCACTCCTGTGTAAAAGTCGGAGATTGGCTTACCATCATCGATCGGGCTTGTATAGTTGATTGGAACACATGAACCAGAGCACTGTCACGTCGATAGGGAAAGTCAGTCCGTAAGGCAAGTCCACTTGATTCATTGGCAGTGAACTGTAAGAGAACAAAATATGGGAATCACAAAGACGATGATCATCAGAATGTCATTAAAAGGACAGAGGTATCATATGCACACCCGAAAATGCGTTTAGTCCATTTTGGTGAGCTAACTGGATTTTCCACAACTCCATGCGGATTCACCCTTCTTTCCGTTGTGTCCCAGCGATGATTTGCAATCAAGAAACCATCGCTGTCGAGACCATAAAGAGGAGCAGGACAACCGGAAGTTCCCTTGATTCCCAAAGACCCAGCCAAAAAGTGTGCCAATGAGCAGAACAGCCAGAGCCAGCACCAGATCTCGTAGACTACGGACCTCGTAGGCGAGCCGTTTACCGGTAGCGCCAGAGGGAGAGGGTGTTGTGGCGCTTCCAGGTCTTTCTGCGGCCAGCGCGGGTCTTGTTGTAACGGTGACCCTTGTTGAGACCGCGCGAGCGCTTGCCGGTGGAGGTAAGGCCACGGGACTCGCGGTGCTTGTGGACGGGGTTGACGATCCAGTTGATGCGGGGATCGCGGCGGATGGCCTTGTGCTGGGGGTCGACAAGGATAACCTCGAAGTACTTGTAGGTGGAGTCCTGGTTGATCCAGTAGGAGTTGAGGACGCGGAGGTTGGCGCAGCGGCGGCCGACACGCTCCTCGGCGGTGGACTTGAGGGAGCGCTGGTACTTGAGCTGGTTCACACCCTGGTTGGTGGGCTTGCCTGTTGGGACTTGTTAGCGAACTGGACACCATCGCAAGTTCTGTTGAACAGGAAAACGTACCATAGGTGGCACCCTTAGGGACGGGCTTCTTGCGGCCACCGCGACGGACACGGGCGCGGTAGATGACATAGCCCTGCTTGGCCTTGTAGCCGAGGCGGCGGGCCTTGTCGGGGCGGCTGGGTCTCGAGGCCCGGTGGATGACGTTCAACTGGCGAAGCTATATTGATGCACTCTCAGCAAATGTTCAACGAGTGTATAGCAAGAACGGTGGCTCGAAAAATTTCGGCGCGGTCCCCCAGATTGACAGAAACGAGTGTATGAGTGAGTTCGCGGGGGCGGATGAATGCTCGCGTAGAACTCGCTCCCACCGTTCCCATCAAACAGGTTCTCTCGCCAAAAGGCCGACCGTCCACAAATATTCTTCGGCAACCGTTCTCGATCGGTGGATGCTTTGTTTCAACTAACCTCCCAGCAGCGAACGCGAAGAAGGAAGCGAACGACGTCGCTCTGCTTCTTCTTCTGAAGCTCTTCGAGGTATTTGAGGGCACCCATTTTGACTCTGCAAACACCAAATTGTCGTCGGTTAGTCGCTGGCTGCAAAAAAGAAGAAGAACAAAAGGAGCGACAGAATTACAGCTCTTGCGAAAAGAGAGTAAAGCGGGTTCGACCGGGCGGAAATTGATAAGGGCGCGTACGTACCAGACCTCGAGGTTGATTCCTGCGTTAGTGAAGTCGACGGAAAGATCACCAGCGGAAAGTTCAAAAATTTCGAGGAATTGGGTGTTGTGAGGGAGAGGAGCAAAGCCCTAACTGCGTGCCGCCTGGCAACTAGTCCACTCTGGGCTAGCGTGCAGTGGCTCGTGCACGGCAGCCCCACATCAAATTCGAAGTCTTGGCAACATCAACGACACTCCGCCAAGTCTTGCACTTTCGCAGGGGCAACACCATCTGCTTGACCCAAAGATCAGATGAATGCCATGTCTGCCAAAGGGTGAAGGTGCCTGGAATAGTCGTGCATGTGTCTGCCATGGTTCAAGAAACTACCAACGGAAGAAATTCGACTACAGTCACCAGCTACACCTAGCATCCCCTCCACATCGTTTCCTTGACAGATTTCCTCTTGATGGCTTCCAGAAAACACAAAACCATCATGTTAAGAGTCCACGCTGCCTCATAAGCTCCTCCCTCCGCCCTCAACATCCCATACTCACTCTACGGCACAGTCCTAACAACAGCTGCCAAAGCCTTCACCTGGGCGTGTGCAACCCTCCCCCAAGTCTCCGTCTCTCCACTCTTCTTCTTCGACTTCTCGAACAACCCAACAGCAAGTGTCTCGGGTTCACTCAAGCCGTCTTCCTTCTCCCCATCTTTGGATGGACCATCATCACTCTTAACATCGGGACTGATGATTCCCTCCACCAAATTCTCTCCGTACTTCTTCCCGTAGTCCAGCAACTGTCGCATTTTCTGATGGTCCTGCTCCCAGATCTCTCGTGGTACAGTTGGCTTGTGCTGCTGCGAGTCTCTGTCGGCGATCTGATGGCGTTGGAGGATGTCGCGACATATCTTGGTGAGTTGTTCCCCTTTGGTAAACAAAGGGTTCATTTCCTTGATGCCGTTGGGATTCTTCGTTTTGTCCAATGTGGCCGCCTTCAGGGTCGTGTAGACTTTGCGAAAGTCTTTCTCGTCGTTGGTCTGGACGTTGTGTCTGAGAGAAATGGGGGTTAGTGTCGCACTTTGTGATTATCCAGATGCTTTTTAAATCGATCATCGTCCAGTTTCAAATGGAAGTATGAAAAGGAAGCATATGGACTTACAACTCCCGCTTGAACTTCGCCAGACTCTCCTCCGCCCGACTTTGACTTTCCAACAGCTCCGCCTTGAAGCCCTTCAAGAACTCCTTGGCCAGCTGGGTCTGCTCCATCAAGTACTCTTCGACCGTCGCCGGCGGTGCATTGCGAGGCTTGCTCCGTTTGCTGTGCGAGATACGTCAGTGTCAGTCATCATCCCCATGTCTGATAACGGTGATGGGGGCTAGCAACCCGCAATCATCAGTGGTATCTAGATGAAGTCGAAACATACCGATTGATATTCGCAACCTGTCTTTCTGGAATATCCGCATCCCCACCATCATCGTCATCGTCCGCATCATCGTCTTCTTGTCCATGTCCATGACTACTAGACCTAGTCCGCAGCGGCTGTGTCTGGCTCTTCCGCGCTCTCTTCACGGGTCGTTTCGGCGCGGGTGGCTTTTTGCCGTCGGTGTCGGTATCCAGAAGAGACAAGGCGGGTCGCTTCGGAGGATGCCCCTGTTTGTTCTGCGCTGCACGCCCGTTTGCAGCAGCGACGGTGGTGCTGTCAGCTACTCTTGTTCTCCTTTTAGGAGGCATGTCTACGAGGAGCAAGGGGTGTTGAAGATGCCGAGGATGGGTTGGAGGGTGAGAGAATAATAATGGCAGAGTATCTGACTGGGTGTATGGTAGAGCTTGCACTTCTCACAAGATTTTACGAGGATAATGGGAGGAGAATTTCGAGTTCGGTGCAATTTGTTCGGTGGTCATGCTGGAGTTTGCCTCTTCCCATCCTTCGCTCCTTCCTTATCCCAAAAGGTGGAAGAAATTCACCTTCGTTATTTTGGGGGGAAGGTACGGTGCGGCTACTGAACATGCAACATCGAAGTACGATAACGGAGTAATATACACATTCTACCCGTTCGATACGTCTGCAATATCAGTATCGGAGTGTTTTCGTACAACATGATACTCGTTATCATTAAAAAATTCACAACAACTTCACCGAAGTGTAAGAGTCGATGTAGTCATTGAAAGGAGAGTCAAATGAGTACTTGTAAAATTTACGAACTACACTAACAGAAAACCCGTGAAGATGTACCTATTCTTTGCCATATCCCGTGTATATCCCATGACATGATGCCCTTTATCCTATACAACAAAGTTCCGCTCTGTTGTACTTAACAAATTACAATCCATGATATCTCGTCCGTCCCGGACTTGAAAGTGGTTGCAACGCTGATCTCTTTGATGCCTCTCTTTGTTGTTGTTGTGTCTGTCTGTCTTTTTCTTTTTTTGTCGTGTGTCTATGGCTGCCATCAATTTCTTACCGCTGCATCAAATAGAATATGTTGGAACCCCTAGGAGGGGCAACCATCATAAAACACGAGTGGCGGCGGATTCCGCACCCCGTCGTGGAGAAGAGAAGGTATTGAATGGGTGTGAAAATGAACAAGAAACAAGTGAATAAACGAAAGTAGTACCTCAGCCATCTTTATCTGTGATCCTCCCCAAGCAAAGTATTATCTCGGTCATGTCGTGATATAAGTAGAGCTGAAACGTCCCATCCCAAACAATGTCTCCTTTGTGTCTGTCTGTCTGTCGTCTTTCTTTCTTTCTGTCTGTCTATCATTTTGTTTCAACTCCGTCCGTGCAAGAACAAAATAAGGTCGTGTATCAGTCTTTAGCCTGCCTGTCATCCTAAGCCATTAACAGCAGTCGACATGCTTAACGAAGATGGCTGACTATCGCGAAGTAATTTGACAAATTCCATGGTCTTGTGGTGGTGGACATCTGGTCCACCTGCGACCACTTTGATGTGTTGTCCCTAGATCTCGTATGCAATTCCCTTCGTCAGAGAGCGAGTCCCGTGTTCGGTCTCCATCTCCGATGATGCAAGCCACCCTAAATCTGGATAAGGAGGGCCAGAGATACCTTGAGAGGGTATCAACGGGGGTTCGAGTTGAGAGAAAGGCCTTGGAACGCTGTTGCCCAGTCTGCCTGTGTCCCTTGTGCAGAGCCTATCTGCTCATGCTGCCCAGAGCTTGCCTGGGGTGTTGGGTATCGGGGTCGTGCAGAGTAGTCTACCGCCGGTGGGAAACCACCTGCCGTGTAGGTATCGGAATTCGGCATCATACCGGGCACAGCGTATGACAGTCCTCCAAGTCCGGGGCCGGGTCTCGAAGCGGCCCCAAACGGAACGTAAGAATTCCAGGGATAGGTTTGTAAAGAGTAGCCAGATCCTGGAACCATTGCCCGGTCAGGGGTGAAGGCGCCTGGGAACGCCCCCTGGATATTCCGCCCCGTCTGACCAGCAGCAGTGTAAACGCTTTGTTGGTCTTGTTGCTGCGTGTTCTGGCGGCGTTCTGCTGCCGCAGAGGCCCGACTGACACCGACAGCCCCGGGGCCGATTCCGCTGGGCGCCTGTAAGCCAAGGGTAGGGCTCGCAAAAGAGGCGGGGTTGATTGCCGACATCCAGATACGAGTTTTGTAAATCTTGAAGAGATCGGTAACCAGAGAGTTGAAGTTGATGTAGGAGTCGGCGAAGTAGTAGAAGGTCAGCTTCTTCCAGTCCCTAGGTAGAGTTAGTAAACGATGTAAAAGCGCACATTTCCACGTATGACTTACATCTGGAACTCGGCATCCAAGATCTCCATGTTCAAGCCATGCTCTTTGACCTTTTGCATGCACACTCGCTTGGCCTTGGCCTCATTTCCCTCCTTCTCTCTGAGAGCATGAATCTCGTGAGCCTGCGCCAGCCTCTTGATCAGTTTCGGTTTCAGTTCTCCCGAGTTCGGCTCCTGGATGTGGTGTTGACCGGCGGGCCCCATGCCGCCAACGGCACTTCCTTGCAGGTTCGAGGCCGCCATAAGGCCAGCACCAACACCATCTTGGGCCATCCCTGCGTTCTGAGAGTACATCATGAGCCATCTATATTGCTCCTCGGCATAGTGCTCCTTGAGTTCCTTTGCAGTCTTCCAGTCAACGTTGTCCTTGGCGACAGTGCCCAGATCCGTGCCACGGTCAGCTTCCACTATGACCAGGTCGCCAGGTTTTACGGTAAGCCCTGTGCCTTCCTGGATATAGAAGACATCGGCTCTGGCACACTTGAAAAGAACAATGTAAAGGGGCTGGTCATGTCGCGGCTGTGCTGCACCGTACATGTTGCGATGCGGTGAGTTGGGCCTATTGGCGTACGCGTTGGGAAGCATAGAGTATGGCGACGAAAACTGATTGCCATAGGCCGACTGGGCAAGGGCATGCGATGAACCACCCGCAAAGTAGTTTTGTACTTCGGACAACGTTAGTGTTTGAGGAGGAGACTAATGAGAGATGGACTGTTTTGTCGTACCTTGAGCAGCATTGGCCAGTGCCATAGCATCAGGATAACCGGGAGAAGTGTAGTCGGGCACAGAATCATGAAGGCCGGTTTCGTGTGGCGCGATCCCTTCCCCAATAGAAGCAATGGAGTTCTGCCGAACTGGCACATCAGCAAACGAGTGCCGTCTGCTCTGCGGAATATCTCCCAGTCCCCCGAACCCGAGGGAGGTTTGCCAGAGGGCCCTCTTTAGGTTAACATTCTCAACTTTCCTGTTATCCGCCATGTAAGGGGTGCGATACGGCCCTACGCCAAACTCGCTCATCCGTCTGGCCATGTTCCTCCTGCCGAAGTCAGACCCATCGTTCGCCTCATCAAGCTCATCGACAGCAAAGTCTGATTCTTCGGGAACAGCCTCCTGGAGGTACGCGTTTCCCAACCCAAACACATTCGAGGTAGATGCTCGAGGTCTCAAGCGCGAACTTTGATACTGATTCTGCTGGCGCAGCATGGCATTCTCGCGCATCAAAGACTCAATAGCCTTCGCTTGAGCAGACTGCTGCTGACCGGCCCCCTGGAGAGAACCAGTACTATCATCGTCATCGTCTTCATTTACTTTTCCAAGCATGGAGCCATCATTTGCCATCTCACTCAACATACTAGGCCGAGAAGGACGATGCTGCAAGCCGGGATGGCCTAGCGGACGCGAACGACCGCCCAGAACCGCGGATGTAGCAACGGAAGGAAGAGATGTTTCCGGGTCAAGCTGCCCAACAGAATACGACTGTGATCGATAAGTCTTGGGCGTAGGATGGAGAGGGATCGGGAACGGAATCTGAGGGTTTGGGACTGCATCCCTGGAGCCAGCCGACTGCTGAGCTAGCGCATTATCAAAAAACGAGCCGCCCGAGCTGCCAGGTGGTACGCCAGATGTCGGTGAAGGCAAAACCTCTGCTAAACGAGAGGGAGGGTTGTTCCGTTCGTTCGTCCAGATTCCTGCACCCCATGTAGTACTGAATGGACCAGGTCCAGCATGGGATCGGCCATGAACCGCAGAAGCAGCCGGATGGGTGCCCCAGGCACCGACCCCGGAGTCTACAGCTGGTGTGCTGGGGTGGGAAGTTGTGGGAGACATGGAGGTGCTCGCAAACGACTCTTTCCGCTGGCGGGGCGGCGGTGGTGGTTGAGACGTATCATTCAGCCACGAGGCCCGTCGGACAGGTTGCTTGGGAGCTTGTGTTGAGGTAGGCGGAGGTTCTTGACGAAGCGGGTCAACTTCATCGTCTGAGCTCGCTAAGGCTTCGGAGTCAGGAGTCGAACCCCGATTCAGCTTGTCAAGCAGTATCGCCTGGGTGCTCGGCATACCGGCAGCGAAATTGCCCTGCCCTGCCTTTGCCTGTAAAGCAGGCTTACCTGTGCCGGAACTCATGGCGGAGGGTCAGCCTGGAAGGCCGAGTCAAGCTTGTCTGTCTTGTTGTGAAGCAGATGTGCCTCTTCGGGAAGCCAACGCTTCTTGTTCAGATATGTTTATACACCCCACCCGCTCCTGGCAAGCCACAGACACGTGGGAGTGGTTGTGATGGCCTTGATGTACTCGAGAGGGATAGTGTAGGGAATCGAGCGTCAACCGGTCGATATAAGATGGTGCGAGGACTACAGTACAGTTCTGCGATCATGATGTTAGCTTATTCGGCACGACGTACTGCCGCGGTCCCAGCACAAGGAACATAAAGGACGCTTTCAACGCCTTGGTAGTCAAGGTCGAACAAAGTCATTGAAGACTGCAAGAAAGAGGAATGCAGGGATGTGTTGGGATCAATATGACGGTTCAGGGAGACATACGTCGCTGGTTGAAGCCCGCACGTGATAATGAAACAGGTTGTAGGATCCTAGAACTTTTCTGAGCTATATCGAGAAACCTGTCATAAGAGATGTCTGGCTCCCGAAAAGCCCTGACGTCTGACGTATGATTAGGCGAGCGTCCACACAAGAATCTTGGAGCGGCCAAATGCGTGCTGTAGAGGGCACCGACTTGTGCCTCACGCGGGTTGAATAGACCGCAGAGGACCCAATGAAGGAGCGAGAAGGTTCTTGTGGCGCGGCGATCGGACCGAGCAACTCGAGAAGTCACAACCGACCGGAATCACAACGTGTAACTAGATTAGATGGGTTGGAACTGGCGACGGGACGATGGGGAGGTGGAAGCTCGGAAACACCAAGACTCGACAGTTGTTGAAGACGCAGGACGGTTGGGGTCGGTGGTAGAGAGGATAAAGTTCTAGTTGTTGTGAGCCCGCATTGAAACTCGGCAGGCAGGAGTTAGACGCCGACGGAAGTGCGACGGAGGTGCGGCGGCGCAGGCGACCAAACTGAAGCGGCGCAACTGAACTGCGAGCCGGATCTCGGGACCAAAATGAACGGGACGGGCGGAGGATCAGCTGATGCGCGCAGTCAACGGCGGGTAGCGGTCTTCCAACAGGCCCGTGAGAGGGGCGAGCGATGTGTTGCGCGCGCGTCGGAGGCGGACGATCAGTACGGGGTGGGAAAGGGTTGGGAGCAGATGAAAGGAAAGGAAGGGCGAACTGGAGGGAGGGTGAAAAGAAGTTGAAGGGAGCTGCAGGCCAGAGCTGGAGCTGGCCCTGGCGGGACTAAAGAGATCTAAAGAGACAAACTGTCGAAGCGCGGATCGATCCAAGTGGTCACTGGACGCTCCAAGGCAGCCTAGAATGCTGGAATGGTACTATGTATGTAATAGCATGTAACAGGTATTGAACTAATGGTACGGAGGATGGACCACCGGATGTGGGTTCGAGCCTTCGAAGGGTGAGCGGGGAAGGCTGGAGACATGCTGCTTATTAGTGGCTGGATCCTGGACCAGGCTAGCCGAACACAGCTTGGTGCCCCCGTGGCAAAGGCAAATCAACGCTTCCGCTCCCCATACCGAAAGACCAATCACGACGCCATCTGCCGGATGTTTGGGGACCAGGAATAAATGGAGGTCCCGCACCGTCCCCTTTTTGTTCCCCCTGGCATGCATGAATCTAAGTGTGGAGTCAACATTGTCCGCGTCGTCAACGGACTCTTTGGGAGGTCAAAATGACCGCGAATAAAACAAAGAGGCGGGCGTGCCTCCATGGTGAGCTCAACTCCAGTCCTAACTCCATACCAACCAGAAAGATTGACGAACAGGAGCGGACAGCAACGGGCAGAATCTTGACTTAAGAAGGGAATGGGGTGACGATCGGGGCAAACGATGGGAAGATGGTGTCCTGGTGATGGGTGTGAGGTGACCGAGTCTAGCGTGGTCTCGCCGGTCAACTGGGGTTCACGAACATCCCATTCTGGAGGGCTTTTGGAAGTGGACGGTCGCAACCCCGCGAGCCTGGCCACACACTCCAAGACTTGAACCCGACGGCAACGCCCGTGAGCTTTGCGCAAAGTGGCCGATTTGGAGTCTGAACATCTAGGTCCTTGTCATGCCCTCCGTTCTGTTTGACAGGTATCGTCTCGCGACAAAGACAATAACGTGGAAAGGGGTTTAACTTTCACTTGCTGCGAGATCGAGTTTATCGAGTACCATGGTCTGTCAGTTTTCCATTCTCACAACTAGTCCGGGGCATCTTCATACTTGTAGATGCTGGATTGGGGAATCGTCGATCACCATCATGGTCATGTAGTCACTTCCGTCACGCTGAGACCTGGGCCTAGAAGGTAGTTGTATGGTCATTGTCTCCCGGCCCCATGTTCCTCAATTCGTTTTGCGGGCCCGAACCTGAGGACCAGCCCTGTGGGTTGTGGAGATACATGTCAACAGTCCAGGAAAGTCCCGGCCGGGCACCGTTGGTGAAAACAGCGCGTCTGGGGTCGATCTTCTTTCCATGACCCACCATCACCGATACATATCACAATTGCGGAGGCTAGAGGTTCTCTAAAGCATTAACAGTCTTCAGATAACAGCACCTCTTGGTAAATGTATCCAAAGGATTCTTCCGAACTGCACCAAGCTCAAAAGGGGAAATTAGCATCAAGCAGTCAAATCGATCATCATCACGGGGCCCACCACGCAGCGTAAACTCCTTCCCCGGATCCTGCACCGATAAAACAGGAGACAGAAGGCGCACCCAGCTACTTCGACTTCTCTTTCTATCCCGCCTCCGCAAATCACCCAACAACCGAGTCAATGCAGAATCCAGTAACGGGAAAGAGATGGAACTGAAGTCTTCTGCGCAATGCGATGTAACCTCATGGCGCTGCATCTGCATCTTCATCAAGCAGTGCTCTCCATGGCGCATACAGCCCTCTGAATGGCCGACCAGGCGATGGGCTTTTGCTCCCTTGACATTCCCTCTTGTCTCCCAGCACGATTCACCGACGACTTTCACGTTCCTAGTACCAAGTCTTTGTCGCTTTACTGCATACACGAACCCAAAATTCTTTGGATTCTCCGGCCAGTCATCTCATTAACAAAGCAAAGCTCCTCCGAGACGAACAGCTATTGCTAGATATGCTTTTCCCTAGCCCAGGGGATTGTTCCCAGACCAAGGACCGCTTCCTTGGATGTCGACCTTCCATCCTCCAGCTCCCCAATGTTGGATGAGACACACAGTACCCTGTCTTTGATATTGCTCGTGCGCCTTGCGGGGCAGACACAGGAGCTATGGCCAGCGGGCAACTTTTATTACCAGGTGTCTTGTATCTTGAAGTACCGTAGCTTCTTCCCCTCAACCTGCGCTTTTCGTCACTAACGGGTCATTTCTCGAATCGACATCGGGGCAAGGAATGGCTTCTAGACATTGAGTAACGAGGCGACCTGTCAATCCCGCCCAGTCAGCCACCTCATGTGCAAGGGGAGAATTGGAACGATCAACAACCAGAGGTACCCAGAAGCCACAGAAACCGAGCTATCTTTGATCATCGCTTTTCAGGCTAAAGGTTGATATATAAGCAACAAGACTCAACACATTTGAAACTGTCCCCAGGAAATACTCCACGTTCCAAGGCAATATTTCCGATTTGTTGCGTATTTCATCGAACAGGTACTCAAACATCCTTCTCAAGCCCGAGACTATCATCGAGCAACAAAGAGCAAACCAAACCCACCCAAAGATATATCACACACGACCGACGACGCAACTGCGAAGCTAAAGCCCAACCCTCAATTAAAGCTATGGGAGGTTGACAGAGGTACCTATAGCGTACATCTTCCACTTCATATAGACATCTCAGGTCGATACATACGTGTGGCAACCGGGGCCCATGCAGCACCGGCCCCGCCCCGTCGACGTGATGGGCATCTCAAGCATCATGTCCCGCTGAGCCCGTCTCCCCGTCTGTTGAATGTTACCCCGCGGCCTAGCCCCGCAAAAAGAACGGACAGATGAGCATATCGTGTCCCTGAAGGTTGGGGAAGAGGTCATAGCGCAGCATCCAAACGGGTACGACAAGGGTCGGTCCGGCATCCCCAACCCCGGATTGTCAGGGGAGTTGGAGTTGGAGAGTGAGGAGGCGCTCTCCAAGACCCCTCTGTCTTCATCACCCAGGGCAGTCACCCTATCACCCTTATCACCATTCTCACATCTGCCTCCAAACTGTCACTTCATGTGTCTGAGCCAGTCTGCTAGACCTCCATCACCCGCAGTCTTTACACTCATTGACATCCAGGGCAAGTTGTACGGATATTCTGACAAGCCTTGGGTAGTCTGAACTGTCCCATATGCGAGCCAACCTCCGGCACTATGCAGTAATGCGTCCTGGGTCAGTAACAAGGCAACTATGAAAGGCAAAGAGAGGTCATTCGCATTTCCGATTACCACCCTAAAAACCTTGGCAACTTCATAGCGGAGGCAGGGTGGCAAAGCTTGTTGAACAACTGCTTCGATATTATCTGAGTGTCTCTTTGCGTACTCCGTCACGCCACAAAGTTCGAACATATTCTGGCCACTTACGCACCAGAGTCCTTGATTGCTGAAAATGGAGGTGGCAGACCGGTATGCCTCCTCCCTTTTGCAGATCGACGATCTCCTACCCGCCACGAACGGACACTGCCAGATACCTCTACACAACTCAACACAACACAATCATACGACTATCATTTCATGAGAACGTCATGGACCTCAATCCCCTCCTGGGTAAAGTTTCGTCACAAACGGTAGTACGAGTTACTATGTAATACTTTATCGGAAAGTTTCCTTCAGAAACAGCGGGAAGAAGAGACCGACGCTCTTCCTGGAATCCTGGTGTAAAGAATTCAAGACGAAAGTACACAAGACGTAGGCATGTGCACCAGTATGGACACCAACCAGCCTCTACTATCTAACCAACAAGGCAACAAGCCGTCTGCAGCAGCCCGTTGTGCAGGACACCAAGACAGAACTCGTTGCAGACCGAGAGGCGTTCTGGCGTCTATGGTAGACATGGGAGACTTACACA